CAGGCTGGTGTCAAACTCCTGGGCTCAAGTGATCCACCCACCTCGGTCTCCCAAAGGGCTGGAGTTATAGGCATGAGCCACCACGCCTGGCCAAAATCCTCAATATCTTTCTGACAGATTATGTTCCTTTGTCACTGTAGGCTGTGGGACTTAGTGATTTTTGCAGATGTATGTGTATATATCGTGATAAATATGGCATCATTTGGAATGACTCTTATTTTTTCCAACAGAATAATGCAATTAAAACATATAAGTACAACGCTTTTACCTTTCTACCAATGAATCTGTTTGAGCAATTTAAGAGAGCAGCCAATTTTTATTTCCTGGTTCTTCTTGTCTTACAGGTAATGCTCTTTGCTATCTTAAATCTGTTTTGAATTATAGTGACTCAATAACATCTAAGCCGCAGACATATATAATGTGAATAATCTTGAAAATGTTTTATATTAGCAACAGGGTTCTGTACATAAAGGAACAGTGCCTCATACACAGAACCAGCTCAATCAGTATTATATAAACAGGCAAAGAGAACAAATGGAAATATTATTCTCACTATGTAGTTTGAAAAAATTTCATGTTATATTGATATGGGTGTTAAAACTGGTATCCCTGAAGCAAATATAACTAAAATCTGGCTGGGTACGATGGCTCACACCTGTAATCTCAGCACTTTGAGAGGCCAAGGCAGGTGGATCACCTCAGGTAAGGAGTTTGAAACCAGCCTGGCCAATATGGCAAAACCCTGCCTCTACAAAAATACAAAAATTAGCCAGGCATGATAGTGGGTGCCTATAATCCCAGCTACTCAGGAGGCTGAGACAGGAGAATCACTTCAACCTCGGATGTGGAGGTTGCAGCAAGCCAAGAGCAAGCCGTTGTACTCCAGCCTGCGCGACAAAGTGAGACTCCATCTTAAAAAAAGAAAAAAATGGCCAGGCGTGGTGGCTCATGCCTGTAATCCCAGCGCTTTGGGAAGCCGAGGTGGGCACATCACTTGAGGTCAGGAGTTCAAAACCAGCCTGGCTAACATGGTGAAACCCCATTTCTACTAACAATACAAAAAATTAGCCGGGTATCGTGGTGCGTGCCTGCAGCTACTCAAGAGGCTGAGGCAGGAGAATCACTTGAACCTGGGAAGTAGAGATTGCAGTGAGTCAAGATCATGCCATTGCACTCCCACTTGGGCAACAAGAGCAAAACTCTATCTAAAAAAAAAAAAAAAAACTAAACTAAAATCCTTACATTGTAAAATTATTTGCACCTTAAAATTAAACCTATTTTTTGTGCTTGTCTCTTATTATTGTATTTAGATGCTAAATTTCCCCCAAAAAAGATCATTTATTTTTATTAATATTTTGGCCATACATTTAAATAAGTTATCTTGTGGACTGTTTTTACATTTAAAAAAGCCTACTTAAAAAGGTGTTCTTCATTATTGTGGCAAAGGATCCACTTATCTGGAGAGCATGATGTTTATCTGTGCAAGAACCGTTGCTGTAATCAAGGGAACTCTACACACACTAGTTGGTGCCAGAATCAATCTTTAGTGTCTGCCATGCAGATTACAAAGGTCAGAATAGCCACCTGGTTTTATCAGATTCCTTTTTTTTTTTTTTTTTTTTTTTGAGATGGAGTTTCGCCTTTGTCACCTAGGCTGGAGTGCAATGGTGTGATCTCGGCTCACTGCAACCTCTGCCTCCCAGGCTCAAGAGATTCTCCTGCTTCAGCCTTCCAAGTAGCTGGGATCACAGTCACCCGCCACCACACCCAGCTAATTTTTGTATTTTTAGTAGAGACAGAGTTTCATCATGTTGACGAGGCTGGTCTCAAACTCCATCTTCAGGTGATCCACCTGCCTTAGCCTCCCAAAGTCCTGGGATTACAGGCGTGAGCCACAGCACCCAGCACTTTATCAGATTCTTTACAGCAAGCGTTGAATTTGGAAAACTTTCACCTGCTGGGATCTACCCTCTAAGGTTTTATGAAAATGGGGTAGAATATGTGTCTAGGTGGAGATGGGAGGATGAGTGGAGAGGAGAGAAAAAGAAGAGATGATGCTAAAGAGAAATGGATACTCAATAGATTTAGGAAACCATAGACCTGCAAGTCAGATAGTAAAGCATGCCCTGTTATCAAGGGGGATGCTTAGCCAGGTGTGTGTAGAGGTTAGCACTACAAAGCCTAAGGTGCCACTCTGTAGGAAGTAGGCTATTTTCCCTTCCTTCTAGCAGGGAAGAGGAGATTTCACATATTCACTGTGATATGGGAAAAAGAATCTTTCTGTCTTCCAACTGCACCCTAGTTATCTTCTCTTAAGGTCAGCAATCCAAATTAGGGTAACAGTAATAGCCGTAGGCAGCTTCTTAACTTGCACTATCACTACACTTAATTTTTCTAGTCTATAAGGTCAGGACCGGCACGACCTCCATTTTGCAGAGAAGAGCTGAGGACTAGTGAGCTACAGTAACTTGCTCAAAGTCCCACAAGCCATAAATGGTAGAGCTGACCAAGACTTGGATCTAGGAGTTGACTCCAAAGCCTGTCATTTTAACCACTACATTATATGGCTCCATGATCAGGAGGATGGTTACGAGATAACTTGATTAAACTTGCATCCCAAACTTTTATTTAAATTTGGAGGCTGTCTTGATGGAGGCGGCTTCCTGCAAGGCCGACTCACTTTCTTGGCTGGGCCAATAGTGATAACCATGAAGGACACACTTTCTTCTAATGCTCTCGGAGATGCTCTCCCTGTTCACTTGCTTCCAGAGGCAGCTATTACCTCCTGCCATCTTTGCCTCCAACATGGGATCCTCAGAAACCACTGGCTGGAAAACCTGCAATGTAGAGCCTACTATGCGTGCATTCCTTAGAAGTTAAGATGACTTTGGCCAGGTGTGGTGGCTCACACCTGTAATCCCAGCACTTTGGGAGGCTGAGGCAGGCAGATCACCTTAGGTCAGGAGTTCGAGACTAGCCCGGTCAACATGGTGAAATCCTATCTCTACTAAAAATACAAAGAAAATTTAGCTGGGCATGGTGGCACACACCTGTAATCCCAGCTACTCGGGAAGCTAAAGCAGGAGAATCACTTGAACATGGGAGACAGAGGTTGCAGTAAGCTGAGACTGCCACTGCATCCAGCCTGGATGACAGAGGGAGACTCTGTCTCAAAAAAAAGATAAATAAAAGGCAGGCGCGGTGGCTCACGCCTGTAATCCTAGCTTTGGGAGGCTGAGGTGGGCGACCACAAGGTCAGAAGTTCAAGACCAGCATGACCAACATGGTAAAATATTGTCTCTGCTAAAAATACAAAAATTAGCCAGGCATGGTGGCACACACCTGTAATCCCAGCTACTCAGGAGGCTGAGGCAGGAGAATCAAGTGAATCTGGGAGACAGGTTGCAGTGAGCTGAGATTGTGCCACTGCATTCCAGCCTGGGTGACAGGACGAGACTCCACCTCAAAAAAAAAAAAAAAAAAGTTAAAACAACTTCCCCCTTGCCACTCCTACCTTCCCACTCCCAGTTAAATATAATTTTTACAAAGAATTTACAGAAATTCTCTTTTATGTATCCTGATACAAAGCCTCCTTGGTGTCCACTTAAGGTCACGATGAGATAATTTCAGGAGCCACTGCCCTCTAGACTCTGTTCCAGATGTCCAGAAGCTAGAGAGAACCACTAGAAGGAGGTTGTCCAGGTGCTTAAAGAGCTTTTCCTTCACACACTGCAGGATGTAGACTTGTGTGATGATGGAGATGAGACAGAATTAGCAAGCTTAGAATTAGGAATCAGTTATCTGTAAGTGTGATATGCCTTCATGGGCACACACATAAGCCCCCCCCCCCCTTTTTTTTTCAGACAATTCCTCAAATCTCTACCCTGGCGTGGTACACCACACTATTCCCCCTGCTTCTGGTGCTGGGCATTACTGCAATCAAAGACCTGGTTGACGATGTGGTGAGAAGTTCTCATACAACATTCTACTCATTGCTTTGAGTTTAATTGACTTTGGCATTCTTTCCTTCCACATTGAGATGTTTAAAACAGCATTTCCCCATCTTCCTTCTCAAGGCTCGTCATAAAATGGATAGGGAAATCAACAATAGGACGTGTGAAGTCATTAAGGATGGCAGGTACTGTGTCTTCTTTAATTAGTAATTGATTTACAAGGATGTAATGCATAACTCTGTCTAGAAACATATTCAGAGATAATTATTAGAATGGAGAAGCCTATTAGTACATTAACTTTATTTTTTCTTATTTTTGGAGACAGAATTTTGCTCTGTCGCCCAGGCTGGAGTGCAGTGGCGTGATGGCTCACTGTAACATCTGCCTCCCAGGTTCAAGTGATTTTCCTGCCTCAGCCTCTCAAGTAGCTGGGATTACAGGCGTGCACCACCACACTTGGCTCATTTTTTGTGCTTTTCTTAGAGACAGGGTTTCACCATGTTGCCCAGACTGGTCTCAAACTCCTGACCTCAAGTGATTCACCTCCCTCAACCTCCGAAAGTGCTGGGATTACAGGTGTGAGCCACAATGCCTGGCCTTAAATTATCTTTTTATTGAGTATGTACCCTTGTTGTAGTAAATCTCTTAAGGATAATGATAAAAATAGATAAAAGGATGACGATTTGGGGTACTAAATTTTATAGGAAATATTCATTAAAAGTTTTAGCATATCAACACTTTTAAAAGTTTTAAACTATAATATTGTTTTAAAGATTTCCACATGTATACAAGATACACCCAGTGGACATAATGAACCTACCATAAATAATAAACTTAATTTATTTGGAGGCAGACATCTAATCCCTATATGTTTATCTCCCATTCATTTATGGCCAAAAATGACCTGGAGATTTAAAATACATTTTAAATATATGTTTATGCCCCAGTTCCCCTAACGTTACAAGAATTTAGTACACAATTCTTAACTCCAGGAATTAAAAAAATGTTTGGCTTATCTTTCAATAAACAAAATTTTATTTTACATTTCAATATTTCTGAAATTTGCATTTAAGTTTGAAATGACAAATGGATATGCTAACATCTCTTTGGCAGGCCTACTGGGAGGCGATTCTGTTAGATTCTTCGATCAGATGTTCCAGTTTCCTCTGAGGACACCCCTGTGCTCTGCCCTGCTGATGATCAAGTTCTTATAGGTGTGACCCCACTGCAGGGGCTGCTTGGGCCATGACCCTGCCAGATATGCACCCTAGACTTCCAAATTCACGGCCACCCAGAGCTCCTCTTTACCAATGTGGGTAGCTATGGTGAAGGCTAAACATATGGGCTGGTCAGGCATGGTAGCACACACCTGTAATCCCAGCACTTTGGGAGGTCAAGGCAGGAGGATCACTTGAGGCCAGGAGTTTGAGACCAACCTGTCCAACTTAGCAAGACCCCCATCTTAACAACACAATAACCTCGTCTGCTAGGTTCATTGTACACTTATTCTATTTTACTTATTCTATTTTATAAATTGTTGTGATTTTGTCTTTTGACACTTAAAAGGTAATTCTGGAACAGAATTTCCTTATTTGCAAGGGAAAAAAGCCATCAAAACATATTTATAGCTTGGTATAGTCTAGATTTGAATTAGACATAGTGGAAGTGTGGCTGTTTTTTTCTTCAGTGTTGACACATAAAGGTTATTTTCTTCAGTGTTGACACATAAAGTCTTGGAATTAGGCCTTAGTCACTATTTTTAGCACTTGAATTTGCAGTTCTGCCTGGAGGCTCTCTCAGAAAACAACTCATTACTGATGGCTGAGCTGGTGCCTTGTCACAGTTGACTATATTAATTCAACAAACACGTGCGGACTGCTTTCTGCATGTTGGAGGCAGGACAGTATTCTTGAGAAACTTACAGTTCAAGACAGAAGATGAGACACCTATGCACGTCATTCTAATAAAATCCATGTCAGCATAAAAAAGATAGAAAACAAAATGCTCTGATGGTACAGGGAAGGGAAAAATCACTTTAGCAAGGGAATGTCGGAAAAGATGTCAGCACATGAGCAAAACACTGAAGATCATCCGCTGGGGAGGCTGAAGGAGTTGTGTAAACACAAGTTGTGCTGACAACACAAAGCTCTATCAGGCAACTGCCCATAATCCTTGGGGCCTTACAGGGAATGCAGTGTCTTTGTCAATTAAGCCTTTACAGTTAAGAAGTTAACAGGCCAGGTGAGGTGGCTCAAACCGGTAATCCCAACACTTTGGGAGGCCAAGATGAGTAGATCACCTGAGATCAGGCGATCAAGACCAGCCTGGCCAGGATGGTGAAACCCCCTTTCTACTAACAATACAAAAATTAGCTAGGCATGGTGGCATGTGCCTGTGGTCCCAGCTACTTGGGAGGAGGCTGAGGCAGGAGAATTGCTTGAACCCTGGGAAGTGGAAGTTGCAGTGAGCTGCGATCATGCCACTGCACTTCAGCCTGGGCAACAGAGTGAAACGGTCTCAATAAAAAATAATAATAAATAACAAGGGTAATTTAAACAGCAGGTAGGAGGCAAGCTCTGAAGCCCCACAGACTCTGAGTGGCCCACGTGCGTGCCATAATGTGGGTTCCCCTTTCCTGGGACCAGCACGGAGCAGTGATGGGTCACTGGGAAGAAACACATCAAGGGGGTGAACAGGACATAAGGAAAACCAAAAAGGGGTGGTAGGTATTTCCCTACCACACATGTAAGTGCCCCCCATAAACTCTTCCTTCTGTGACCTAGATGGAAAGAGGATATCAAAGCCGTCATCACTGCTTCCTTCCCGGGTCATGTGATTTTCATTCCCACTTAATATGTTTACATCATTAAAGGGCAAAATTTTAGCATTTTCTCTGTGATTTACACGTTTTCCAGAATCTGTGATATCCAGAAAAAAGAGTAATTCCCTTGCCTGTAACTTAAAAATTCAATAAATTCATCATTATTTTTAATCCTTAGGTTCAAAGTTGCCAAGTGGAAAGACATTCAAGTTGGAGATGTCATTCGTCTGAGAAAAAATGACTTTGTTCCCGTAAGTGAGACAGTTCTGCTGCTCCCGTTCCTTGTTCTCCCCCAGCCCCTGCACGCGTCTTCTCCCTCGAGGTCTCGGTGTTATTCGTGTGTTCTGTTTTGGACAGGCTGACATTCTCCTGCTGTCCAGCTCTGAGCCTAACAGCCTCTGCTATGTGGAAACAGCAGAACTGGATGGGTAAGTGTGTCTCGATGGGCCTGATTTAAAGCTGGCCTTTGAAGGCACATGCATTCCATTGAAATCGGGGCGCTCTGGACCAGAGGGCTTGAGATCTGGCCTTGCCTCTGCCACCTGCTGCCTGTCCCTATTGATCTCACCTTTGCCCCTTCTGTAAAGTGGAGCTCTTACTACCTGCCTGTCTTCACCTCTCGGAAGGTAAAAGGATCAGATGAAAGCATGTGTGTCTGAGCCCCTTATCAACTGCTGAGCAGTGTCCAGACAGTTATAATAATATTGAGATTATTATCTATGTCAGAGAAAAGAACAGATTTTTGAAGTATTTTCAATAGGCAATTTATTTATTTATTTTGAGACAGAGTCTCTGTCACCCAGGCTGCAGTGTAGGGGTGCTATCTCAGCTCACTGCAACCTCCATACTCACTGGGTTCAAGCAGTTCCCCTGCCTCAGCCTCTTGAGTAGCTGGGATTACAGGTGTCCACCCCCACACCCAGCTATTTTTTTGTAGTTTAAGTAGAGACGGGGTTTCACCATGTTGGCCAGATTGGTCTCGAACTCCTGACCTCAAGTGATCTGCCTGCCTCTGCCTCCCAAAGTACTGGGATTACAGGCATGAGCCACTGCGCCTGACTGTTTATTCTTAACTATAAAACTGCTGTTATTTCCATGAGAGATTCTAAAGCTTTACAAAGACATAAGATCCTAACATGCCCTGTCAGAACAGATTGGTGAGGTTGAGAATGAACTTACCTAGTCTGGGGAAATTCCTGGGTACGTATTCGTGAATCCTATATAAAGCCATCAGTCGTGAGAAGGGAGCCTCGCCCTCAAGAGTACATGTCCCTGGCCTGCCCTTGTGCCCACACACAGGGACCTTACCTTGCACTATGGTGAGGCAATTGGGAGTAAAGCCACCTCCTTTCCCGAATAAAATTTTCTTTCAAAGACATGTGATCCAGCTATTCACTTTGGAAAGGAATTTGACAGAGGTGAAACAGAATTTCTGTAACAAATAGGTTATAGAATCATCTTAATGTGATTAAATATTAGATGCTACATTTTCAAACAGCAGTTTGGTAGTCCCAGCAGGTGGAAAGGGTCAAGTTCACGAGAAGGATGTTTGTGGTGCCTCTGTCACAACAACCAACAGTGAAGGGAGCCAACGTTTCCCAAGGTCAGACATTTTCTCTAGTTCAGGGGATAATCTTATCCAACCTGAATTTCCAAGGTGAACAGAGTTTTAAAATAGAAACAGCTCATTATTTACCCTTCATGTCCAGGTATGGCTAATGTAACCGTGGGTGGTTAACTTCCATTTTGAACTCCAAAATTTGCTTATTTAATTCATTTTTTCCCCTTCCATTAGAGAAACCAATTTAAAGTTTAAGATGTCGCTTGAAATCACAGACCAGTATCTCCAAAGAGAAGATGCATTGGCAGCATTTGATGGTTTGTAGGAAACATGTCATACTTTGCTTTAAGTTTTACTTGCTTGGTTCAATTTCTATTGATTAAAACCAGAAAATCTTTTACATGAGACTAATTATGTAAATCTTATATTTTTCAAAGGTTTTATTGAATGCGAAGAACCCAATAACCGACTAGATAAGTTTACAGGAATACTATCTTGGAGAAAAGGAAGGTTTCCTTTGGATGCTGATAAAATTCTGTTGCGTGGCTGTGTGATTAGGAATACCGATTTCTGCCATGGCTTAGTCATTTTTGCAGGTACTTTCACAGTTTCTTGGGAAATTAATCTGCTCTGAGATTTAAAGACTTTCTCCATCAAAACCAAAAGAAGAGTTTCTGTCCTTTCTCCACCAAAACCAAAAGAAGAGTAACTTTTTTTTTTTTGAGCTGGAGTCTCGCTCTATAGCCCAGGCTGGAGTGCAGCCATGCGATCTCAGCTCACTGAAACCTCTGCCTCCTGGGTTTAAGTGATTCTCCTGCCTCAGCCTTTGAGTAGCTGAGATTACAGGTATGTGTGACCATGCCCAGCTAATTTTTGTATTTTTTGGTAGAGACAGGGTTTTGCCATGTTGGCCAGGCTGGTCTCGAGCTCCTGACCTCAGGTGATCTGCCTGCCTCGGCCTCCCAAAGTGCTGGGATTACAGGCATGAACCACCATGCCCGACCAAGAAGGGTAATTTTATTGATGTGCTAGTGAATTGATTTTCCCAATTGATGATCACACTGAATTTTCCACTTTCAGGTGCTGACACTAAAATAATGAAGAATAGTGGGAAAACCAGATTTAAAAGAACTAAAATTGATTACTTGATGAACTACATGGTTTACACGGTATTTATTTTCAGTCTCAGTAGATCTCTCATCTAGGTTGCTGTCTTTTGTGCCAATATTATTGTATGTTTTTCGATACAAAGAAATTTTATCTCTTTAGGTGGAATAGAAAAATGCTTGGGCACTCAAAGCTTCAAATGCAGGAAGAAGGGATTTTTTTTTTTTTTTCAGAAATGCCTTACTTTTTCTCAGAAATGCTACACTTCTAACAGGAGAATTCCCTTGGGAAGGGAAATTTTAGTTAGAGGGTGGCCTAAGTGCTTTGATGACTGGAACTGGAAACCAGGAAGCCCTATATAAATTAGTGAAGCTGAACTCCTAAAGTCAATGTAGGGTTGGTGTCACTGCTGTTACTTTCCCATAAGTCAGTTCTCTTAAAAGCAAACCTCCTCTCCCCTGCCCCAGCATATACTGTATAACTTCAGATACAAGGCAAGGCTAAAAATAAAGTATGTTGAGGATCCTCAAGACCACTCCCAGGTTTGATGATTCACTGGAAGGACTCAGACCTCCGCACATAATCATACTTACAGCTGTGACTCATTACAACAAAAGGACACAGAGCAAGATCAGCCAAAGGCTCATGGGGCAAAGTGCAAAGGAAACCAGGCACAATCTTCCAAAAGTCTGCCATCCCACCCCCACACTCCCTTCCCAAGCCACATACACAATGGGCTCTTCATTCTCCCAGCAGCAATTAATGACACCGCATGTGAAATGTCATCTATACCAGGGAAGCTCATGAGAGACTCAGTGTCAAGGGTTTTTAACAACAAAAAAACTTCAGACTCGCCACACAAATGCAGATGGTCAACAGGAACCATGATTTTTGCACAGTTAGGCATCCTGAACTATTCTTTTTTTTTTTTTTTTTTTTTTTTGAGATGGAGTTTTGCTCTTGTTGCCCAGGCTAGAGTGCAATGGCTTGATCTTGGCTCATTGCAACCTCCGTCTCCTGGGTTCAAGCAATTTTCCAGCCTCAGCTTCCCGAGTAGCTGGGATTATAGGCACCTGCCACCCTGCCCAGCTAAATTTTTGTATTTTTAGTAGACACGGGGTTCCACCATGTTGGCCAGGCTGATTTCAAATTTCTGACCTCAAGTGATTCGCCCGCCTTGGCCTCCCAAAGTGCTGGGATTACAAGTGTGAGCCACTGCACCCAGCCCATGAGCTATTCTTATCAGAGAATAAAAAATAAGGAACCAGGAAATCCTCCCATCTAAGTTCTTAGATACCAGCCAGGGGCTAACCTTGCAAGCAAGCCTTCAGAGGAAGCAATCTCAGACCTGCTGTGTTCACTCTTCTGCCCTTATGGTGACCTCCAAATATTAAGCACTCCTTCCATTTCCCAGTGAAAATTTTTTTCAAGTATTTAGTTCAATTTGAATACATACTTCTAATACTTATTCTATGATTGCCTATACATATTTAAAATCATATAAAAGTAATAATTTTTAAGAAACACTTTCCCCTGCTTTCTCATTTTGTGAAAATTGTATTTGAACTTCTCAGGTTCGTCTTGGTGTCATGGTTGTGGTTATGAGTACGGCACTCTCAAAGAGCCTGTGGGCACTCTGGTGTTTCCATGACCAATTTGAGGTATAGCACTTTTGGAATCTGTGTCCAGAAATTTAAATTTGTCTCTGGAAATTTTATTCCCACTTGCAAATCCCCAAGGATTACCATGATAGTTGACTTTTTATTCCTTCCATAAGTATATGCTCATAACTTCTACAACGTAATACTTATCATATTGCTTCTTAAGTGATCTTATTTTACAATGTCATGCAATACTTGTGACATTACACCTTAAGGAATAATGGCCCAAATATAGGTGAAATTTTCTTGCCCTAAAAAAAACAAAATTCTGGCTGGGTGAGAGTCACCTGTGATCCCAGCAATTTGGGAGACCGAGGCAGGCCGATCACTTGAGGCCAGGAGTTTGACACCAGCCTGGCCAACATGGTGAAACCCCGTTTCTACTAAAAAGACAAAAATTAGCTGGGCATGTCGGCACTCACCTGTAATCCCAGATACTGGGGAGGCTGAGGCATGAGAATCGTTTGAACCAGGGAGGCAGAGGTTGTAGTGAGCCTCAATGGCACCATTGTACCCCAACTGGTCAATACAGTGAGACTGTCTTAAAAAAAAAATTCCTTTGAATATTTCTATAAGTGTTCCAATTCAGCCTTGTTGGAAGTTGTTTCATGCTAAGTAAGGTGTCTTCCCCAAACAGTATGTTACTGTTCAAAGTAAAAGTAATTGAGAGAATGCCCTGTAATAGAAGACTCTTTAAGGATTTGAATATAAGACACCACCTTCTCTTTTGAAAGATAATTTTGGGAACAAAACCTCACCTTTTATGGGAGATGTAGGATACATCAGTCAACCACAGCAATCAAAGACTTTAAAAGCATTATGTTGGCACTGTTTTTGTTTTGCATATATTATTTTTACAGACTACTAAATTCTCAAACATATAAAATATTGAGTAAGATTAATTAGCATCTTGGAAATGCAAGAGGTTGGAAATCCATATTCAGAATGCATTTATACATTTTCTACCTTCTAGATCATTGTCGTTCTTATTCTGCTTTCTGCTGGTCTTGCCATCGGCCATGCTTATTGGGAAGCACAGGTGGGCAATTACTCTTGGTACCTCTATGATGGAGAAGACGCTACACCCTCCCTCCGTGGATTCTTCAATTTCTGGGGCTACATCATTGTTCTGAACACTATGGTACCCATCTCTCTCTATGTCAGGTAAGGATATCCTCTCTGGCATTTTGCCCTAATGGAAGAATGTTGTACCTTTTCCCAAGGTAGCACCTTCATTTCTAGCAATCATTGTTTCAAAGGTCACAAAGGACAGGTAAGAAAATCACATTAATTCCCGAATTGAGGGTAAGAGAGGAAAAGGAAATTGACATCTGCGTATCCACTCTGTGCCAGGCACCTTTTATCTTATCATTTTTGCAGTTAAGACTAGCCAAGTTCAAAGATTGATTGCTACTCCTGTAATCATTGTCTTATTAGTAAGGCTCTTTCTCACTGAGTTCTAAAGCCCAGGCTTCCCCTCTTCCTGGGAGGAGGGGAAGAGTTAGCGGGTGATGGAAAAACTTAGTTTTCCCTTTCAGAGGCTGTCCTCACCTCTTATCTGAGCCTTCCTTATTATCATTTCCCATACCCATGGTGGAAAACAGGTGTTTTGTGGCCACTACCTCCTAGTAGGAAAGAAATATCCTTTCCTTCATCATCCTCTCAAAATGTTCAATGTCCATTACAACACCAAAGTCAGGGGGCATATCTCTGACAAGTGGTAAGCAGCTGATCTGGTAATACTTCTCCCTTTTTTACTTTTTCTTTTTTTGCAGTGGAGTCTCACCCTGTTGCCCAGGCTGGAGTACAATGGCACAATCTCAGCTCACTTCAACCTCCGCCTTCCAGGTTCAAGTGATTCTCCTGCCTCAGATTTTGAGTAGCTGGGATTACAGGCACCCTCCACCATGCCCAGCTAATTTTTTGTATCTTTAGTAGAGACAGGGTTTCACCATGTTGGCCAGGCTGGTCTCAAACTCCTGACCTCGTTATCTGCCCACTTCCCAAAGGGCTGGGATTATAGATGTGAGCCACTGCGCCTGGCCTTTTTTTTTTTTTTTTAAGATGGAGTTTTTCTCTTGTTGCCCAGGCTGGAGAACAATGATGCCATGTTAGCTCACTGCAACCTCCGACTTCCTGGTTCAAGCAATTCTCCTGCCTCAGCCTCCTGAGTAGCTGGGTTCACAGGCACCACGCCTGGCTAATTTTTTGCTTTTTTCATAGAGATGGGGTTTCGCCAAGTTGGCCAGGCTGATCTGGAACTCCCAACCTCAGGTGATCTGGCCTCCCAAAGTGCTTTGATTACAGGCGTGAACCACTATGCCCAGCCTTTTTCTTTCTTTAGTATGAAAGTTCACTGCCTTGACCAATTGACTTTGAGAACTTTTTGGTAGGGTTAGTGCTTTGAAATAATCCCAGCAGCCAGAGTTCATTCCTACTTCTGATAAAGACTAGCCCAGAGACTTAGGGATCACATACACACCTATAATTAGAGGGATTTATTTTATTTTAATGTTATTACATGTGCATTTGTTTTATCTTTAATTTGATTACATGTCCTTACTGTTATTCTTTTAACATGAAGGATCATCTGTTCCACAGCAACTTTGAAAAAAACTGAGATGAGTGTTACCTTTGTCAAGGGAACTATTACACAGATAATTTAGCCTAAAACTATCAATGTGTATTATAAAAGGTATGTCATGTGACAAACATGATTTCTTTATTTTTCTTGGAGATAAAGGTTCTTTGAAAATATGTTGGAGCAAGTTCTTCCAGATAGTGTCTCTGCTGTGACTTCAACCCTCATTCAGAATAAACCCACCCTCCGAGGCCCCAAGTGTGATCTGGTGCTCAGCCCTCCACCCTACCCATACCTTCTGCACCTAAGCTCACCTCCTTGGGCTTCTGCCACTCTAACTCCCTTGATATTCTTCCTGCCACAGGGCCTTTGCACCTGGTCTTTTCTCTGCTGGGACCATCCTCCTCTAGGTATCTGTCTGCTGCCCTTTCACTAAAAAGGCCTCTACTCAGACAGTACCTTATTACTGTGGTCTTTCCTGACTCATTCTGTTTCTGACCTTCACTTCTCCATCCTGGAGATCGTCTCTCCTTAGCCTGCTTTGCTTTGATTTTCTTTTCTTTTCTCTTTTTTTTTTTTTTTTTTGAGACAGAGCCCCGCTCTGTTTCCCAGGCTGGAGTGCGGTGGCATGAGTTCACCTCACTGCAACCTCTGCCTCCCGTTGTTATTTTTTTAACATGTTATTTTTTTTAATAATAACATGTTATTTAAAAGGCTCCTGCCTCAGCCTCCTGAGTAGTTGGGATTACAGGTGTGCCCCAACACACTTAGCTAATTTTTGTATTTTTAGTAGAGACGAGTTTCACCATGATCCACCTTCCTTGGCCTCCCAAAGTGCTGGTGCTGGGATTACAGGCATGAGCCACCACGCCCAGCCTTTTTTTTTTTTTTTTTTTTTTTTTTTTGAGGCAGAGTCTTGCTCTGTTGCCCAGGCTGGAGTGCAGTGGCATGACCTTGGGTCACTGCAACCTCTGCCTCCTGGCTTCAAGTGATTCTCCTGCCTCAGCCTCCTGAGAATCTGGGACTACAGGCACCTGCCACCACATCCAGCTAATTTTTTTATTTTTAGTGGAGAGGGGCTTTCACCATGTTGCCTAGACTGGTCTTGAACTCCTGATCTCAAGTGATCCACCCACCTTGGCCTCCCAAAGTGTTGGGATTACAGGCGTGAGTCACCGCACCTGGCCCCCTGCTTTGACTTTCTGCAGAGAACTTTCACCTCTGATACAGCCTCTTTATTAGTATATGTATTTGTCTGTCTCTACTAGAAAGTGGCCTCCTTTAGAGCACGGACTTTGTTTTGTTTACAGACATGTCCCCTGCACCTAGAACAGTATATCTGGTATGTAGTAGATACTTAGGAAATCGTTATGTAAGGGAGAGAAGTGGGGAGAGAGTTATTTTTCTGTCTGTTTAACTTGTTATGGACTTCCTTTGCCCACCTAACAATTGCAGGCTATGAAAACAGCTTCCTTCAAACTGAGATACGTAATGTCCCTTGTAGTTTTAAATTTCAGATGATCCCTTTAGAATATCTTATTTTGGATATTCTATAACCTTATAATAATTTAGGGATCATGATTTAGGAGTGTTTGCCAAAAGTCGTTTGCCTATTAGAGAGCCCAGTGGAGTCTGTACCCTAGGGTACTCTCACTCCCTCTGCCCTACCACTGAGGACAAAGGTGAACGCAGCCATTCCAGTTGCCCCTAGGTACAATGGGGAATGGGGGAAAAGAGAGTCAGCCTTGCTGTGTCCGCAGCTCTGTCTGCAGTGTTGCTGTGTTATCCATTCTGGTGGACTGTGTATTCTGAACATGGGTGCCTTGGGTACATGTGCCCAGGAATGAGTGGGAAATCTCACTGAGCAATTTTGAATGGAAACTACTTGTCTAAAATCAGCTTGACCCTGAAGCCTGAGAATGATGCATGTGGTTAGGAGAAACCAGAGGCTGAGTGCATCAGCTTGTCTCCCTGTAGAGGGTGTAGTTTGGGCTGATGTAACAAAAGACCTTTGAAATTTATTGCTCACAGATCTGGAGGCTGGGACATCTCACATCAGAGCATTGGCAGTTTCAGGGTCTGGTGATGGCTCACTTTCTGCTTCATAGCCACAGCTGGTGCCTTCTAGCTACTTCCTCACATGGCAGAAGGGGCAAGCAAACTCCTTTGGGCCACTTCAATAAGAGCACTAATCCCATTCATAAGGGGGGACTCCTCATGACCTAATGACCTTAAAGACCCCACCTCAATGCTGTTGAATCAGAGATTAGGTTAGAATCCCCCTCCAACTTAAAAATTTGGAGGGGGATTCTAACATTCAGACCATAGCAATAGATAAGCAACTTGCTCTTGTCTGTACAATGAGAATAAAGTCTCTACTACTTGCCACTCATATCTGAGCTCTCTAAGGAAAAATAATCTTCTGTCTTCCTAGTGTGGAAGTGATTCGTCTTGGACAGAGTCACTTTATCAACTGGGACCTGCAAATGTACTATGCTGAGAAGGACACACCCGCAAAAGCTAGAACCACGACGCTCAATGAACAACTCGGGCAGATCCATTATATCTTCTCTGATAAGACAGGGACGCTCACACAAAATATCATGACCTTTAAAAAGTGCTGTATCAATGGGCAGATATATGGTGAGTGGAAGCCATCACTCATTTTCTGGGTGAGTGGGGGCTGCTTGCCCTGTACAGGGCACTACCTGGACCAGAGCCTGTCTCCTGGGGTTGCTGGTGCCCTCCTGATGCAGAGTCCTGCTGTGTAGGCCATTCTCCAGCTAAATGCAGAGGAGCACCATGGACAGCACTGGGGACACATACGTGAAAGAGGACAGCAGTCAGAAGTGGGCTAACAGCTGGGTGTAATGGCTCATGCCTATAATCCCAGCACTTTGGGAGGCTGAGGCAGATGGATCCCTTGAGGTTAGGAGTTCAAGACCAGCCTGGCCAACAAGGAAAAACCCTGTCTCTACTAAAAATATAAAAATTAACCAGGTATGGTGGTGGTATATGCCTGTAATCCCAGTTACTCGGGAGGCTGAGGCAGAATTGCTTGAACCCGGGAGGCAGAGGTTGCAGTGAGCCGAGATCATGTCACAGGACTCCAGCCTGGGCAACAGAGTGAGAATCTGTCTCAGAAAAAGAAAAAAAACTAGAAGTCTCATTACTGTATGAACTAGCAATTCCACTTCAGGTTATATACTCAAAATAACTGAAACAGGGACCAAGGAGGTATGTGTACACCAAAGAGGTATTTGTACGTGGCAGCATTATTCACAACAGCCAAAAGATGGAAGCAACCCAAGCATTCATCAATGGATGAATGAATAAACCAAATGTGGTATACATACAGTGGAATATTATTCAGAAGAAAAATCTGACAAATGCCACAGCACAGATGAACCTTAACTCATTTATGCTGGAGGTTGCAATTTTTTTAATTTTTACAATCAGACCTTGGTGGTGACCTTGAGCAATAGAGTATAAATAACTCCCACATGCCTAGCGTTCCAATAATGGAACATTAGACATAAATGGGTTAAGGACATTATGCTGTGTGAAGTAAGCCAGTCACAAAAGAACAAATATTGTATAATTCTGCTTATATGAGGTACTTAGAATAATCAAATTTATACAAAGTAAAATGGTGGTTACCAGGGGTGGGTGGTGGGGGAGGGGGAGAGCAGGGGAATTGGGAGTTGGTTTAATGTTTACAGAGTTTCAATTTTGCAAGATGAAACAGCTGTTCAATAGTATTACTTCATGCCACTGAACTGCATGCTTAAGAGTGGTTAAAATGGGCAGCATGCAGTGTTTTATGCTTATAATAAGAACGCTTTTGGAGGTTAAGGCGGGAGGACCGCTCAAGACCCAGAATTCTAGACCAGCCTGGGTTACAAAGCAAGGCCCCTTCCCTACAAATTTAAACAATTAGCAGAATATGATGGTGCATGCCTATAGTCCCAGCTACTTGGGAGGCTGGGGCAGAAAGATCCCTTGAGCTGGGGAGTTGAAGGCTATAGTGAGCCAAGATGACACCACCGCACTCCAGCATGGGTGACAGAGTGAAACCCTTACTCGAACAAAAAAATTGTTAAGATGGTGAATTTTATTATGTGTATTTCACTACTGTTGTTTTTGTTTTCTTTGTTGTTTTTGTTTTTGAGATGGAGTCTCACTCTATTGCCCAGGCTGGGGTACAGTGGTGTGATCTCAGCTCACTGCAACCTCTGCCTCCAAGGTCCACATGATCCTCCTCACTCAACTTCCTGAATAGCTGGGATTCCAGGTGCACACCACCATGCCTGGCTAATTTTTTTTTTTTTTTTTTTTTAGTAGAGACGGGGTTTCACCATGTTGACCAGGCTGTTCTTGAACCTCTGACCTCAAGTGATGCACCTGCCTCTGCCCCCCAAAGTGCTGGGGTTACAAGCATGAGCCACCATACCTGGCCTACAGTTGTTTTTTGTTTTTGTTTTTGTTTTTTTTTGAGACAGAGTCTCACTCTGTTGCCCAGACTGAACTACAGTGGTGTGATCTTTGGCTCAGTGCAACCTCCTTCTTCCAGGTTCAAGTGATTCTCCTGCCTCAGCCTCCCAAGTAGCTGGGACTATAGGCACGTGCCACCATTCCTGGCTAATTTTTGTATTTTTGGTAGAGATGGAGTTTCACCATATAGCCAGACTAGTGTTGAACTCCTTACCTCAGGTGATCCACCCATCTCAGCCTCCCAAAGTGCTGGGATTACAGGAGGGAGCCACCACAGCCAGCCAATTGTTTTAAAGGTTGATTTCAGTACTTATTTTCGGAAACATTTAGAAATTTAATTTTCTGTAAGTTTACAAATAATAAGGCTAATACTATACTTAAATACAGTGTTCTCTATTTCAAATAGACTTAATAGCACAACTGTTTAAAATGGCATAGGGAAATGAAAATATACTTCCTAATTGTAGGAAACTGTATACTGTGAGTGCTTTTTCTCATAAGGAGTATCAGTGAGGATGGAGGGATGCTGAGGGGCTGAGGACGTGGCTCACACGTGTGGGTCCTTCTGACTTGGGAGAGGTAAAACATTTCAAAGGATATGATTCAGGCCCCTAGGATAATGTAGTGGAGAGGGACCAGTATTTGAATATCTAGACCAGGGATCAGCAAACGTTTTCTGTAAAGAGCCAGATAATAAATATTTTAGCCTTTCCAGGTCATATGTGGTCTCACCACCACCATTATTGAGCAAAGCCAGGTAACGAGGGGCTTCTGGACACAGGTGGAGAATCAATTTGTTTTGTCCTGTTTGTTTCTCAGGGGACCATCGGGATGCCTCTCAACACAACCATAACAAAATAGAGGTAAGACCTTAAAGCTGAAGACTTGTTTGGGATGCTGGGGATGTATGTCAAGGTCGCAGCAGGGCCACTCTTCCTTTGAAGGTCTAGGGAAAACTCTTGTTGTTCTTCCCTGCACCTGGTGGTTACCCACAGTCCTTGGTGTTCCTTGGCTTAGAGACTTGAAACACAACTCTGTGTCTCTACCTCTGTTGTCACATGGTATCTCCCTGTGTGTCTGTGTGTCTCTGTATTCACATTTCTCCTTCTTTTTTTTTCTTTTGACACAGATTCTCACTCTGTTGCCCAGGCTGGAGTGCGGCTCACAGCAACCTCCACCCATTAAGTTCAAGCGATTTTCCTGCCTCATCCTCCAGAGTAGCTGGGATTACAAGCGTGTGTCACCACGCCCAGCTAATTTTTGTATTTTAGAGACAACGTTTCACCATGTTGATCAGGCTGGTCTTGATCTCCTGACCTCACGATCCAACTGCCACAGCCTCCCAAAGTGCTGGGATTCCAGGCATGAGCCACCATGCCTGGCCAGCACATTTCCCCTTCTTATAAGGATACCAGTCATTGGATTAGGACCCACCCTAATCAAGTATGACCTCATTTGATCTTGATTACATCTGTGAAGACCCTACTTCTAAATAAGATCACATTCATAGGTACCAGAAGGTTAGAACTTCAACATATCTTTTGGGGGAACACAGTTTAATCCACCGCAAAGTACCTTTTGACTGGGCATGGTGGCTCATACCTGTAATCCCAGCACTTTGGGAAACTAAGGTAGGCAGATCAATTGAGTCAAGGAATTTGAAACCAATGAAAACCCATATCTACAAAGAAGTACAAAAGTTAGCCAGATATGGTGGTGCATACCTGTAGGCCCATCTACTCGGAAGGATTGCTTGAGCCCAGGAGGCAGAGGTTGCAGAGAGCTGAGATCGAGCCACTGCACTCCAGCCTGGATGACAGAGTGAGACCCTGTTTCAAAAAAAAAAAGTGTCTTTATTTAAGATAGCTGTGAGCCTCTTGACATTTAAGAATATGCTAAAATCCTAAGGTGGTTTTTGCATTTCAAAGGATACAAAGAAATGAGTGACTGGATTGCCTGCCTTTGAATAAAAATTCATGTCATTTGTTAAGTCAAAAATATTTTATAAAATCATATTTTGCTTTTCTCTATTTCTTTCAGCAAGTTGATTTTAGCTGGAACACATATGCTGACGGGAAGTTTGCATTTTATGACCACTATCTTATTGAGCAAATCCAATCAGGGAAGGAGCCAGAAGTGCGACAGTTCTTCTTCTTGCTCGCAGTTTGCCACACGGTCATGGTGGATAGGATTGATGGTGAGTGTTTCTCTGGCATCTCAGGCATTGGAGATCAGGTTTTTCATTTGCAGGTAACTCCTACTTATGACTCAAATGCATGTCAAGTAGCACACGCATCTGTCTCATATTCGAATGCAGTGAATATTTTTCAGCACCTACCACTAGATGGTTTATGAAACAGCAAAGTAGGAACAAGCTTCTTGTCCCTGAAAATTTACATCTTATTCATAGTTACAGCTCCAGGTGTGTTTTTTTTTTTTTTTTTTACTTTATAAATGAAATCTGATTGAGAAATGGTTGATACTTGAATTATGATAGAAGAATCTAACTTTTCTCCACACATGATTACCGAGCATTTTGCTGAGAGTGAAAAGTCAAGCCTTATCTAATAAGAAATGGACTTTGAACTCGGCTAATCTTTTCTACCAAATAATTTCAGATATATGCTTTTATTTACTAGATTCTGTTATAGTTTGGGTTTGAAATGACATCAGTCACAGCCTGGATCTCTTTAAGGTACCTTTTCCATGTAAAGGAGCATAATTAATGTGAGTTTCATGGGAACAAGCCAGAATGGCTTGTAGGTTCCTTTGCAGAAACCTTAAATGCAGTTTGTGCCAGCTTTGTCACAGCAAGTTTGTCCTGTATCAAGGAAAGCTAGTCGTTTTACCAGAAATGGACATAATGATAAATTATATAGACATACGTGCACTTTATAGAAAAAGCAAAAGGAGTTCCTTTGGTGTTTCTGTAATGAAGCGCAGTGCCTTCACTTCATCCACTTCATCCACTTCACTGCATCTCCCACTTTTACTTCACTCAGTGCAACATACATAAGTCCCTCTCTGTTCTCAATTTCGATGTTTCATATGTAGCAGGTATGAAGTTTCCAGGGAAGGAATATGCACAGAAACTAAATGTGGGCTGGGCGCAGTGGCTCACACCTGTAATCCCAGCACTTTGGGAGGCCAAGGCGGGAGGATCACGAAGTCAGGAGATCGAGACCATCCTGACCAGCATGGAGCAACCCTGCCTCTACTAAAATACACGCCAAAAAAATTAGCCAGGTGTGGTGGCACGTGCCTGTAGTCCCAGCTACTCAGAAGGCTGAGGCAGAGGAATCCCTTGAACCTGGGAGGCAGAGGTTGCAGTTAGCCGAGACTGGGCCACTGCACTCCAGCCTGGAGACAGAGCAAGACTCCAACTCAAAAAAAAAAAAAAAAAACCGCCCTAAATGTGTAGGCTAACACTTGGTGGCTCACACCTGTCATCCCAGCATTTGGAAGGTCGAGGTGAGTGGATTGCTTAAGCTCAGGTGTTCAAGACCAGCCTCAGCAACATGGCAAAACCACATCTCACCAAAAAATATAAAAATTCACCGGGCATGATAGCACATGCCTGTAGTCCCAGCTACTCAGGTGGCTGAGGCAAGGATCGCTTGAGCCCAGGAGATCAAGGCTGCAGTGAGCCATGGTCCCACCACTACACTCCAGCCTGGGTGGTGGAGTGAGACCCTATCTCAGAAAAACAAAAATAAAACAAAACACCTAAATGTATAGAAGCTGTATGTGATACCTTTCAGCAAGTTTCAAAGAAACACATTTTCCAAAGATGAATCTCATATTGTAATGAAGCAAGGTTACAGAGTTCAAATTAGGATGGACACACGGAAGGGTTTATCAGCATTGTGGGGATGTATAGAAAGGGATGATACCAGGTCATGAATCATGGAAGCAGAGGTCAAAGTCTATTTGACTCACCATGCCAGTTTTCCTCATGCAATAAGCATAAAGTATGATACTACAAAGTCACCTGGTTCCCTTTGGCTTTTACTCATTAGTACAATTATTGTACACTTCTCTGAGTATGATAGTATTTTAAGGGCTAACTGGCCAACTTAGGCAAACGTTAATTCGTCCTGTGGTCTCTATTTTATTTTTCCCCAGTGGGATGTTATGGGAAGAGCCCTGGACCACGTGTTAGAGATGAGTCAGCCCAGTTTGGGTCCCTGTCTGAGAACCACCTTCCTCTGTGTTGTAGTAAGAAGGTTGGATGTTCAAAGTCCCTTCCAGCAGGTCCGGACACCATGGCTCACGCCTGCAATCCCAGCACTTTGGGAGCCTGAGGCGGGTGGATGAGGAGTTTGACACCATCCTGGACAACATGGTAAAACCCCATCTCTACTAAAAATACAAAAAATTAGCCGGACTTGGTGGCATGCACCTGTAGTCCCAGCTACTTGGGAGGCTCAGGCAGGAGAATTGCTTGAACCCAGCAGGTGGAGGTTGCAGTGGGCTGGGATCGCATCACTGCCCTCCAGCCTGGGCGACAGTGTGAGACTCCGCCTCAAAAAACAAAAATAAACAAAAAAAAGCCCCTTCCAGCCTAACTGTCTACAGCTCTTTGTCCCACTGTCAGCTGAAGCCAAGGATTACCACCTGGGGAGTCTTTCTTCTTTCCCTATAAGACAGGCAATTGCTGCATCCACTGAGAATAGAGACCTGTTAGGTTTCTAATGCAGGAGCTTAGAGAAGAAATTGATTTTGGCTTTTAACCATAAAGTACCAAGAAAGGATCCCTTGAAAAGGACTGTAAAGATTATATCTCGAAAAAAAAAATTTTTTTTTTTTTTAAGATGGAGTCTTGCTCTTGTCACCAGGCTAGAGTTCCATGGTACGATCTCAGCTCACTGCAACCTCCGCTTCCTGGGTTCAAGCAATTATCATACCCGAGCCTCCCGAGTACGAATACTATAGGCACCTGCCACCATGCCCAGCTAATTTTTGCATTTTTAGTAGAGACAAAGTTTCACCATGTTGGCCAGGCTGGTCTCGAACTCCGGACCTCTGGTGATCCACCCAGCTTAGCCTCCCAAAGTGCTGAAATTACAGGTGTGAGCCATCGTGTTCAGCCACCAAATTTTATAGATATGGAAATTTAGACTCAGAAAGCAGGTTTAAACTCATTCTAGTCCCATCCTCCCTCTGCTCCACCATGCTGCTGTCCCCTTGCTCTCATTTCCTCTTTTATAAGAATAGAGACCAGACATGGTGGCTCCTGCCTATAATCCCAGCACTTTGGGAAGCCAAGTTGGGTGAATTGCTTGAGCCCAGGATTTCCAGATCAGCCTGGGTGACATGGTGAAATGCCATCTGTATAAAAAAATTTAAAAAGAAATTAGCCAGGTGTGGTGGCACACACCTGTAGTCCCAGCTACTTGGAAGATTGAGGTGGGAGGATCACTTGAGCCTGGGCAGTTGAGGCTGCAATGAGACATGAGTATGCCACTGCACTCCAGCCTGGGTGACAGAGTGAGACCCTGTCTCCAGGGGAAAAAAACTGGACATAGCAGCAACAAGAGAGGGGAGAAAATCCTTTCATATATGTTGCCATGAACATCTGACTACTTCCACAATTTGTGTGGCCTGAGCATTGAGTACAGGTAGGGGCCAAGTATGAAGAGGATATATTAGTTTTCGTTTTTAATTTGCTTTCAAGATGGAGTCTTGCTCTGTCACCCAGGCTGGGGTGCAATGGCTTGATCTCAGTTCACTGCAACCTCCCCCTCCTGGTTTCAAGTGACTCTCGAACCTCAGCTTCCCAGTAGCTGGGATTGCAGCCACCCACCATCATGCTCGGCTCATTTTATGTTTTTGTAGAGACGAGTTTTCACCATGTTGGTCAGGCTGGTCTCAAGCTCCTGATCTCAAATGAGATCTGCCCACCTCAGCTTCCCAAAGTGCTGGGATTACAGGTGTGAGCCACTGTGCCCAGCCTTGAGCTTGGGGTGGAGAACAGTGGCACAATCTCGACTCACTCGTTGCAACCTCTGCCTTCAGAGTTCCAGCAATTCTCCTGCCTCAGCGTCCCTAGTAGCTGGAACTACAGACTCACACCACTATGCCTGGCTAATTTTGTATGTTTAGTAGAGATGGAGTTCTCTACTAAAGGCTGGTCTCGAACTCCTGACCTCAGGAGATCCGCCCACCTCTCCCAAAGTGCTGGGATTATAGGCATGAACCACCGCACCCAGCCTTCTTTTTTCTTTAATGATAAAAATATCAAGGTGTTTGCTCTAGATATGATTGTCTTACTTGTGGGAACTTTTACTACCTTTTATTATTTTGTTTCTTTTCTCTGCTGGAAATGTGTTTGCTGTCAGTATTGTGCCATATATCACTGTGCCAGCTTAAATTGCCGAAGGGAAGGGCTTTGTTCTCACCGCTGCTGCTGATTTGTTCCTGGTTAAATAGTTTGCCCTCTGGCATTTGTATATATTTGTCACATGGCCAGATTTATGAAGTGCTTTTATAGCTTCTGGTGAATGACTTTCTGGGTGAACAAATATAGAGAGACCCTAAAATGTCATCTTTAATTATTAATTAGGAAGTGATTAATACTGACTTAAAGAGTGAATCCTCTGAGCTAATTGTGAAGGAAGGAAGATGTGTTTAGCTCTCTCTGCCACCATTACCCCAGAGCACTGATCATTCCAAGTGAGAGTGGGGTATAAGCAGCTTCCCATGCATCTGTGGCCTTCGTCCTGGTCAAAATATTTTGGAAAACTAAATACCCTTTCTGTTCAGTCATCTGGCCATGGAAATGCTTTTCCTTCTATTTTGGGACAAAATAACTGGAGTAGAAAAATAGAAGATCTTGGGTAGGCAGAGTATTTTTTAAACATCTTATTGAAGTACAAAATGTGTTCAGAGATATATATGTATCATAAGTACATAGCTCAATAAATTTTCACAAACTAATATGCTCTTGTAATGAGTATCCAGATTTTAAAAAAAGAACATTATCAATTCTCCTAGAATTCCCTTTATATTTCTTTCCAATGATTACCCCTCTAAGAAAAGTGCTTTCCTCTCTATGAATAACACAGGTTAGCTTTGTCAGGTTTGTGGTTTATGAGTGGAATCATGTAGCATACGTTCTCTCGTGTATCTGGCTGTGAGATTTATTCCTATTCTTACTGGTTTTCTCTTTTTTCTAAAAGAGACTGCATCTTGCTCTGTCAGCCAAGCTGGAGTACAGTGACATGACGATAGCTCACTAGAACCTCACACTCCAGGGCGCAAGTGATCCTCCTGCCTCAGCCTCCTGAATAGCTGGGATTACAGGCACATGCCACTGAACCTAGTTTATTCTTATTGTTGAAATGTAGTTGTGAATAGAAGACAATTTTCCATTATTTAACTTTTAAACAGTAAGATATCTGATAGTGATCAAATTAAGGTTTTTTGTTGTTTTTTTTTTTTTTAAAAGGAGAATATAGCTATGGTAAAGAAAACATAGTCTGGGCAATGTGGTAAGACCTCTCTCTATTAAAAAAAAAAATTAGCTGGGTGTGGTGGTGTGCACCTATAGTCCCAGCTACCTGGGAAGCTGAGGTGAGAGGATCACTTGTGCTTGGGGTGGTTGAGGCTGCAGTGAGCTGAGATGGTGCCATTGCACTCTAGCCTTGGTGACACAGTAAGACCCTGTCTCAAAAAGAAAAAAGAAAGGAAGAAAACATACTCTTTTAGAGGGAAGATAAACTGGTAAAACAAGCCAGGTGTGGTGGCACGCACCTGTAGTCCTAACTACTCAGGAGACTGAGGCAGAAGAATCACTTGAGCCCCAGGCATCAGGGCCAGCCTGAACAATACGGGGAGACTCCTGTCTCTAAAAAGAAAAAAAAAAAAAACAGAAAAATCTTTACACACATACAGAAAGGTTATTAAATGTTATTTTTGAGAGTAAAAAAATTTCAGAAATAAACTTAATAAATATTTATAAAGTTCTCCACTTTATATACACAAAATATACATTCTTGTCAATATCACATCACACCTCATAGGTTTAAATGAAATATTGATTGGCCATTATTAATACCCATTTTTTAGAATAAAGCAACATTTCTGTTCTCTCTCCCTCTTTTTCTTCCTCTTTCTTCCTCTCCTTCACTCCTTTTTCTCCTTTCCATCTCTAAAAAATAAATAAATACAATAAAAAAAATAAAAAATTAACACCCCCCCCAAAAAAAATTTCGGAAATAAACTAAGTGTCTGTAATGGGAAAATGATAACATGTTTACATTTGTTCAAATGTTTAAAAAGAATTTACAAAGAGATGGCAATATGCTCAGATACAGCATTAAAATAATCAGGATGTGAATGTGTATTCAGCTTGACAAACAATTTCAGATATAGACATTTTAAAAGGGACTGGAAGGAATGATAAAATGTCAACACCTGTTGTTTTTCCCGTGGAGAGTGGGATTATGGGAATTTCCCCCATTCTCAGCCACTGTTTCACTTTTAGTTTACGTTACTGTTCATAAGTCAAGATAAAACAAAGATGTTTTAATAACCCTTTAGTCAATGACTCATTTTCCTGGGGATGTTTTGGGCTTTGCAGCCCAGCTGACCCCGACAGGAGCCTCAGTGGAGGCCTCAGCAGTGAGCTCTGTATTTGGATTTACAGCTTCTCTGGGATTTCTCTCACTTCCTTGTTAGGTCATCTCAATTACCAGGCAGCCTCTCCTGATGAAGGTGCCCTGGTAAATGCTGCCAGGAACTTTGGCTTTGTCTTCCTCGCCAGGACCCAGAACACCATCACCATCAGTGAGCTGGGCACTGAAAGGACCTATAATGTTCTTGCCATTTTGGACTTCAACAGTGACCGGAAGCGAATGTCTATCATTGGTAGGTCCCCCTCAGAGTCTGTCTATGAATCACTCATTTAGATACTTATGCCCATTGTATTGAGTGGCACCAAGATAAAGCAGACAATGAATAAGTTACTTGGCTCCTGGGAGATGTCTGCAGACTTAATTGAAACTGGTATTGTTTTCTTCATTCTTCACCGTGTTCCCTACTCAAAGGGACAGCTGCACTATCTCTAAATCTTGCAAAAGCTGCTGACTTTCTTTAACCATGTGAGCTGCCAGATGTTGAATCTGAACACTCCAGAAGCGGCATGTGGACACTTGTGGCAGTCTTTTATTTCAAGCAACACATGCTCTCTTTTTCTTCGAGCACCTCTGAGCTTTCTCTTCTGTACTTGATGACAGGGAAGGGAAGACTCAGCAGGAAAAGATTCCTGAGGAAAGCAAGGCTGTGCTTATGAATCAAAATCATACCTGCAATGTAGGCACATAACAGACCACCAAGTAAAGATAAAAAACACTTCCTAACACTGAACTGCTTTAAATTCATAATTTGAAATAATCTCAAACTTACAGAAAAGTTGCAAGAATGGTTTAAAGAACTCCCATATTCCTTCATATCCACCAGTTGTTAACATTTGCCATATTTTTAATTTCATTATATACATCTATATACATACACACATATATGTACGCACACATACATACAGATATTGTTTTCTGAACCATTTGAGGTGAATTTCATTAGAAGGAGCAAGATTACATGACTTAAATAAATATATATATTCGTGTGTATATGTGTGTATGTACATATATGTATATATATTTAATATATATATATATATATAAGAGAGAATAAACTGCAGCCCTAATGTCCCTTTCCCCCTAAGTACTGTACTATATACCACAGTAGGTATTTCCTAAGAACAAGAACACTCACTTGTATATACAGTCCAATGATCAGAACCAGAAAATTTAACACCATACAATATTATCTAATTGATAGACTTTTTCAGATTTTACCAGGGAAGTTCATTCTTTATGTTTTTCTGGTACAGGATCCAATGCAAGATCACAGGTTACATTAAGTGATAATGACTCTGAGTCAAGGATGGTTCAATCTGTTTTCGATCTTTCATCCACGGATATTTTTTTAACAGCACAGGCCAGTTATTTTATAGGCTCTGCCTCCATTTGGGTTTCTCCAATGTTCCACCATGATTAGAGCTAGGTTACACATTGTTGGCGGGAAGAGTCCATAAGTAATGCCTTTCTCTAAGTATCACATCAGAAGGTATATATTATTGGGAATGGTAATTTTGATTACTTGGTTAAGGCGGTGTCTACAAGCCTCCTCCACTATGATATTGAATTTTTTTTTTTTTTTGAGGATTCTCGCTCTGTTGCCAGGCTGGAGTGCAGTGGCATGATCTTGGCTCAGTGCAACCTCCACCTCCCGGGTTCAAGTTATTCTCCTGCCTCAGCCTCCTAAGTAGCTGGGACTGTACACAGGCGTGTACCACCACACCCAGCTAATTTTTGCATTTTTAGTAGAGAAGGGGTTTCACCTTGTTGGCCAGGATGGTCTCGATTTCTTGACCTCATGATTCACCCATCTTGGCCTCCCAAAGTGCTGCGATTATAGGCATGAGCCACCGCACCTGGCTTGATATTGAATTTTTAACCAATAAAAATATACAGGTTTAACTATTACACCCTCCTTAGGCACATTTACTGAATCCTCTCTGTGTCCCTCACACAGATCGAGACTGATTTTCATGCCTGTCATCTACCCTGCCTTATAAACTAGTTAGCAATGAGACATGTATTGCAATTGTGTACTAATTAAGAAACAAAAGAAAGGAGTGGTGTTATGGTCCGTGTATTAAAGGCAATAAGTGTTGTGAGTTCTTCTTACATGAGAAACTTCCTGTTGGTTGGATGGAGGAAAATTCTATGAAAGAAAGTAACTAGCACACGGCATAGCACATGGTAGGGAGTCAGTAAATATTTGTTGGAAGAATAAGTAAGGTTATGGAAAACAGAGCTGACTGTGAAGGAATCTTTTTATATTTATTTCACTATTATAGTCAATGTAGATAGTGACTTACCAGTTTTGTTAAAGGCAACACTTTTCTAGATGAACTGATGATTTTAAGCTAGTAGTGAATTATGAGCCTAGCAACCCTTCAAATTAACTTTATAAATGTAGTTTTCTATTAAGCAATCAAACTTAGCTAGGCGCGGTGGCTCACATCTGTAATCACAGCACTTTGGGAGGCTGAGGCAGGAGGATTGCTTGAGCCCAGGAGTTCAAGACCAGCTTAACATAGTGAGACCTCCATGTCTATAAAAATAAAAAATTAGCCAGTCATAGTGGAATGCATCTGTAGTCCCAGCTACTCAGGAGGCTGAGATGGAAGGATTGCTTGAGCTGGGGAGGTCAAGGCTGCAGTGAGCCAATATTGCACCACTGTACTCCAACCTGGGTGACAGAATAAGACCCTGTCTAAAAAAAAAAATCAAACTAACTTTGAATTTTGTTATGTTGATTTCCTTCTTTTACTACCAGTAAGAACTCCAGAAGGCAATATCAAGCTTTACTGTAAAGGTGCTGATACTGTTATTTATGAACGGTTACATCAAATGAACCCTACTAAGCAAGAAACACAGGATGCCCTGGATGTAAGTGTCACTTTTATTCTTTCTGTGAGGGAGTCTGATCTTACTCTCTGATGCTGTCTGTTAAGTTTGCATGAAAGCTGTATGTTAACTGCTGACCGTCCCTTTGCTTTGGAATAGTTGAGGCAGAAAGAGCAGCAAAGTAGCATTACAGCCACCTGGGTTCCAGTACTGCCCCTGCCGTTGACTTCCTGGGATATGAACATAGTGCCTTCGCCCAGCATCTGGGTCTTCCAGGTTTGTAGGATTAAGGCAGGAGAATGGCTTAGCTCTCTTCCAGTGACCTTGAGCAGGCTGCATAACTGTCCTAGGTTGTAGTCTTACTATGTGTGTGGCTTCCAAGAACTTCACTAACTTCGAGGTGTAGCATGAAGGAAGGAAAGCCTTCGTATGTGACAGGATGACAAAGCAATGTGTGGGATCATTGACTTCTGATAGCTTTGTTAGTAAAACAGTTTGGCTCAATTACTTCCAAGTCCTTAGAAGGCTGTATGCTTAGTCCAGTGATGTTGCCACTACTCAGAATGTTTCTGGAACTTCCACTGTTGGAATTACCTACCACTCCTCATGTTGTTTTGGTTCTGTACAACAATGGCAGGGAGGCATGGAGGACATCAGTCCAACCTGGTGTCCCTGCCTCTTTACTAGTTTGCATCTTTGGAAAAAATGGTAGGTATATTATGTGAATCATTAATTCCCCCTGTGAAAGAGGGAAGGGATAATTCCCATCATGGAGGATCATTGCAAGAGAAAGCATCTTTCACAGTGGCTAGCACCTAGGAGGTACTTAATATAGGGTGGGTTTTTTCCCCTTTATTTTAAGGATTGATTGAGTTTTAGAGCCAGCTAAACAGCCTTCAGAGAGGAGCCTGATGAATATGTTCTCTCCTAAGTGGAGTCACATTTTAAGATTATATACTGATGCTGATGCACTTAAAACTGACAAGTTCTTATGAGGATATGAATGATGACCATCTAATCAAATAAATGCAGAACCTTCCAAATAATCTTTGAGAGCAAATACTCAATCAGTTGAACCACTTTTGCTGTCTTGGCTAAACAAGATATGACTATAGGCCAGCCGTGGTGTCTCACGCATATAATCCCAACAGTTTGGGAAGCCAAGGTGGGCATGTCACCTGAGGTCAGGAGTTCGAGACCAGCCTGGCCAACATGGCAAAACCCCATCTCTATAAAATTAAAAATAAAAATAAATAATAAAGTTGTCAGGTTCATGTTTATGTCACTACACCCGAAGTCATCTCCCTTGATTTGATATTTTCCTAGTCATTAAGAGAAAAAGGTTTTCTTCACTCTAGTGACTTGACTAAGAAGAAAGATGAACTTTTCCCTTTAGAAACTGGAAGTGCAGTCCTGGACCCTATAGAAGTTTAGAAAAGCAAAGTCTATTAGAAAGTGATGTTTAGGCCAGGCATGGTGGCTCATGCCTGTAATCACAGCATGTTGGGAAGTTGAGTTGGGCAGATCATATGAGCTCATGAGTTCATGACCAGCATGATTAAACCTCGTTTCTACAAAAAGTACAAAAATTAGGCATGGTGGTGCACACCTGTAGTACCAGCTACTTGGGAGGCTGAGGTGAGAGGATGGCTTCAGCCTGGAAGGTGGAGGTTGCAGCAAGCCGGGATTGCATCACTGCATCCCAGCCTGGGTGATAAAGCCAGACCTTGTCTCAAAAAAAAAAAAAAAAAAAAAAAAGTGACAGTTAATCCCTCCTCTAAAATGTATTATACAGAATCCATTATCCTTAATGGTCTCTTTTTAAATTCTGATACTGTATTACTTCAAAGTAAAATTTTAAACTTGCTCTTGAATTGCATAAAATTAACTACTCTTTGTACTCATGTTTTTTGTTTTTTGTTTTAAATAAAACAGGTCTTTGCAAATGAAACTCTTAGAACCCTGTGCCTTTGCTACAAAGAAATTGAAGAAAAAGATTTTGCAGAATGGAATAAAAAGTTTATGGCTGCCAGTGTGTCCTCGACCCACCGAGACGAAGCTCTGGATAAAGTATATGAGGAAATTGAAAAAGACTTAATTGTGAGTTTTAGCCTTAATAACTTTTTCTGATAGTCAAAGCAGAATTGAAATTTTTATTAAACTTTATTGAATATTTGATCTCATGCTTAAGAGATAATTGTAACTTCAGCATTTGACATTGGCACAGTGGAAGAAGGTTCTTTCTTTTGTTGAGCAAAATAGAAGCAGAACAGAAGTTATCATTATCAGAAACCAAAAGACTAAACACATTAGGAGAGGTTCTAATTCAATTCCATTGTTTTTATATCACTTATTAAAATGTATTATAATTTTTAAACAATAACAAACCTGTATCTAATACTTATTACATTGAGAGAACTACTGAGACAATTCATATTCTACCAAATTCTGAAATAAGAAAAATATGTTGTTTCTCAAAGTTTTCCAGATTTCATACCTAGTTCAAGAAATGTTCAACAAATAGCTAGTATTGCAAGTGGTTTATGTCAGTGTAAAGCCACAAATATCCAGGGAAAGTCTACTTCTAACATCCTTGATTTTGTACTTGCATTTTTGTCTCAGTAAATTAAATAGTTCATTCTTTAGGGAGAAAGTTTTTAGCTGTGTTAGTTTGCAGTAGATGTGAAACATGGCAGCCTTCCCTGTCAACACTGGCCATTGGCCCCAGGAGAGCAGCAACCAGGATGTATAACTAGCCCTTCTTTTTACAGATTGGCAACCTGTAATTACAGAAAACTTTTGGTTTATTTGTTAATTCCTTTTTCTTTTAAATGTACATTCTAGCTCCTGGGAGCTACAGCTATTGAGGACAAGCTGCAGGATGGAGTTCCAGAGACCATTTCAAAACTTGCGAAAGCTGACATTAAGATCTGGGTTCTTACTGGAGACAAAAAGGGTAATTCATTGTTCAGGGAAGCATATCTGTTAATTCACAAATGTTTATAGCTGCCGTTTCCTTTGCCCAAGATGACCTCCTCAGACTTTTCATCCTGTACAGTGTTTCCTTGGACGGAAGATGCTTTTCTGAGAAACCCTTCTCTGTTATTCCAGCACACCCTTCTGCATCCTTTCCTGATCCCCCTCAGTAGCAGTTTCTTTTTTATAATTGAGCTCCTGGCCATGTTTTGCTCATTATGATTGGTCTTATCTCTCCAGCCAGACGTGGGCTCCTGTCCTGAAAGGGCCATCCCCTTCGTCCCTCTGTCCTTCCAGTGCCTTGACATTCGGTGGGCACAGAGTAGAACAATACAAAGTGCTGAATAGTAACTTTTGTTTTCTTGCCCGTTTTATTGCTTGGCAATAAAATTGTATACTTATGGAAAGAACGATTTTAATGTTTAACTTTAGAACTCAACAAGCACTTGTTTGGTATTGATGCTTTACTTGGCAAGCCTTTCACAGAAGTCAAATAACGTCTCTTGCTCTGAAGTCGTCACTGGGTTACACACTCTGTGAAGTTAAGAGAAGCACAGCCCTGACCTTAAATAAATGCCAAATTGGGTGGTAGTCTAAAAAGGAAAAATGAAAATCACCGGGTGCAGTGGTTCACCCTTGAAATCCAAGCACATTGGGACGCTGAGGTGGGCAGATCATCAGGTCAGGAGATCAAGACCAACATGGTGAAACCCTGCCTCTACTAAAAATACAAACATTAGCTAGATGTGGTGGCATGTGCCTGCAATCCCAGCTCAGGAGGCTGAGGCAGGAGAATCGCTTTAACCTGGAAGGCAGAGGTTGTAGTGTGCCAAGATCATGCCACTACACTCCAGCCTGGGTGACAGAGCAAAACTCTATCTCAAAAACAAGGGAAAAAAATCTTCATGTAAGGGTTGGTGGAAATTATCTTTACCTCTCTCCCCTACCCTCCCACCAATAATAGAGTAATTAAACTATGAACTAACAGTGTTTAGTAATTAATGAACATTGGTTTATTAAATAAGCAGTTTATATGTTTGATGATATAGCACATATTTTAATTGAAAACATTTCAAATTAGACTTTGACTTTTACTTGTTTTATTATAGAGAAAAGGATTTTTTTTCTGCATATGATTCCTATAGATTGCTATAGAAAAACATCATATTTGTGTGAATCTGGTTATGTTCATGCACTAAAAAACATCATTACTAGGTAAAATTAATTATTCAGTTCAACAGTAAGAATGAGCCTGGCAAACATGATGAAACCCCATCTCTAGAAAAAATACAAAAGTTCCAGCCTGGCCAACCTGGTAAAACCTCATCTCTACTAAAGATACAAAAAGTTAGCTGGGCTTGGTGGCATGTGCCTGTAATCCCAGCTACTCAGGAGGCTGAGGCAGGACAATCGCTTGAATCCAGGAGGCGGAGGTTGCAGTGAGCTGAGATCGCATCATTGCACTCCAGCCTGGGCAACAGGGCGAGACTCCACCTAAAAAAAAAAAAGAAAAAGAAAAAGAAAGAAAAGCAAAGAAAAAATACAAAAGTTAACCAGGTTTGGTAGCAAGTGTGTATTCCCAGGTCCTTGGGGCCTGGGGGAAGCGCTGAGATGGGAAGATGAGCCCCGGAGGTCGAGGCTGCAGTGAGCAGAAATTGTGCCACTGCACTTCAGCTTAGGCAATGGGAGTGAGATGCTGTCTCAAAAAACAAAATAAACACAGCAGGAATAACGTTTGCCTTAATTTTATTCTATTGTAGAAACTGCTGAAAATATAGGATTTGCTTGTGAACTTCTGACTGAAGACACCACCATCTGCTACGGGGAGGATATTAAGTGAGTAAGAGCCTGCAGTATGAAATTACATCATAGCTCATCGTTCCAAATACAAGACTGTCTGAAGAAGACAGCCAATTTGGAGAGTTAGAGGCTACGATATGTCACTTGGGGCAGTTTGCGCACGTTTAAACGAAGCAAGACAACGGACAGTTCCAAGTAATCAGGGTTCAGCTTAATTTTGAGCAGATTTTACTTTTAGGGAAAGTTGGGGCCCTTCAGAGGCCATTTTTCTCCACTCCTTCTCAGCACAGGCTGGGGCGGTGGGTCACGCCTGTAATCCCAGCCCTTTGGGAGACCGAGGTGGGTGGATCACCTGAGGTCATGAGTTCTAGACCAGCCTGGCCAACATGGTGAAACGCCATCTCTCCCAAAACTATAAAAAGTAGCTGGATGTAGTGGCCACTGCTTGTAATCCCAGCTACTCTGGAGGCTGAGGCAGGAGAATCACTTGAACCTGGGAGTCAGATGTTACAATGAGTCAATATCTCACCACTGCACTCCAGCCTGAGCAACAAGAATGAAACTCTGACTCAAACAAACAAAAAAAAGTCTTCTTATTTCACCTTACTGGAAAAGGAAGTGAGCCTGTAATATCGTTAGCAAATTAATGTGAATTATAGTCCTGTTTTGCTTTTTCTAGGAACTTTTACTTTTGAAAGGGAAATAGAAGAAAGGAAAAAAAAAATACCTTTGCCCAGAAGGAAATGTGTGGGCGGGTTACATCATGTAGGTCCTCTGTAATCTAGTCTAGGTGGGGCAGGCCTGATAATTCAAATGTTAGCATATGCTGAAACGTTTGTTAGCTTTGAATCAGAGTCACAGCAGACCTGGAAATGTATGTTGAAAAAGCCCTGTCTTGTTCTGAAGCTATAAATACTCTGCACACAGTTGCTATGATGTGTTGACTGATGGCCTGACAGTTCCTTAAGCTTTTTCCTTACCTCTCTCAGACCAGCATGAGGTCAGATTAAGCTGTTAACACACACACAGTTGCCAGGTCTGATAAAGTGATGAGGGAATTGACAGTCAATATTAGTCTTATTTCTAATGATGATGATAAGGCATTTTCTAGTTGTTGTAGTATATTAGGTGCTCTGTTAAATTAGACAAACAAAATCAGTAGCCTTGTGATCTACATCAGTTCCATTTAGAACTGATTTCATTTATGTGCCTGAATACAGGCACATAAACCATGCCCCTTTGTGTTTTTAGGTTTTAAAAAAGTAGCAACAGGGCCGGGTGCAGGGGCTCACACCTGTAATCCCAGCACTTTGGGAGGCCGAGGTGGGTGGATCACGAGGTCAAGAGATTGAGACCATCCTGGCCAACATGGAGAAACCTCATTTCTACTAAAAATACAAAAATTAGCTGGGCATGGTGGTGTGTGCCTTTAGTCTCAGCTATTTGGGAGACTGAGGCAGAATTGCTTCAACCTGGGAGGCGGAGGTTGCAGTGAGCCAAGATCGCATCACTTCACTCCAGTCTGGTGACAGAGCAAGACTTTGTCTCAAAAAAACAAAAAAAAAGGGCAAAGCACTTCGAGTAGACATTTTTTCCAAAGAAGACACACAAATGGCTGATAAACATGTAAAAGAATGCTCATCATCACTAATCATTAGGGGAAGAGAAATCAAAACCAATGCGAGATAACACCGCACACCCTTTATGATGGCTATTATCAAAAACAAAAGACAATAGAAAATAACAAGCATTGGTAAAGAAACCTTTGTGCATTGTTGATGGAATATATAAAATGGTTCAGCCACTATGCAAAATAGCATGGTGATGCTTCAAAAAATTTTAAAAAGGAGTACCGTATGATTCAACAATCCCACTTTCTATTTTTATTTTTTATTTTATTTTATTTATTTTTTAAGATGCGGTTTCACCATGTTGGTCAGGCTGGCCTTGAACTCCTGACCTCAGGTGATCCGCCTGCCTTGGCCTCCAAAGTGCTTGGATTACAGACGTGAGCCACCACGCCCGGATATACACTTCTAGGTATATCCACAAAATAATTGAAAGCAGGATCTGAGAGAGATACATGCACACCCGTGTTAATAGCAATGCTGTTCACAGTAGCCAAGAGGTGGATGCAACCCAGGTGCCTATCAGTGTATGACGGATAACAGAATGTGGTGCCTCCACATAATGAAATATATTCCACTTTGAAAAGGAAGGAAATTACGACATGCGTTAAATAGATGAACCTTGAGGACATTATGCTAAGTGAGATAAACCAGTCACAAAAAGACAAACACTGTCTGATTTCACATAGATGAGGTATCTAGAGTGCTCAGATTCATTCCAACAGAAAGTAAACTGGAAGTTGCCAGGGACTAGAGGAGGGTGAGATGAGGTGTTATTGTTTAATAGCTGTAGAGTTTCGGTTTTGCAGAAAAAGTTCTAGAGATTGGTGGGATAACAATGTGACTGTACTTAACACTAATAAGCTGTACGCTTAAAAATGGTCAAAACCTGGGATGTGGTGAAACCCTGTCACTACAAAAAGTACAAAAATTAGCTGGGAGTGGTAGCACGTGAGTATAGTCCCAGCAACTCAGGAGGCTGAGTCTGGAGAATCACTTGAGCCTGGGAGGTCGAGGCTGCAGTGACCCATGGTCATGCCACTGCACTCCAGCCTGGGCAACTGAGTGAGACCCTCTCTCAAAAGAATTATAATGAAAATAAAATAAATAAACAAAAATAGTTAAGAAGGTAAACTTTGTTTTTTGTCACAATTTTTTTTAAGTCAAAATTATCTCAGGGTCAAGGGCCTGTTTATGGTCTTATACTTTAAACACTTAAATTTGTTTTCCCCTAGTTCTCTTCTTCACTCAAGGATGGAAAACCAGAGGAACAGAGGTGGAGTCTATGCAAAGTTTGTACCGCCTGTGCAGGAACCTTTTTTTCCATCTGGTGGGAACCGTGCCTTAATCATCACTGGTTCTTGGCTGGTATGTATCATTAGTGTTTCTGTGCCTTAAACTTGAAAGAAGTTCATTTGAGGCCACTTTTAAATGCTTTCACATATTAACTGCCAACCTTAGTCTCTTAGCCTATGCATCAAAGTGTGTTTTTTCCAAGTTTGAGAGGTAATAGTGTATGATACATGAAAGGAAGCATACCAAAGAGGTAAAAGCAGTTATCTTGGTTTATTGATTAATGGATATTTTTCATTTCCTTCTTTATAGATTGTTGGATTTTCTAAATTTTTGTTGTACATAGATTTTATAAGCTGAATGTGGTGGCGTGTGCCTGCAGTCCCAGCTACTCTAGAGGCTGAAGCAGGAAGATGGTTCGAGGCTGCAGCATGCAATGATCACACCTGTGAAAGAATAGCCACTACACTTCAACCCAGGCTACACAGCAAAACCCATCTCCATTTAAAAAAAAATTATTTATATATATATGGCTGGACGTGGTGGCTCATGCCTATAATCCCAGCACTTTGGGAGGCTGAGGCGGGTGGATCACGATGTCAGGAGTTCAAGACCAACGTGACTAACATGGTGAAACCCAGTCTCTACTAAAAATACAATAATTAGCTGGGCGTGGTGGTGCATGCCTGTAATCCTAGCTACTGAGGAGGCTGAGGCAGGAGAATCGCTTGAACCTGGGAGGCGGAGGTTGCAGTGAGCTGAGATCGTGCCACTGCACTCCAGCCTGGGCGACAGAGTAAGACTCTGTCTCAAAAAATATATATATACGGCCAGGTGCGGTGGCTCATGCCTGTAATCCCAGTACTTTGGGAGGCTGAGGCAGGTGGATCACGAGGTCAAGAGATCGAGACCATCTTGGCCAACATGGTGAAACCGTGTCTCTACTAAAAATGCAAAAAATAGCCGGGCATGGTGGCATGTGCCTGTGGTCCCAGCTACTCGAGAGGCTGAGATGGAAGAATTGCTTGAATCCAGGAGGCAGAGGTTGCAATGAGCTTAGATTGCACCACTGCACTCCAGCCTGGCAATAGAGCAAGACTCCGTCTCAAAAAATATATATATATATAATATATACATATATATATATATAATATATATTGTGTATATATACACATACATACATATACATGTTTTGATTATAAAATCAAATTTATTTGTCAAATATAATCAGTGACATAACCCAAAAATTATCCTTCACATGATTTAAATTTTGGGAATGGTACTCCTGGGGTAAAACTAAAATGAATATAACCTCTTCCCTCTCTGATTTCACAGAATGAAATTCTTCTCGAAAAAAAGACCAAGAGAAGTAGGATTCTGAAGCTGAAGTTCCCAAGAACAGAAGAAGAAAGACGGATGCGGACCCAAAGTAAAAGGAGGCTAGAAGCTAAGAAAGAGCAGCGGCAGAAAAACTTTGTGGACCTGGCTTGCGAGTGCAGCGCAGTCATCTGCTGCCGCGTCACCCCCAAGCAGAAGGCAATGGTGGTGGACCTGGTGAAGAAGTACAAGAAAGCCATCACGCTGGCCATCGGAGACGGGGCCAATGACGTGAACATGATCAAAAGTGAGTCATGCACCGATGGCTGGTGGGGACCAATGTGCTAGAGAGGAGAAATGGCTGGAATGTTTGGGGGTGGTTTTTTTTTAGATTTTACAGCTTAGATTTTCATAGAGCATATGTTTCATAAAGTCACTTAACCATGAAAACACCTGTGACCCTACCCCCAGAGAGCCCACAGCCCATCAGGAGGAAAAGCTATCGGTGACAGGGCTCCTGAAGGATGCTAAGAGGAAGATCAGGTCTACGGGGGATGGGGATTCATCCTTATATTTTTATTCTTTTACATAGATGTGGTGTATTGTGTTCCCTCTTACTCTTTCTCTCCCCATATTTCTTTTGGGCTTATTAAAACCTTGATATTGGCCAGGCACAGTGGCTCATGCCTGTAATGCCAGCACTTTGGAAGGCCGAGTCAGGCAGACAATGAGGTCAGGCATCTGAGACCAGCCTGGCCAACATGATGAAACCCCGTTTCTACTAAAAATACAAAAATTAGCCGGGTGTGGTGGTACACATCTGTAATCCCAGCTACTTGGGAGGCTGAGGCAGAAGAATCACATGAACCCAGGAGGTGGAGGTTGCAGTGAGCCAAGATCATGCCATTGCACTCCAGCCTGGGCGACAGAGTGAGACTGTCTCAAAAAAAAACAAAAAAACCTGGATGGTTAATAAGTTTTATAGGATAAATCGTTGAACTCTGGTGCTTGCTTTGATAATACTCTCCTTCACCTAAACATCTCTTCCTGGGGCTTTCTTCTTACCTGTGGTAAATGTGTGGGAACTTCATCATTGGGTCACCTGCTGTGAGTTTAGAGTAACATGTTTAGCACTGAAGAAAAGCTTCCACGTGGTCTCACCCTCCTCCTGACCTCCCTAGAAGGCTGCCTTTTGCTGGTTGCTAGAACTTAGGTTCTCACAATTAAAAGACTGAGTCCGGCCGTGCAGAAATACAGCTGTGCTGGTATTAAAGTCTGCAGAACCACACCTGCCGCCCTCATCTCTGTCTGAGTCCTGTTCCTTTTTCCTCCCTCTGTTACTATCAGGAGTATCTTATAATGAAAATACACAAACCAATGACCTGGATATTCGTCCTCATCATATTGTCAAAATCCTATGTCACCTTGGCCTTATGCTCAGGTTTCAGTTTTCTTATCGGAAAAGGAAGTAATCCCCAATGCCACCTCCAGCTCTGTCATATTATTATCGCTGGGCTGAAGTATTACCTGACTATACATAGGTAACTGCATGTTCCTGTAGTGCTGGGTGGCTTAAATGCATTATATATAAGTGGACTTTTCAGTCTATTTTGTGACTCATGAGTCTGTCTCTTTCTTTTCTTAGTCTCCTCTTCCTCCTTGATGTATACTAAGAATATTCCAACTTTATCTTCCTCAGCAGGAGTCAGCTGTATGACGTATGTCACCTTGCCTTCTTTATCAGTGCGTATGTCTGTCGTCACTGGCGGTTTAATTCATCCCCACAGTGTTTTTGCATGTGCTTGTCGTACCAGACGAATGGTATTGCTTGCTTGGAATGAGATCTATCTTTCCTCCATAACTAGCCAGCTCTAGTTTATTTTCCATTATGTACTTTTAACTTAACTAGCTGTGCCAAAATGACAAGTCAAACATGATTTTTATTCAGTTATAAAGTCTCCGTCTAGATAATGGGAGGGGAGGGGTTTGCTTTGGAGATTTATCAACTGATTATGGGCTTAGACTTGAAACATTTTGTTCCTCTGAGCTCACCCATACATAATGAGAGGGATTGCAAAAAGTCAACATAGATAACCTCATAGGGGCTTGTTTTTCTTACATTGTTTTAAAATTTTTATTAAGCGCCAGGTGCATTCATTCATTCATTCATTCATTTAGAAACAAATTCTTCCTCTGTGACCCAGGCTGGAGTACAGTGGCACGACCTTGGCTCACCTCCACCTCCTGGGCTCAAGCAATCCTCCCTCCCACCTCAGCCTCCCAAGTGGCTGGGACTACAGGCATAAGCCACCATGCCCAGCTAATTTTTGTAGAGATGAGAATTTGCCTTGTTGTTCAGGCTGGTCTCAAACTCTTGGGCTCAATGAATCTGCCCACCTCAGCCTCCCAGAGTGCTGGGATTACAGACTGAGCCACACACCTTGTCCCAGGTACCATTATATATAAGTTATACATCATTCCTTTTGGATAAAAATGTAGGAAACGTTGGGGATCTCTTTAGAAGTTATACAAGTGGTATTAGTGCCTTTCTGTACTTGTAAAAGCTGTCATTTCTTTCAAGTGCATCAAGGACAATATATAGGAAGATGAGCTACGTGTGGTGCCACACACATGTAGTCCCAGCTACTTTGAGGCTGAGATGGGAAGATCACTTGAGCCTGGGTTCCTTTCCTTCAGCTGCAACGACCAAGAGAATCTCAGCGTTTTCCTCCGTGGCTTGTTCAGGAAAGAAAAGAAGGCCAGTTTGGCAGGAAGGAGCAGTCCAGCAACCGTTCTGGTCATAGGAAATATTTGTGTGTTTTAAAAGAGATCATAACTATTAGATGAGATGCCATTTGTTCTGTTTTTTAGAACTGCAAAGTGTTACTGAAAATGTAGGTTTGGACACGTCACTACAGTTACGTTTTGAATTTGCCAGACCTTGTGTTCGGTAACTAGGGCAGGATTTTTGAAGCTTAAATGTCGCAGAGTCGCAGCCACTTTCCAGGGTCTGAGTAATGATAGGCTGTGTTCTCCAGTACATCTTTTCTAAATGATCTGGTCTATCTTCACAGTCATTACTTATAAGACCCAGACAAAACTAATAATTCTCTAATTTGATAGTGTCATTTATTGACTATTGGAAGGATAAATCAAATTGTGACTTTAATTTTATACATTCTGGAAACCTTTTCCCCTGTAAAGAAAAAAAAATGTCTTAAAGTCATGGAGGGCCATGAATAAGACTTTGAAAATTTAATAGTTTCTTGGTTAAAACTCTTTTGATTGGCCAGACGCAGTGGGTCACGCCTATAATCCCAGCACTTTGGGAGGCCGAGGTGGGTGGATCACAAGGTCAAGAAATTAAGACCATCCTGGTCAACATGGTGAAACCCCGTCTCTACTAAAAATACAAAAATTAGCTGGGCATGGTGGCAGATGCCTGTAGTCCCAGCTACTCAGGAGGCTGAGGCAGGAGAATTGCTTGAACCCAGGAGGTGGAGGTTGCAGTGAGCCAAGATCACGCCATTGCACTCCAGCCTGGGTAACAAGAGCGAAACTCCGTCTCAAAAAAAAAAAAAAAAAAAAAAAAGAATAGAAAAAAAAACTCTTTTGATTACAAGTATTGGAGAACAACCAAAGATAACTTAAGAAAAAAGTAAATTTGGAGGGTGGAAGATGAGAGTCAATAGGGGCAGGGTCAATAGGGGCAGCAAACGACCATGGCACATGTATTCCTATGTAACAGACCTGCACGTTCTGCATAGGTATCCTGGAACGTAAAGTAAAAGAAAAAAGGAAATTTATTTTAAAAGATACAAAGATATCTTATTGTCCAAGAAGCCAGGCCTCAGGAAGATGCTGGAACAAGGACATAGAGTTGCACCAGGAACCCAGTATCTGTCTCTCTCCTCCTGTTCTCCTTCTTCCCCTTCTCTCTCTTCCCTCTCTTTTCCCCCGATTCCCTCCTTTCCCCCCCATTCTCTCCCTTCTCCCCCACCCCCATTTATTCCTCTGCCCCTTAGAAATCATCAGGAAGAAATATATTTATTTCAGCCAGGCACATTGGCTCATACATGTAATCCCAGCACTTTGGGAGGCCAAGGTGGGGGAATCACCTGAGGTCAGGAGTTCAAGACCTACCTGGACAACATGGTGAAACCCTGTCTTTACAAAAAATACAAAAATTATCTGGGTGTGGTGGTGCACAGCTGTAATCCCAGCTACTCGGGAGGCTGAGGCACAAGTATTGCTTAAACTCAGAAGGTTGCAGTAAGCCAAGATTGTGCCATTACACTCCAGCCTGGGTGACAGAGCAAAATTCCATCTCACAAAAAAAAAAAAAGAAATATATCTATTTCTTACCTCAGTAATTTAGACCTTAAAATTCTAGATACAAAATGCCTGAATTCTAATTCTAGAATATCAAGAGAGAGACTGGTTCAGCTTGGATTATCTGTCAGTCAGGATCTACCAAAGGAAACAGACCCCGCTTGGTACTTTTAAGCAAGATCTGATTAATACAGGGGACTAGGTACTTTCAAAAGCTCTGAATGGACTACAGAAGCAGGTTCTAAGCTAAGACACTTACCAGAAGAGCTTCTACCTTTGAGGTTCCTTTAAAGAGCTTCTCATTAAGAGGCCTTTATAGTTGCCTGTCAACATCCAGGTAGCTGGACAGTAGATATGAGCTCTGCTGCAGAAATGCCAAAAGAGGAAGGGATGCTGGGCTGATTCACTTCTGCTTCCAAGTCATAAATGGATCTAAACAGTGGAATCTAATTGATAAAGAGCCTAGGTGCAAGGGAGTCTGGGAAATGCGGGGTTTTTATTTCCTTCCCCACCTCTCTAATTGGAACAAGGGTAGAATGAAGTTGGGGAGCTTGTTTGTAGTATCTACCATAAATTACGTATCTGCCCATGACTGACAAAGCTGTTGCCAAAAAGGCAAGGACACAGTTACACATAGGTGACTGGGGCTCACCCTGTGGGTGGAAGGGATGGTTATGAGCTGAGTAAATTATCCAAATGGAATTCACCACCCACATGAGATCCTTTCCCAAATATTTATGGAGGCCCTACTGTGTGCTCTGTTTAGCAACTTGTAACTCTGACTTTGAGTTGAGTTCAAGAGCTGGGGGTGAGGGATGGTGAGCAAGAGCTTCTATATTTATCGTTCCATCAATGTCTGTCTTTGTTTTTTGTTTTGCTATGGAACTATTTTATTATCTGATGTTTTGCCTCACAATCGGCTTATGATCCACAGTGTTTTCTCCCTCTGCCCAATAGCTGCCCACATCGGCGTTGGAATAAGCGGACAAGAAGGAATGCAAGCTGTCATGTCGAGTGATTATTCCTTCGCCCAGTTCCGCTATCTGCAGAGGCTACTACTGGTGCATGGCCGGTGGTCTTACATAAGGATGTGCAAGTTCCTACGATACTTCTTTTACAAAAACTTTGCCTTTACTTTGGTTCATTTCTGGTACTCCTTCTTCAATGGCTACTCTGCACAGGTAATGTAATGTTGTTGCTGTTATTACTATTTACTGAGTAGAGTTGTTAAATAAAAATCTAGCTCTGATAAACCAGTTTGTTTCTTTCTCTATATTTGTAGTTTGGGGGCTGTGTCTCCTTACAGTTGGAGTATAATTAAGTATGATCATGACTTCTCTAAATGTTTCTGGTGCTGTAAAAACATTTTGCCTTAGGAGGGGATTTGCTTGTATGTTTTTGTCTTTATCTTTGGTTACTTTTTCATGTTACCTTGCCATTAAGAGTAGTGATAACAGGGCCAGGTGCAGTGGCTCACACCTATAATCCTAGCACTTTGGGGGGCCGAGGAGGGTGGATCACTTGAGGTCAACAGTTGGAGACTAACCTGGCCAACATGGTGAAACCCTGTCTCAACAAAAATTAACTGGATATGGTGGTGTGCATCTGGAATCCCAGCTGCTCAGGAGGCTGAGGCAGAAAAATCACTTGAACCCGGGAGGCAGAGGTTACAGTGAGCTGATTGTGCCACTGCACTCCAGCCTGGGTGACAGAGCAAGACTCCATCTCAGAAAAAAAAAAAAAAGAAAAGAAAAAAATAGTGATAACAGGCTGGGTGCATAGACTTTTGCCTATAATCCCAACACTTTGGAAGGCTGAGGTGGGGCAACTGTTTAAGGCCAGGAGTTTGAGGCCAGCCTAGGCAACATAGCAAGACCCTATCTCTATTAAAACAAACGAAAAATTTTTAAAAAGGAAGCAGATGAGTGTGTGCTAACCATGCAGGCATGTGTCTTTGTTGGTGACGTGGAGCCTCTGTCATCCCCTCACAGACTGCATACGAGGACTGGTTCATCGCCCTCTACAACGTGCTATACTCCAGCCTGCCTGTGCTCCTCATGGGGCTGCTCGACCAGGTAGGAGCCTTGCACTGGCAGGGACACTTCTGGACAGAAGAGCATTTGTTTGAGAAGTCACAGGCAAATGTTTCAGTGTATTTTCTGGTATTTACTTCTTTCTGATTGAACCCTATCATAATTCTGTTGTCAGGCATCAAGGGTCATGACTATGCTTCTCGTTTTGTAATAAGGAAAGAGGATTTCTCTGTAGTCCCAGCTGCTCGGAGGCTGATGCAGAAGTATGACTTGAGCCCAGGTATTAAAGTCTAGCCTGGACAATAAAACAAGAACCTATCTCTAAGACAAAAAAGAGGATTTCTGTGACTGGGTTGAATTCATTGACACACATATTTGTTATGTTCCTTTCAGACAGTATGATCTTACTATGAAGACACCTGAAGGCCAGGTGTGCTGGTTCATGCCTGTAATCCCAGTACTCTGGGAGGCTGAGGAAGGCAGATTGCTTGAGGTCAGCAGTTCGAGACCAGCCCCGGCAACATAGGGAGACCCCCATCTCTACAAAAAATGTAAAAATTAGTAGGCATGGTAGTGCACACCTGTGAAGTCCAGCTACTTAGGAGGATGAGGTGGGAGGGTTACTTGAGCTTGGGAAGTTGAAGCTGCAGTGAGTCATGTTTGTGCCACTGTACTTCAGGCTGAGCAACAAAGTGAGACCCTGTCTCCAAAAAAAAGAAGAAAAAGAAAAAAAGACACCTGAGAGTCCAATATGTCTCTACAATAATAACTTACTCATTTTAAAGTAAATTTAAAGCCTTTCCAAAGTTTATATAGCTAATCTATATTTGTATCTAATAGTAGTTCTTTAAAAGAAGTGCTAGAAAGATGAAAAAATAATTTACTATTAACTCATCAACTCGTATGAGAAAATTTTTTTCCCAAAGGATTTGCAGTGATATGTATTCACTCAGGAGGTGAAAATAGCCTCCCAACATACTTTTGACATTACTAATTTGTTTTCTTTCTATAAGCAGCAAAGTAATAAACTTATACCTACCTCTTCTCTGAATTAAATATTAAGTAATGATGATCTAGTGCAATATTAAATAATGGTGGTCCAATGCAATATTTGTGGTGTGCAGAGGTTGAGCTCTTACACCACAAATATTGCAGGATTGATTGATTATCTTGTTCAGTTTTGGTCTTCTTAAAATTTAACAGTAGGCTGCAACTTTTTGTGAGATATTAATAACATATCTCAGCTGGGTGCAGTGGCTCATGCCTGTAATCCTAGCACTTTGGGAGGCCAAGGCGGGAGAATCATCATCTGAAGTTGGGAGTTCACGACCAGCCTGACCAACATGGAGAAACCCCATCTGTAATAAAAATACAAAATTAGCCAGGTGTGGTGGTGCATGCCTGTAATCCTAGCTACTCAAGAGGCTTAGGCAGGAGAATCACTTGAACCCGGGAGGTGGAGGTTGCCATGAACCAAGATTGCACCATTGCACTCCAGCCTGGGTAACAAGAGCAAAACTGTCTCAAAAAAAAAAAAAAAAATTATAGCATATCCCTGACTGCTTTGACCTGATGAATAAAACACTATCATTTTGTTTTCTCCTTAAGGATGTGAGTGACAAACTGAGCCTCCGATTCCCTGGGTTATACGTAGTGGGACAAAGAGACTTACTATTCAATTATAAGAGATTTTTCGTAAGCTTGTTGCATGGAGTCCTAACATCGATGATCCTCTTCTTCATACCTCTTGGAGCTTATCTGCAAACCGTAGGGCAGGATGGAGAGGCACCTTCTGACTACCAGTCTTTTGCCGTCACCATTGCCTCTGCTCTTGTAATAACAGTCAATTTCCAGGTAAATGGTTTTCATGGGCCATACTCAGTGTCAATTGTTACCTATCTATATTTCTGTATATAGGCTGGCGTGCACATCCACCTGACTCCCACTTCACCTCTACCACTTACAAACTATGAATGCTATTCTCACCTCTTATACCAATCATATTTTCTATTTCTTGCCTGAGTCAATGATGGTTTGGTTTCTGATTGTCCAGTACTCAAGCCAAATCATGCCTAACTTGCTGAATTCTGTTTTCAGGATGTTAGATCCTTCATTTCTTGCTAATTCCCCAAAATGAGTACTCTGTTTTTCTCTGGTTTCCCAACAGATTGGCTTGGATACTTCTTATTGGACTTTTGTGAATGCTTTTTCAATTTTTGGAAGCATCGCACTTTATTTTGGCATCATGTTTGACTTTCATAGTGCTGGAATACATGTTCTCCTTCCATCTACATTTCAATTTACAGGTTGGTATTTTCTAAATTCCAAAAATAAATGTTCGGACAAATGTCATTAGTTTAGACTTTGACATAACTTCTGGTATGTAATAAAATATGCAAGGTGGAATGGCCAGGCGCAGTGGCTCACACCTGTAATCTCAGCACTTTGGGAGGCCGAGGCAGGCAGACTGCTTGAGCCCAGCATTTCAAGACCAGCCTGGGCAACATGGCAAAACCCCATCTCTACAAATAATACAAAAAAAAAAAACATTAGCCAGGCATGGTGGCACACAGTTGTAGTTCTAGCTACTGGAGAGACTGAAGTGGTAGGATCGTTGGACCTGAGATGTTGAGGCTACATACAGTGAGTTGTGATTGTGCTGCTGTACTCTAGCCCAGGTGACAGGGCAAGACCCTGTCTCAAACAAACAAAACAAACAAACAAAACAAAGCCAAACAAATATATACAAAGTATAAATTATTGCTCGTGAAAATTAATGTCCTGTCTGGAAATTAAATGATGATGATGGGTTGAAAGGACGTAACATGATGAGAAGAAAACAAAATAGCTTTACAATAGTACCGCGTGGGTGCTGAATTCGATAACTAAAGACTTAAAAGGCTAGATAAAAGTCTTTTCTTTGTTTCCCATAAAACCTAATATTGGAGCCAGATGTGGTGGCTCATGCCTATCATCCGAGCACTTTGGGAGACCAAGACAGGAGTTCAAGATAAGACTGGGCAATATAGGGAGACCTTGTCTCTATTAAAAAAAAAAAAAAAATTGAAAAAAAATTAGCTGGGCATGGTGGTACACACTGGTGATCCCAGCTACTCAGGAGGCTGAGGTGGGAAGGATTGCTTGAGCCTGGCAGATCGAGGCTGCTGTGAGCCACCTCAGCCTGGGTGACAGGGCAAGACCCTTTCTTAAAAGACCCAAAAACCTAGTATTGGTAGGTTTTTGGAAAAGTGAGTATACACGTGTTGCTGGTAACAATGCAATATATTTTAATTTTTCCAAATATTATTTGAAAATGCATAAGGGATTATAAAACTCTTTATATATTTTGGCCAGGTATTTCTACTTAAGGAAAATACCCCAAGATAATAAAACACACCAAGTTTTGGCAAGCTGATTTCCACAGGTGGCACCACCAGAGCATTTCTAAATTGTAAAAAAGTGGAAAAAATAGAAATAATCCAAAACCTAAGAGTATTATTAATAGCTAATCATACCATGAAACACCAATATAATGAAATTCTAGAATTCAAAAGTAATCTGCATTATTAGAAATAGAAATATGTGTGCAGGCCAGGCACAGTGGCTCACACCTATAGTCCCTGCAGTTTGGGAGGCTGAAGCAGTGAGATCACTTGAGCTTAGGAGTTTGAGACCAGCATGGGCAACATAGTGAGACCCTGTCTGTTAAAAAAATAACAATAAAATAATTTTAAAAAGACAAATATGTGTGCAGGGCAATAAGTAAATTGATAGAAAACAAAATAGTTATGTGACCAACGATTACAACTGCATAAACTATATGACAAATTGACAAATCCTAGAATGAATTTGAACTGATATAAATATCATAAATATTATAAACAGAAAATATTAATACTAATTATGAACTGGAATTCATGAGATTATTTTTAATAGAGAGCTTGAAGTCACAATGAAAAACCATCCCCATAAACTAGTTTCCCTGTAAAAGATTTGGATTTTGATGACCAGTTGTTGGGCTGTAAAAGTCAGTTGCTGTGGTAACCCTTTCCTTCTTGGGATTGAGCTCATTTTTTTTATGATTGTGTTTTTCTTTACCAACTCTGTGTTTTAAAAATATTAGTAACCCAGTTACTTAGAATATTCCCATAGGGAATCTTTTAATCCCAGAAACACTTAGCAGGGTAAAAACCACATTTAAAAAATTAAGATCATTGTTTTTACAAACAGAGTGTAAGTACAGAAAACACGGCGAGAAATGTGGCTCTAGAAGATGGTCATTCGATTTTGAAAAGTGGGTAGAGTCTATGATTATGGGATTGTATTACTGAATTGAATTATTACTTCATCTGACATAAAAAGTCAGAAAACAAATGGCAGTGAAAAAACACGGCTCCCGTCAGGTAGAAGGAGGTTTTAATTCATTCACTGCCATGGTTGGTTTTGTTACCTTGGGCAAATTTTTTAACTTATTCTCAATGCAATCTCCTTATGTGACACAGGGTTAATACACATCTCTCACAAGTGATTAAACGACATGATCTGTATAAATCACCAGGTACTGGCAGTGCTAGCTTTTTTGAGATGGCGTTTCACTCTTGTTGCCCAGGCTGGAGTGCAATGGCGTGATCGCAGCTCACCACAATTTCTGCCTCCCAGGTTCAAGAGATTCTCCTGCCTCAGCCTCCCAAGTAACTGGGATTATGGGCATGTACCACCACCACACCCAGCTAATTTTGTATTTTTAGTAGAGACAGGGTTTCTCCATGTTGTCCAGGCTGGTCTTGAACTCTGAACCTCAGGTGATCCTCCTGTCTTGGACTCCCAAAGTGCTGGGATTACAGGCTTGAGCCTCTGCACCTGGCCTGATTTTTTGTAATTAAGTAGAGACAGGGTTTCACTATGTTGCCCAGGCTGGTCTTGAACTCCTGAGCTCTGGCAGGCCACCCGCCTCGACCTCCAAAAGTGCTAGGATTACAGGCGTGAGCCACCGTGCCTGGCAAAATATTAACTCTGTTCTTGATAAAGGGACCCCAGTGATTCATTTGCCATGTTCTTTACAGGCACTGCTTCAAACGCTCTCAGACAGCCGTATATTTGGTTAACTATCATCCTGACTGTTGCCGTGTGCTTACTGCCCGTCGTTGCCATCCGATTCCTGTCAATGACCATTTGGCCATCAGAGAGTGATAAGGTATATAGAGTACAGTCCTCTCCCAATTCTCTGTCCCTCACAGAAACCAAGGCATTTCCCAACAGCACCTTTCCTGCAAAATTCTAAGCTCATGGGAAATTTGGTAAGAATGATTTTTCATGATTGCTTCTCTTTAACTCTGTCTCACAAATAAGTCTTTTGGGATTGAGAGTTTAGTGTGCTTGCTTTATAATATAAAAATTACCAAATATACACAAAAAAGTGAGAATAAAATAATGAGCCCCATATATCTATTCCCTCAGTTTAACAATTACAGTGTTAACATTTTGTCATACAAATCAGACTGGGTTTTTTTTTTTTTTTCTTTATTTATTTAAAGAAAATGTCACCTTCTGTAGCAGGACCCTTTAAGCTACAAGGAACAGAAAGCTGTGACTCAAAATTTCTCTACAGTAGTGCATCATCATTAGCAGGCTTCAGACTCAGTTCAATCAGCAATTTAATGTCAAAAAAGGACTGGGCAGTCTCTTTCTATCTCTCCCTTGGAACATTTATTATTAGTTTCATCTGGGTGCTGGAAGATGGCCATAGCAGTTCTGGGCATCACATTTTGTGACATTTCAGTGTCGAGGGGAGATTAGAGATTATTCTGTAGTTCCTTAGCGCTGTGGAACTTCTCACCCAAGGGCCCCAGCACAGTGCCCTCTGGTCTCATGTGCCAAAATTAGGTCACTTGCCCATTCTGGACTAGTGCTTAGCAAGGGAAATCAACCTGCCCACCTCCCATGAGAAATGTGGCTGTGAGTGGGGGTTGATGGGGGCGATCTGAATGCAATCAATTTCCATTAGAAAGGAGAGAGGAAAGGCTAGTGGGACAACCTTCAGTATCCCTCTCGCTCTCTCTTTTGCAGTGCTAACAGTATGCAGTAACAATCCAGGAAAGAGACCCTACTGAGTTTTCTCTTTCACTATACCCATCTGCTCTGAAGTAGAAAAGGGCACTAGCCTTGGGGGAGTGGGAATTTTGGCTTTGCATTTTCTAGCTGTGTGACCTTGTAAAAGTTAGATATATCTTCCCTCAGCTTTGATACATATTTCTAGGTAGGTAGGTAGGTAGATAGATCTATGTATAGATAGAGAGATATAGATCTATATAATCATATCTGTCAATGTGTATCTATAGATAGATATATCCAAGCATGGTGGCACACTCCTGTCATCCCAGCACTTTGGGAGGCCGAGGCAGGCAGATCACTTGAGGTCAGGAGTTCAGGTGGTCAGGACCAGCCTGACCAACATGGTGAAATTCTGTCTCTACTAAAAATACAAAAATCAGACTGGTGTGGTGGCGCATGCCTGTAACCCCAGCTATTCAGGAGGCTGAGGCAGGAGGATCTCTTGAACCCAGGAGGCAGAGGTTGTGGTGAGCCGAGATAGCACCACTGAACTCCAGCCTGGGTGAAAGAGCGAGACCACATCTCAAAGGATACACACAACTATCAAGTGAGGACAGAGCTGCCTGCATCAAAATGGGGCAGGTGTTGGGGTTTCGTCAGTGTTCATTTCTGCCCACCGTCTGGCCACGCCTCCTTCCTGGCGTGGACTTTGTCTTCATCCCTTCCCATCTCTCCCACTTGCAGATCCAGAAGCATCGCAAGCGGTTGAAGGCGGAGGAGCAGTGGCAGCGGAGGCAGCAGGTGTTCGGCCGGGGTGTGTCGTCTAGGCGCTCAGCCTACGCCTTCTCGCACCAGCGGGGCTACGCGGACCTCATCTCCTCTGGGCGCAGCATCCGCAAGAAGCGCTCGCCCCTTGATGCCATCGTGGCCGATGGCACCGCAGAGTACAGGCGCACCGGGGACAGCTGATCCCTCGCCCCCAGGCCGGGATGCGGCGGCACAGAGCACGTCTATTTTTTTATCAAAGACTCTCAGGACTTTTTGTGTGTGGATTGCATTCGTCACAAAGATATTGAAGACAATAAATAACCTTTATAACAAACTCCTTGGGTTGGGCTATTAAACAATAGAAGAGCCAAGCAACAGGACTTTTAAAAGTCCTATTATTTGGCTGGACGTGCCTCACACCTGTAATCCTAGCACTCTGGGAGGCCAAGGAGCACAGATCCCGACCCTGAGGTCAGGAGTTCGAGACCAGCCCAGCCAACATGGTGACATCTTGTCTCTACCAAAACTTAAAAAATTAGCCGGGCTTGGTGGCGGGCACCCATAATCCCACCTACTTGAAAGGCTGAGGCAGGAGACTCGTTTGAACCTGGGAGGTGGAGGTGGAGGTTGCAGTGAGCCAAGACTGCACCACTGCACTCTAGCCTGGGTGACAGAGTAACACTCTGTCTTAAAAAATTTTTTTAAATAGGCTGGGCACAGTAGCTTCTGCCTGCCAACCTAGCACTTTGGGAGGCCAAGGCAGGCGGACCACTTGAGGTCACGAGTTCCAGACCAGCCTGGCCAAAATGATGAAACCCTGTCTCTATTGAAAATACAAAAATGAGCCGGAGATCACTTGAACCCAGGAGGCAGAGGTTGCAGTGAGCCAAGGTTGTGCCACTGCCCTCCAGCCTGGGCAACAGAGCAAGACTCCTTCTAAAAAAAAATTGTTTAAATAATAATAAAAGTCCTGTTATTCATTATGGTTCAAAGGGAACATTTTAATCAGTCTCAATCTAGGGCAACAGAATTACAAAGCATGTCATATTTCAGTTCAAGTGGTATTGTGTTATAAACTTACATTTTCCTTTCTGTGATCTTCAGCATAATTTCCCAGAAACTCCTTCCTGCCCCACCCATAGGCCGCCTCACTAACAGATTTTTCCATTTATAGTAGTAATGACAAAAGACTTATCAGTGTTCATCATCTGGAAGCTAAGTGGTTCAATCACTTTTTCAAAGTTGATAGTAGACTGCCTGGTTTCATGTTCTCCTCATGACAGTGTAATAATTCTATTTACTCAAGGAAATAACTTCAGATTCCATAAATATAAAGTTTCAGTTTGTTTTTGGTTCACTACTAGGTGAAGTAGCACATTACATACTTTTACTATCAAATATTATTTCAGCAGCTTCCCACAGTTCCAAATGATTTGATTCCCTACTCTCGTTTTTTAAAGCATCTAAATATTTATGGGCTTAAAAAGGGGATTTTAAAAACTGAGGATATCAGTGATAAATTGCAGAATATTTTTCAAAGCTTTCTTTTGAAAAGCAAAGTTTTGTGCCTGCCTATATGTAAAGTATTTTACAAGGGACTTGAACAAAGACCTCACTTTTTTCACTTGTCTTATGTCTCGAGAGAAAAGGCTGTTGGTAGCTACTTTCCTAAGACTGGGGAATGGTGTGTCCTTTTACATTTGAAGATCACTTTAGGTAACTGTGGAAACTCCTCAAAGTGGTAAAATTAATTTTTTCCAGACATTTTTCTCATTCTGTGTCTTTCACACAATAGTTTCCATATTTCAGTAATTGTTTTTTTATCATTAGGCTGTGAATATTCACCGTATCAGTCCTGTTGAATTCCTATGAGGTAATCACACTGTGTATATAGTTCATTTTCTAGGTATGCTAAAAGAATGGCTGTTTATTCTATGGAAGTAAAATTCTGAACGTTTACAACTTTTCCTTGTAAATGAAAAATTGTAAGTTTTTTTTACAGAAGAGTTAACTTGTGTAATTCTGTTAGTTTCAGATTTCTCTCCTGTTTTTCCAAATTGTGGGAAAGATTGACAATGCAAATGTGTCAAAGACTTATACTGTTGGGTGCAATATTAACAATTTTAAAATGCAAATTTCTTTGGATAAATTATTTCTGTATTCTGTAAATCTGAGTTTGTATATTTTTGTTTAAAAAATGATTTAGTAAAATATTTGAAAAGTATAATCTTCTAAAGTATTTAAATTGGCCGTTGTTGTTACTTTTGTTTTTGTTTTTGAGATGGAGTTTCACTCTTGTTGCTCAGGCTGGTGTGCAATGGCATGATCTCAGCTCACCACAACCTCTGCCTCCCAGGTTCAAGTGATTCTCCTGCCTCAGCCTCCTGAATAGCTGGGATTACAGGCATGCACCACCAGGCTCCGCTAATTTTTTTTGTATTTTTAGTAGAGAGAGCTTTCTCCATATTGGTCAGGCTGGTCTCAAATGCCGGACCTCAGGTGATCCGCCCACCTCGGCCTCCCAAAGTGCTGCTCTATTACAGGCATGAACCACTGCGCCCAGCCTGTTGTTATTTTTTAAAATAGGCTTTATGACAGAAGAATCTAGTCCCACATTGTTTCTAGAGGAATGTAGGGGTCCTTTAATGGTGAGAAAGGGACAGGGAAGCTAAGTGTTAGGGAAGAAGTGATGGAGAAAGGGTGATCAGGACCAGGCACTGTGACTCACGCCTGTAATCCCAGTGCTTTGGTTGAGGAAGGAGAATCACTTAAGGCCGGGAGTTTGAGACCAGCATGGGCAACATAGCAAGACTCTGTCTTTACAAAAAATAATCAGTTGGGTGTAGTGGCATGTGCCCATAGTCCCTGCTATTTGAGAGGCTGATGGGGGAGGATCACCTGAGCCCAGGAGTTTGAGGCTGCAGTGAGCTGTGATCATGCCACTGTACCGAAGCCTAAGTGACAGAGCAAGACTCTGTCTCTAAAAGAATTAAAAAGGTCAGACTTTAGAGACAGGGGGGTAAGGATTTAGAGTTAGGAAGATCAGCTGGGCATGGTGGCTCATGCCTGTAATGCACTTTAGGAGGCTGAGGTGGATGGGTCACTTGAGGCCAGGAGTTTGAGACCATCCTGGCCAATATGGTGAAACCCCATCTCTACTAAAAATACAAAAAAGGAAGATCGAGTCTGGGCCCAGAAGAGTGCATCTTAGTATACTTAGACAAGGGACAGTTTTTCCAACTGACCTCAGCTCTTAGAACAAAAGGAAAGGTAACCCTCAACCAAAAGTAAGGGCTAGGGCCGGGTGTGGTGGCTTAAACCTGTAATCCCAGCACTTTGGGAGGTCAAGATGGGCCAGTCACCCGAGGTTAGACCAGCATGGCCAACGTGGCAAAACCCTCTCTAAAAATAAATCAGCTGGGCGTGGTGGTGCATGCCTATAATCCCAGCTACTGGGGAGGCTGAGGCAGGAGAATCACTTAAATCCAGGAGGCAGAAGTTACAGTGAGCTGAGATTGTGACACTGCACTCCAGCCTAGGCGACAGAGCGAGACTGTCTCAAAAAACAAAACTGAAAAAGAGCTGGGAAGTGAGCAGATAGTCCTTGAAATACATGATGAATCATTGGCAAAACAAAATGAGCAGAGAGGAGTGAGTGAGGAAGGAGGTGGGAGACCTAGGGTTTGTGGCTGCAGGAGTCTGACCAGGCTGTGGGACAGACAGCTCTTGGACTCGAGAGAAGCCGTGACCCCACCAAGAAGATTCTCCCTGCATCAGAGATGAGAGACTCTTTGGGAGGCATAATTAGCAGCAGGTGACAAAAAAATATCAGTCTTGGGGTGCTTGGGATGGGAGGAGATGAGCATATTATTAGCCTCTTCAATAGAAATGGCAGAAAAAATCAAGCAGATCTGGGAGATCATCCCTAAAAAAAATAAAGGCCACTTTTTCCTGCAATGTACTACTGTATTTAAGTTGTTTAAAGAATAAATGTTTTTAATCAAAGAGCACCACCTAATGGCTCTTAGTCTTGTTCCACACCAGAAACTGCTCAGTAACGACATCTGAGGGGACTAAAATCATTCTTGAGAGACTCCAATGTGATGGCAAAACGTACCCTAATGGAATCGAAATTTATTTTAACAATTGCTGCCTTCATGTGATGTAAATGAAACTTAGGAAAATTGTCAGTCAGCTTCTAAAATACTGCTAGAAAGTTTTCGTGGCACTACAACTTCTGGGGCATTTATAAAAACAAAAAGGCCCATCAAAACACTGAAAACAACACAGCATAGATCTCAGGACAAAGTGGAAGTTGGAAACCTTAAAAATAACCACCGTGATACATTCATTTTCTTTCTGCTAAAAATTATAGTAAAGGCCAGGCGTGGAGGCTCACGCCTGTAATCCCAATACTTTGGGGGATCACCTGAGGTCGGGAGTTCAAGACCAGCCTGACCAACATAGAGAAACCCCGTCTCTACTGAAAATACAAAATTAGCTGGGCATGATGGTGTAATCCCAGTTACCTGTAATCACAGCTACTCAAGAGGCTGAGGCAGGAGAATCACTTGTACCCGGGAGGTAGAGGTTGCGGTGAGCCAAGATCACAACATTGCACTGTAGCCTGGGAAATGAGCAAAACTCTGTCTCAAAAATAAAAACAGTAAAAATAATTTTCTTGACTAGATATTTCTCTAAAGCAGCAATATAAATGGTCATAAGCATATGAAAGGATGCTCAACATCATCAGTCATCATGGAAAGTCAAGTCAAAATTGAAATGAGGCCGGGTGCCGTGGCTCATGCCTGTAATCCCAGCACTTTGGGAGGCTGAGGCAGGTGGGTTGAAGTCAGGAGTTCAAGATCAGACTGGCCGACATGGCGAAACCCCATCTCTACTAAAAAAAAAAAATACAAAAATTAGCCAGACGAGGTGGTGTGTGCGTGTAATCCCAACTACTCTAGAGGCTGAGGCAGGGGAATTGCTCAAACAAGCAGGGTGGAGGTTGCAGTGAGCCAAGATCATGCCACTGCACTCCAGCCTGGGCAGCAGAGTGAGATTCCATTTAAAAAACACATACACTGAAATAAGATACCACTTCATACTCATTACACCCACTAGGATGGCTATAACAAAAATAAAAACAAAAGTGGAGAAACTGGAACTCTCATATTCCTGGTAGGAGTGTAAAACGGTGTAGCCATTGTAGAAAACAGTCTGCTGGTTTTTCAATAAGCTAAACAGAATTAACATATTACTCAACAATTCCTCTGCTAGGTATATACCTGAAACAATTGAAAAGAGGAGTTCAAGGCCAGGCACAGTGGCTCATGCCTATAATACTAGCACTTTGGGAGGCTGAGGTGGGTGGATCACCTGAGGTCAGGAGTTCAAAAAGGCCAGGTGCGGTGGCTCACGCCCGTAATCCTGGCACTTTGGGAAGCCAAGACAGGCAGACCACTTGAGGCCAGGAGTTCAAGACTGGCCTGGCCAACATCGTGAAACCCCTGTCTCTACTAAAAGTACAAAAATTAGCTGAGTACGGTGGTACATGCCTGAAATCCCAGCTACTCAGGAGGCTGAGGCAGGAGAATTGCTTGAACCTGGGAGGTAGAGATTGCAGTGAGCCGAAATTGTGCCATTGCTCTCCAGCCTGGGGGACAAGAGTGAAACTCGATCGCGAAACAAAACAAAAAGAAAAGAAAACAGGTGTTCAAACAAATACAAACTAATGAATGATCACAGCGGCACTATTCTCCATAGCTGAAAGGTAGAAACGATCCAAATGTCCATCCACAGATAAATGGATAAATAAAATGTGGTGTATACATATGCAGGAATATCATTTAGTCATAAAAAGGAACGAAGTACTGAGAGATGCTATAATATGAGTGAAAGTTGAAAATGTGCTAAGGGAAAGCAGCCAGACTCAAAAAGTCACATCTTGTAGGACTCCATTTACCTACCCAGAACAGATAAATCCACAGAGACAGAAAGCAGATTAGTGGTTGCCAGGAAGAAGGGGAGATTGAGGAGTGTTTAGTGAGTGTTTAAAGTTAGGATTCTCCAGAGAAACAAAATCTATAGGATATATGCATATAAACATCTGTCATTTGTATACATCTATGGGGAGGATTTGTTGATTCTGACAAATTAGTCTCCATGATTGTGAGGGCCTGCAAAGGTTAAGGACAGGCAGGCTAGCAGGCCGAAGTTCTGGCAGGAATTGATGTTTTGGTCTTGAACCTAAATACTGGAAACTGAGGCAGAATTCTTTCCTCCTCACAGACCTCAGTCTGCTGGTTTAAATGTTAATACTGTCATAGCAGCATCTAGACTTATTTGACCAAATAGCTGGGCACCATAACCTAGTTAAGTTGACACAAAATTCAGCACCACAATAAGTATAGGGTTTTCTTTTGGGGTGAAGAAAATGTTTTGGAACTTGATTGATGTAGTCACACAATATTGTGAATACACTAAATGCTACTGAGTTGTGCATTTTAAAATGGTTAATCTTATGTTAATTTCACATCAATTAAAAATAATAAGGCCAAGCAATGGTAGCTCATGCCTGTAATCCCAGCACTTTGGGAGCAAAGTAGTTGAGTGGAGAAAGAACAAAAAAATCTGTAACTGGTTGTGATCAATTAGTTGTAACCACCACTACACTCAGACCAATGCAGCTGTGGAAAACAGTGCCACTGTGCCTGGCTAATTTTTGTATTTTTGGTAGAGACGGGTTTCCGCCATGTTGGCCAGGCTGGTCTTGAACTCCTGGCCCCAAGTGTTCTGCCCACCTCGGCCTCCCACAGTGCTGGGATTACAGGTGTGAGTCACTGTACCCAGTCAAGGAAGAAGTTTAAAGAGGAAGAATAATTTAAATGCAATTGGACAAAACAAAGACAAAAACACAATAATGGCAGGGCTGGGTGGCTCATGCCTGAAATCCCAGCACTTTGGGAGGCCGGGGCAGGTGGATCGCTTGAGCTCAGGAGTCTGAAACCAGGTTGGGCAACATGATGAAACCTGGTCTCTATCAAAAATGCAAAATTAGCCGGGTGTGGTGGTATACATCTGTAGTCTCAGCTACTCGGGAGGCTGAGGCAGGAGAATCGCTTGAACCCAGGAGGCAGAGGTTGCAGTGAACAGAGATCACGCCACTGGGCAACAAAGTGAGACTCTGTCTCAAAAAAATAAAAATAAAGCACCCAATAAATTAGAAGTATAAAAATTGTAGGAACAGAAATCTATCACTGCTTGAAGGTGTTATGGAAGCTTCTGGGAAAACCCAAGAGGTTCAATTAAAAAACTATAATAAGAATTCATCAAAATAATGGAAACAAATATATAGATAACTTTCATTTATACAAACAATAACAAGTTAGAAAATTTAATGGGAAAATATTGTAATTACAGTTGCAACAAAAAAGATAAAATATGTAGGAATAAACTTTACAAGTAAGCCATATGGGAACAAAACTAAAACAGTGAATTGAGTAAATGAAAAGCATATCCTGTTCTTGGATAAGGCATCACATCAGAGCCAGGTGCGGTGGCTCATGCCTGTAATCCCAGCACTTTAGGAGGCTGAGGCAGGTGGATCACCTGAGGTCAGGAGCTGGAGACCAGCTTGGCCAACATGGTAAAACCCCGTCTCTACTAAAAATACAAAAATTAGCCAGGCATCGTGGTGTGCACTTGTAGTCCCAGCTACTTCGGAGGCTGAGGCAGGAGAATCACTCAAACCTGGGAGGCAGAGGTTGTGAGCCGAGACTGCACCACTGCACTCCAGCCTGGATGACAGAGTAAGACTCTGTCTCAAAAAAAAAAAAAAAAAAAGGACATCACACTGGAAGGGGTTGATTCTCCCTGCAATAACTTATAAATGGTATATGATCCCCATAAAAATGCCAACAGTTTCCTGTAATAGACTGATTCTAAAGTTCATGTGGAAAAATTAATGTCAGAAAACCATAAGCAATGAGGTGAGACTTACCAGATATTACACCATATTATAATTTCAAAAACATAGTATGGTTCTGATGCATGATTACACAGACATCTCATGGAACAGAATAGGAGATCCAGAAATAGACTCAAACATGTGAACATTTACTATATACAGAAGTGGCATCAAAGATGGGTGGGGGAAAGATGGACTTTTAAATAGACGGTGTTGAGACAACAGGAAAACAACTAGGTATCTCACACTGTAGTAGAATAGACTTCAACTAATGAAGAGATTTAAATGTAAAAAATAAACAAATGAAAACTCGTAAAGGTACTTGAAGAAAATCATGAGAATATTCCAATACAGCCTTGGAGTGGGGAAAGACTTTCTAATTAAGACTAAAAATCTAAAGCCTCAAAGGAAGGGCTAATAATTTCAAATACATAAATAATTTAAAAATCTCCATTACGGCCAAAAAGAAAAAAAAAGTTATAAGCAAAGACAAATGGCAAAGTGGAGAAAAAGTGTGCAAGTCTTAGTCAAGGCTGCTATAACAAAATACCACAAATTGCATGGTTCATATAAGCCACAGAAATTTTTTCTCACAGTTCTCGCAGAAGCTGGGAAGTCTTAGGTCAAGGGGCTGGCAGATTCAGTGCCTACTGAGGAAATGCTTTGTGGTTCACAAACAGTGCCCTTTGACTATGTCTTTACATGGTGGAAAGAGCAAACAAGCTCCTTCGAGACTATTTTATAAAGACAATCCCTCCTGACTTAATCACCTCTGAAAGTCTCCACCTCCTAATATTACCTTGGAGGTTAGGATTTCAGCATATGAATTTTAAGGGGGCACAAGCCTTCAGACCATAGCAGCCAAGGATGTGAAGAAAAGAAAAGAGAAAAAGAAATGGGGCCGGGCATGGTGGCTCACACCTGTAATGCCAACACTTTGGGAGGCTGAGGCGGGTGGATCATGGGGTCAGGAATTCTCCAGTCAGCCTGGCCAACATAGTGAAACCCTGTCTCTACTAAAAATACAAAAATTAGCCAGGCATGGTAGTGCATGCCTATAGTCCCAGCTACTCAGGAGGCTGAGGCAGGAGCATCACTTGACCCCATGAGGTGTGGAGGTTGTAGTGAGCCGAGATCATGCCACTGTACTCTAGCTTGGGCAACAGAGTGAGACTTCATCTCAAAAAAAAAAAAAAAGTACAAAAATTAGCCAGGTGTGCAACTGTAGTCCCAGCTACTAGGGAGACTGAGGCAGGAGAATTGCTTGAACCTGGGAGGTGGAAGTTGCAGTGAACTGAGATTGCACTACTGCATTCCAGCCTGGGCAACAGAGCCAGACTCTGTCTCAAAAAAAAAAAAAAAAAAAGGGAATACAAATGGCTCCTAAACATATGAAACGATGTTTCAACTTACCTGAAATAAAGAAATGCAGCAGAATGATTTTGATAGGCCATCTTCACCTATTAATTTTGCAAAAACAAGAAAGTTTAGTAATGCACTGTTAAGGCTGTAGCAAAACCAGCCTTCTATTTCATTATTGATAGGTATATAAATTGATGAAACTCTAGGAAAGGCAATTTAGCCATAACCATTCAAATTTTAAGTGTATATTCCCTTTGACCTGGCAATCACACTTCTCAAATTCATTCTGCAGATATTTGCCCACAAGGGAAATGACATGTATGGTGATTATACTGCAGCACTGTTTCTCATGGCAAAATATTGGCAGAAAGCTAGCAATCCATCTGTTTAACTACAGTTAAATGAACTAAGGTCCATCCTGACAACAAGGTACAATGAAACTATAATGGGAGCTAAGGGAGAAGAATGAAAGATCTTCATTCACTGTGGAGTGAGAGGAGCCAGGTGCAGAACTGTATGTATGGTGACAACCTTTCATATAAAATAGAAAGAAGAGGAGGTGATGAAATTGAGGTGTAGAGTCGATACAATTCCAATTGAAATCCCTCAATAATTTTTTGGTAAAAATTGATAAGCTGATTCTAAAATTCATCTAAAAATGCAAATAACCTAGAAGAGCTAAAAGAACTCTGCAGAAGAAAACCACAGTTGGAGAAAGAACACTTCTTGATCTTGAAAACTGTTACCAGCAGGAGCTGAAGAACCGCTTGTTGGGTACTATGCTGACTGCTTGGGGAACAGGATCATTGGGACCTCAAACTTCAGAGTCCTGCGATTTACCCGTGCAACAAAGCTGCACATGTACCCTTTATAATAAAAGTCAAAATTTTAAAAATAAAATAAATGTGAATTTAGGGACAAAAAAGTGTTATAAAGCAATAGCAATCAAAACAGCTTTCTTAAAGAAAGCAGATAGATGGAACCTAATAGAGTCCATAAATAAATCCACACATCAGTGGACAACTGGTATTCAACAAGGTTACAAAAGCAATGAGGTGGAGAAAGGATGACCCTCTCAACAAATGGTGCCAGGACATTTGGTATCCACATAAAAAAAAATGAACTTGGATCCCTACCTGAAACTATACCTTGTCTTCACAAAAGATCTGAACACACACTTCAACAGAGAAGACATAATTTAGGCAAAAAAGCACATGAAAAGATGCTCAACATCATTAGCCACTAGAGAAATGCATTAGAAAACTTTTTGGGGTGATGAATTTGTTCCCTAACACCAATTGTGGTGATGGTTTCACAAGTATATAAAACGTTAAAACATATCAAACTGCACATTTTAAATGTGTACTTTTTCATATATATATATATATTGGTTTGGGGGGGTTCGTTTTGTTCTTTTTTGAGATGGGGTCTCACTCTGTCCCCCAGGCTGGAGTACAGGGGCACTATCTCAGCTCGCTGCAACCTACACCTACTGAGTTTAAGGGATTCTCCTTCCTCAGCCTCTTGAGTAGCTAGGCATGTGCCTGGCTAATTTTTGTAATTTTAGTAGAGATGGGGTTTCATCATGTTGGCCATGCTGGTCTCAAACTCCTGACCTCAAGTGATCTGCCCACCTTGGCCTCTCAAAGTGCTGGGATTACAGGCGTGAACCACCGCACCCAAGCTGTTGTAAATTATTTATGCCTCGAAAAAAAAAAGCTGTTTTAAAGAAAGGAAGGAAGAAATAAGGAGGTAGACTGGGAGGAATATAATCATATTTTCAACAAGAATTTCTACATATAGAACAGACTAGCAAAAGTGGTTATGAGGAATGAGACTTTTAAATATGGAATTACCTTCTTATACTTTAAAAATTAAAAATATTTTGAACCATATGAATACATTTCTATTTCAAAAAATAAATAATAAATACTAGAAATGATTTTTAGGCCAAGGGAGTAATTTAATATTTTTCCTGCTTAAGTCACAAAGCCTCCCAAACTGAGTCTCACCCAAGCCCATAAGTTTCTCCCTAGAACAGCAACCCCAGCTCTTCACATTGTCCTCTGGGGTGACTGGCAGTGCCCAGAGATGGGGGCTTCCTGTTCATGGTTATAGACAGAGAGCAGTGTGTTTTGCTAGGCCATTTATATGCACACACATTTTCTTTGCCCTCAGAAGAGGCTGCGTAACATCTTAAAGTCGTGTCAAAATAGTGGAAAGCACCAATGGAATCTGAAAGAATATTTCAAAGACCAGTGTGGATTTACCTCTATATTGTCCAATTAATTATCAGCTAAGATGAACTCAGTAATAAGAAGCATAGGAAGAAATAACTCTCACAGTTTTAAAATCATCAGGAATTTTGCTTCAAAACCTGAATCAAACAGTAATGCAGGTATTAGCAATAAATATGAGGAAGGAAAATTTTAATATGAACAGAAATTTAAACTTCCTGATCTAGGATGGTGGTTAAAAATCCAAAGTGCTGGCCAGGCGCAGTGGCTCACGCCTGTAATCACAGCACTTTGGGAGGCCAAGGTGGGAGGATTATTTGAGGTCAGGAGTTGGAGACCAACCTGACCAACATGGTGAAACCCCATCTTTCAATTAAATTTAAATACAAAAATATTAGCCAGGCGTGGTGGCGCATGCCAGTAGTCCCAGCTACTCAGGAGGCTGAGGCAGGAGAATTGCTTGAACCCAGGAGACAGAGATTCCAGTGAGCCGAAATTGCATCACTGTACTCCAGCCTGGGCCACAGAGCAAGACTTCATCTCAAAAAAAAAAAAAAAAAAAAAAAAAAACTATCCAAGGTGCTCGGGCCAAGTTTAAGATATAGATTGTCTCACTCCAGATAACCTGTTTATGATTTCCATTTGGAAAGATATCAATGTTCCTTTGGCCCCTGTCGGAGAATGTTGCAATTATTTCAGGCTGTTGTAAACCCTGAAATGTCTCCTTGTTTCTTTTCCACGAGAGGATTAAAGATATTGGATCTGGCTTGTGAAGTGTACGTGGGAGGGTTTTTTAGTCTAGCATTTCTCATCAGGAATCAATTCTCCCAGTTGATAAGAATCAACCTTTAGAATAGAGGTGGATTTGCCCACTGGGAGTCATCTTGCAGTTTCATTATAAAATGGTTCTGCTGAGCCAAGCTGCATAATGAATAAACCAGTCTATGGAAATCCTATAGGAGGTTTTCTGTTACCATCCATTTGGGGGTTCCCACCTACCTTCAGCTTCCTTAAATTTTGTGTGAACAACATAAAAACTTTGTGCTTATTGAAGAGTTTAATAAAAACAACACAAATGACTTTCTAAAGGAGCTTTGAAAGTTCAAGATTCTAGAAAACCTGTATCAAGATTTTATCACTGCAAACATCTTGAGTAAACATGAACTCAGAAGGGCTCTTTTATATTTACTGAATTTATCAAACACTGAGCTATTTTATAGAATCTTGTGGCTTGGGGTGAAAATATTTTTATGACCTGTTCCAACAATAACAACAAAAAAAGAAAAAGAAAAAACCCAAACCTGATTAACTAAGATATCATCAGCTGAGCTTCTGAGACCCACGGAGACCCCTTAAGAGCCTCGACTCCTACTAAACTAATACATGACTATTCTTCAAACTAACCAAGAGGACTTCATTGCTTTTAGAGAACACAATCAATTCTGCTTTGAAAGCTTCCCCACATCTACAGAGAAAATGTTCTTTAGGTGAAGAACCTGTCTTCACCTTTCTTAACAGCGATCCCAAATCCTACATCATACCCAGATCAATTCAGTGAAGAAGCTAGTCTGGGCTAAAGCTATTTGTACCTTTAAAAAGCAATAGAGCCAGGTGCGGTGGCTCACGCCTATAATCCTAGCACTTTGGGAGGTTGAGGTTGGTGTATCCCTTGAGCCCAGGAGTTCGATACCAACCTGGGCAACAGGTAAAAATCCCCAAACCCCATCTCTACACACACACACACACACACACACACACACACACAATCAAAATTAGCCAGGCAATATGGCGTATGCCTGTAGTCCCAGCTACTTTTGAAGCTAAGGTGGGAAGATCACCCCTATCTCAAAAAAATAAATAAAAAATAAAAATAAGAAGCAATGGCAAGCCAGCGCATAAACAGCCTGGTAAACCAGTAAGAATGTTGGGGTGAACCCTCAGAGCAGACGGAAGCCCATGGAAGGTTGCTAGACAGAGAATGAAATGAAAATGTGTTTATATTTGTAAGTGTTCACCCTGGCTAGAGTGTGGAGATTAGACAGGAGAGGTGTATGGAATCCAGAGACAGGTGGAGAGGTTAGCCAGAGGGAGGATGGGACTTGCATTGCACTAGAGGGAAAGGATGGATGTCAAAGTATGAAAGTTTGTAGGTTTCAAGGGAGGGCTGTCAGAGAGCACCCACTTAATGACTTGAAGCAAGAGACCAGTCATTTGCTGAGATTCGGGGCTGTGGGAAGGACCTACAGTTTGAGACATTCTGAAATTCTGTCCAGTAAGCCAACTGTTGAGGGAAGGGAGGTTTAGTGAGGGGGGCGAATTGGGAGAGGAGGTCCACCAAGCAGCTCTTAGCAGTTTGAAGGCTTAAAGTTGTGATTCATGCATATCATGGAACAAAAGAGTAACAATGATTAACTATTAATGCCATTTATATCCCAATTCAGAAGGCTTACTGGATGTCAAGCACATGTTAGGCATTTTGGTACACTTGATCTCATATTATCCTCACAATAACCTTCCCAGTGAAGGGTATTATCGCTTTACAATTGAAACATCTGTGGCTCAGAGGGTTAAGAAACTTGACCAGGGTCACCAAGCTAGAAAATGAGTTCTGTGATCTATGGAACGTATCTGGCTTCATTCAGAGTTCTGACTGTACAGATGCTGCCACTGTTCGCCCTTCTTAAAGAGTGAGATCCAGCGGGACTTTCAAATGACTGCAATTTTTTTAGTGAGAGATAAGGTGCTTACAAGCAAGCAGCCTGTGATCATGAAAAAGCCTGGGAATCACTGAAGCAAATCTAAGTGCTTAAACTTAACTACAGGAAAAAGAAAGTTAAGTTTTTGGTTCCTCAAATTAATAGTCTCATCATAATGATAATTCCCACTTTTAGTTTGCCGTTTACAAGCCAATTTTATTTTTTATTGCATCTGTCATCTATCTATCTATAATTTATTAATTAGAGGCAGGGTGCCGCTCTGTAGCCCCAGGCTGGAGTGCAGTGGCGTGATCACAGCTCACTGCAGCCTCAACCTCCCTGGTTCAAGCGATCCTCCCACCTCAGCCTCAATCCCATGCCACTAAGCCAGGCTAATTTTTGTATTTTTTGAAGAGGAGTGGGAGCGGGGGCGGCGGCGGGGGTGGGGGTGGGGGGTCTCACGTTGCCCAGGCTGGTCTCAAACTCAAGGCCTCAAGCAATCCCCGCCCCGCCCCCACTCTCCACCTTGACCTCCAAAAGTGCTGGGATTATAGGCGTGAGCCACCGCCCTCGATCTGATTTAAAATAGTACTGAAATTTTCCAGTTGCTTCACTGATTTATTAAATTCAGTGAACTGTGCATGGACTCCTCCCTATTCCCCGTTCTAGGACAGGGAAACGAACCCTAGAGACACTCGCAATGATGTCTGCCTGTTCTCTTTCCCAGGCCTATTTTGAGGAGCAAAAAACTGAATGTGCAAGAAGGCTCTTTGTAGATGTCTGTAAATTTGCCTGGGAACAGAGCCTGGAAGGCAGTGTTCCCGGGACTAGGGCGACCCCGGGCTACACGCCACCTCGAACTCCCCAACACTCGGAGAAGCGGCGCCGCGACCAGGATCAAGTAGGAAGTGCAGGACCAAGCGCCTGAAATACGGAAGTGGCCCGAGACAACATGGCGGCGCCGGCGTCAAGTGCCCTAACCCGGGGCCGGCGGCCAGGTACGGTAGCCTGTGGGGGACGCCACATTAAAATAACAAAGACTCGCATCCGGTGAAGCAATCTTCAGCGCAAACCTGAGTAGGCGCGGAGACCGCAGTGGGAGGGCGCCCCTTGCTGGCCAGAATCGGAATGAGGAGACAGACGAACAATGCCGTTCGTTCCGGCCGTCCTGAGTAGCTGGAATTACAGGCGTGTGCCACGATACCAGGCTAATTTTTAAAAAATTTTGTAGAGATGGAGGTTGGGGGGGGGGGGCTCTTACTATGTTTCGCAGGCTGGTCTTGAACTCCTGGCCTCATGTGGTCCTCCCACGTTGGCTTCCCAAAGTATTGAGATTACAGGCTTGAGCCACCACACCTGGCCATTCAATTATTCTTTTAAGCCACACACTTCTGGGTAATAGGGCACGTGTTAGTCTACTATTGCCACAGTAAAGAGGTGTAACAGAATGCCTCCAGAACTCAGAGGCCTAACCCAACAACCGTTTATTCTCACTCATGTATCTACAGGTCACTGATGTGGGCTGAGCTCAGCTGGGCGTGTCTCCAAGCTGAAGATCGGGTCCCCATCTTCTCCAGCTGTCTCTCACCCTCCTTGAACCAGTGGGTCAATCAGGGCATGTTCTTCTCATGGTGATGGTGTTCACAGAAAAAGCGATCTTGATCCAGACCCCAAGAGAGGGCTCCCCTGAATTACACGCAGGAAGGAATTCAAGACAAGTTGCAGGGTGGAGTGAGAGTTTACAGAAAGCTCCTCCATCACACAGTAGGGCGTCCTTCGGAAGCAAGCAAAGGAATGCCCTTTCACTTTTTTTCTTTTTTTTGAGACGGAGTTTCCATCTGTTGCCCAGGCTGGAGTGCAGTGGCACAATCTCGGCTCACTGCAACCTCTGCCTCCTATGTTCAAGCGATTCTCCTGCCTCAGCCTCCCAAGTAACTGGGATTACAGGTGCCCACCACCATACCCAACTAATTTTTTTATTTTTAGTAGACAGGGTTTCACCATGTTGGCCAAGCTTGTCTGAAACTACTAACCTCAGGTGATCCACCCGCCTTGGCCTCCCAAATCCCTCCTGGGATTAGAGGGGTGAGCCGCTGCACCCAGCCTGTTTAAGCTTTTTCATATATAGGTGTTTTGTGTATGTAAAGGCTAAACTAAGCTGTGCTTACATGTGTCTGAGCTGACAGCATGACAAAATTTATTTTATTGATTAAAAAAAACACTGTCCTTGACATTTTAGTGTATAAGTACATTAAATCATAACTATAATTATCTTGAAAGCATATATTACGGGTATTGAGACATCTGGTCTTTCTGTTGTTTTATGATTGTGTCCTTGCAGGTATCTTTAGGCTGTTTTCTCAACTGTAAACATGGATCGTGACTGGCAAGGAATGTGCCTTGTTAGTCTCAAGATGGAGCTGAACTGAAAATGGTGTCACTCTAGCCCTCCTAGGTCCCTGCTTCCCTAACAATGGCAGAAGCAGGAAAACAAATTCAACTATACAAAGACATTCTAAACCTTTGCTTGCATCACACCTACCAATATCCTATAGTCCTTCTGTATAGGAGAGGGGAATGTGAAAGGAAAATACCTTGGACCCCCAAAATCACTAAGGAAAACTCAGCTGGAAACTGCTTAAGGCAAACCTGCCTCTCATTCTATGAAGTTATCCCTCTGCTCACTAAGAGATGCAAATCTGATTTGCCTCCTTTGAAAGGGCCAATCAGAAACTCAAAAGAATGCAACCATTTGTGTCTCACCTATCTGTGACCTGGAAACCCAGTCCCCGCTTGGAGTCTTCCTGCCTTTGCTTCAAGTTGTCCCGCCTTTCCAGACCTCACCAATGTACTGCTTATATCTATGATTGATGTCTTGCATCTCGGTAAAATGTACAAAACCAAACTGTGCCCCGACCACCTTGGGCACATGTCATCAGGACTTCCTGAGGGTGTCACGGGGGCAAAATAAACTTTCTAAATCAACTGAGACGTGGCTCTGATTTTCTGCGTTCTCAAGGGCATGTCTGATTATTTTAAAATCTAATTTAACACAAAGCACATGGTTAGAGCACTGAAATCCATAGGTATGAGCTCACATCCTTTACTGAAATGTGTCCCCAGGTGAGAGATACTGTGTACCATAGAGATGCATGCAGCATTCTGTAAGTCCATACATGTGGGTGCGGCAGGCAGAGAAGGCACATACCCGAGGGGACTGAGTCTACACCTGGGAGGCATATCGCTGCTTCCTCCAGGGGTCTGATGTAATTTACTTGCCGTCAAGTGGCCAGCTAGTCTCCTTAAAAAATCGTGTCCTGGCCAGGTGAGGTGGCTCACACCTGTAATCTCAACACTCTGGGAGGCTGAGGCAGATGGATCAGAAGGTCAGGAGTTCGAGACCAGCCTGGCCAATATGGTGAAGCCCCAGCTCTACTAAAAGTAGAAAAATTAGCCAGGCATGGTGGCGGGCACCTGTAGTCCCAGCTACTCAGGAGGTTGAGGCAGGAGAATCGCTTGAACCCAAGAGGTTGCAGTGAGCTGAGATCATGCCACTGCACTCCAGCCTGGACAAGAGAACCAGACTCTGTCTCATACAAAAAAAAGAATCGTGTCCTATCAGGTTCTCAAAGTTGGCTTCTCAGCCTGTTGGCAGGTTGGGTACTTAGCATTGACAGTGGCCAGCCAGATCAGCCAGGATGAAGGGCAGTCCATGAGGCTGAACACATGCATAGCCTCTATCCTGTTACTACAGCCACTTTGTACATGGGCTCTTTAGCCAAGAACAGGGATGTTTTGGGGGGGAAAGTCCAACATCCACAGATGATAGAGACCTCCTCCATAACAAATGCCTTCTAATGGATGTTTGCAGAGGATAAAAATCTTCATGTTCAGTGCCCATTCAAAAAGCTCCATCCACATCCCCACCAGACCTCCTGTACCTAATCTTTACTCTTGTTCTTTCTTAGTCCCTGATCAACTGGCCACCCCTCAAACCAGTGTCCATCAGTCCTTCAGGTCATCTCTACTTAGCTGAGAAGTGGAAAAGCAGTCACAGTGCTCAGTTCCACCATCTGAGATGACTTCCCTTCACCACTGTCTTTTTAGGGCTTCTCCCAAGCAAGGCTACAGCAGAATAGCTGTTCATGTCTGGCATGTGCCAGCATATTATGCAGATGTCAGCACGAGCCCCATTTTTTCCATCCTGTACTAACTGGACTTAGAGAAATCCTGTGAGTCTCTAGGTGTGGACTGAGGAGGGGGTAGGACTTTATGTGACCTTCTTGTACAGCCTGCTTGTACGGACCTATATACACTTATTATTTGACAACAGAATGTTGCTGTGTAAATTCACTTTTTTTTTTTTTTTTTGAGACAGAGTCTCACTGTCACCCGGGCTGGAATGCAGTGGCCTGATCTCGGCTGACTGCAACTTCTGCATCCCAGGTTCAAGCAATTCTCCTGCCTCAGCCTCCTGAGTAGCTAGGATTACAGGAGCATGCCACCACACCCAGCTAATTTTTGTATTTGTAGTAGAGACAGGTTTTCACCATGTTGCCCAGGCTGGTCTTGAACTCCGGGCCTCAAGTGGTCTGCCGGCCTCGGCCTCCTAAGGTGCTGGGATTACGGGTGTGAGCCATCACATCTAGCCTGTACATTCAGTTTTAATGATCAAATGAAACAAAATTCCTGAAGGACAGTTCAGAGGAGTCTCTTGGTGCCACCTGGCAGGAGTGGTGGCCCTCAAGTGAGGGTGCAGCCAGCCTGCAATGAGGAGCTGGGGGAATAAAGACCTCAACCTCACACCACCCCTCTGTTCTTCCACAAGTGCTCTCCATTGGCTGCACCTGACCAGGAGTCAGAGGACGAGGGAGCCCATTGATGTGGTTCACATGAGTCAGCCTCTGGGGCAGAGCAGGAGAAATTCATCTGGACAGGCTGTGGTGGGCAGCCTCTACGATGGTACCCACTGAGCTCTACCTCTTGGTATTCACCCCACAGCTGGTCTGTGTGACCAGTAGAACATGGAGAGACAATGACATGTCACCTAACAAGTCAGGTTAGAAACGACACTGCATCCTCCGTTTTGGTCACTACAGTTGGGAGCTTTCTAAGAGGGCCCACGATTCCCACCTGCTGGCATCCACGCCCGTGTGTAATACCCTTCCTTTGAGTGTAGGCTGGACCAAGTGACTTGGTCCTAATTAATTGAATATGGCAAAAGTTCTGGGATATCCCTTCTGAGATTAGGCAACTAAAGGTTCTGACTTCCATCTTGCTTGCTGGCTTTAGCCAAGCAAGAGACCCATGTGGAAAGAATTGAGGGAGACCTCTGGCCAACACCGACCTGCGTGCATATGGAAGGAGATCCACCCCAGGTGAGATTTAAGAGTCTCAAGTTAAACTAACTGCAGCTCAGCTGACACCATCACTGCAGCCTATGGAGAGACTCAGCTCCAAGTCCTCAGCTAACCTGTGCTCAGATTCCTATTCCACAGAAGTATCAGACAACAAATGCCATTTGATGTTTTGGGGTAATTTATTATAAAACAAAAGGGGCTGGGCACGGTGGCTCACCCCTGTAATCCCAGCACTTTGAGAGGCCGAGGCAGGTGGATCACGAGGTCAGGAGTTTGAGACCAGCCTGGCCAAAGTAGCGAAATCCCATCTCTACTAAAAATACAAAACGATTAGCTGGGCATGGTGGCGGGTGCCTGTAATCCTAGCTGCTTGGGAGGCTGAGGCAGGAGAATCACTTGAACCTGGGAAGCGGAAGTCATAGTGAGCCCAGATGGTGCCACTGCACTCCAGCCCAGGCCACAGTGCCACTCCATCTCACTCTCAAGAAAAAAAAAAAGGGTAACTAATATTCTCTCTGATCACTTGCTTTGGGTGAAGTCAGTGGCTGTATTATTAGCAGCTCTATGGGGAGCCCACCTGGCAAGGAACTGAGGCTTTCTGCCCTTAACCTCGTGAGTGAGCCCGGAGGCAGATCCCCACCCCAGCCAAGCTTTCAGATGACTGCAGTCCCTGCCCTCAGCATGATTCAGGACAGACCTAAGCCAGGACCCCTAGCAAACCCACTACCTTATTTCTGACCATCAGAAACTGCACAAAGTAGGGCCTGGCACAGTGGCTCATACCTGTAATCCCAGCATTTTGGGAGACCATGGCAGGCGGATCACTTGAGGTCAGGAGTTCCAGACTAGCCTGGCCAACATGGCGAAACCCTATCTCCACAAAAAAATACAAAAACTAGCCAGGTGTGGTGGCACACACCTGTAATCCCAGCTCCTCGGGAGGCTGAGGCAGGAGAATCGCTTGAACCTGGGGGGCAGAGGTTGCAGTGAGCTGAGATGACGCCACTGCACTCCAGCCTGGGAGACAGAACTGAGACTGTCTCAACCTGCTAAGGCAATACATGTTTGGGGTTTCAGGCTGCCAAAGTTTGGGGTAATTTGCTTTGCAGCAATCGATCCTAATCCATGAGCCAACAGAAAACATTCAGCAAAGAGGAAAACAGAAATTTCAAAAAATTGGTTTGAATATTCCTTAGGAATAGTATTTGGTACATATTCATTTTTTTTTAGATGGAGTCTTGCTCTGTTGCCCAGGCTGGAGTGTGCAGTGGCACAGTCTCAGCTCACTGCAACCTCCCCCTTCCAGGTTCAAGTGATTCTCCTGTCTCAGCCTCCTAAGTAGCTAATTTTTGTATTTTGAGTAGTCAGGGGTTTCATCATGTTGGCCAGTCTGATCTTGAGCTCCTGGCCCCAAGGGTTCCAGCAACCTCAGCACCTCCCAAAGTGAGCCACTGCACCCGACCCTGGTTCATATTCTTGATAGGCCTTGAACCTATGTATGGAGTTATTTTTTGAGGACCTTTCATAATAAAACGAGTTTTCTTTTGCTTCAGGGACAAACTCTGGTATTCCACTAAATTGAGAATAATGGGCCAGGCATGGTGGCTCTTGCCTCTAACACCAGCACTTTGGAAGGCTGAGGCAGGAGGATCACTTGATCCCAGGAGGTGGAGCCCAGCCTGGGCAACACAGGAAGACCCCTCCTCACCTCCACAAAAATAAAAAAAAAAATAGCTGAGTGTGGTGGCGTGCGCCTGTAGTCCCAGCTACTTGGGAGGCTCACTTGAGCCCAGGAATTCGAGGCTGCAGTGAGCTATGATCGCACCACTGCACTCCAGCCTGAGCAACAGAGAAGACCCAGTCTCAAAAAAACAACAACAACAACAAAAAAAAGTTAAAAGTTAAAAATAATGACAGACCCTTTATTGGCACCTCTTACATGCATGGACAGTGAACTTATATCATCTTTCGCAAATAGGAAAACTGAAGCTCATTCAGGTTAGGTAATTTATCTGAAGACACAGAGTAAAAGGGAAAACCCAGGTTTGTATTCTAAAGCCCTCGTTCTTTCCACCACATTATTATGACCTCCCTAACAGTGATCCTTATAACTTTAAATGAACTTACATAATAGTTCCTGTCCTGAACACCGAGGGACGTTGGTTCACGGAGGTTAGAAAGTTAATAAATGCATCCCGCTGCGTGCCCTCCACCGCCGCGCACCCAGTCTCGCGACATGAACTCAAACAGCCTCCAGTATCTGGGGATCAGGGTCTGGTTTGTAAGACGGCCTGCACGCCTGCAGCTGGGGCAGAATTAGAAAATTCAGAAAGGAAAGTTGAAGAGACGGGGAAGGAAGGATGCAAACGCGAGGCTGTGCCTGTCTCGAGGGCCTGTGAGCCACGAACCAGGCTGAGCCCTCCCAGCTGTGAAAACGCGCAGGGCGGGGCGCCTTCGGACCTGGAAGTCGCCTCTGCCCTCACCAGAGATGGCGGCTCCGGCGCCGCTCGCCCACCTCTCGTAACCAATGGCGCCGCGGCGCTCAGCTGACTCACGTGGGCGCCCTCTGCCCTAAGCTGACGCAACGCCCCTGTGGCGGAAACCGCTGGTGCACGTTGGGGTGCTAAGCCGGCGGCAGTTTTGCGTCTATGTCCTTGGAGGTGATCACGGCCACTGCAGACATGGTGCTAGGTGGGTAAGGCCTGGTCATACAGCAGGCGCGGTGTTCCCTCCCTGGGGTAGTAACTCTGCTCCAACCTGGTTCCGGCGCTTTCCTTAGTGCCTGCCAGAGGCTGCCAATGTTTGGGGTCCAATTGCAGGGAGGGTCGGAGGGAGGGTCCTGGCCCTCGCTGGGTCCGAATTTGAAGTGCCGGGCCGGGCTTCCCCGAGCCCCTGGTTCCCCTGGGCTGTGATGGCGGCGACTCCGGGCCCTGCCCTTGCCCCGCTGCGAAACATCCCTATTGAGCTGAGACTCAGGCGCTGGGAGGGGGTCAGACGCTGGGTAGACCCCACTCCTGCAGTTCTTTAAAGAGATCGTCAGGAAGGGACTTTAGGATTCCAGGGTTTTTTTCTTTTCTTTTTTTTTAGACGGAGGTTTGTTCTTATTGCCCAGGCTGGAGTGCAATGGCGCGATCTCGGCTCCCCGTAACCTCTGCCTCCAGGGTTCAAGCGGTTCTGCTGCCTCAGCCTCCCGAGTTGCTGGGATTACAGGCATGCGCCACCACGCCCGGCTAATTTTGTATTTTTAGTAGAGACAGGGTTTCTCCATGTTGGTCAGGCTGGTCTCAAATTCCTGGCCTCGGGTGATCCGCCCACCTCAGCCTCCCACAGTGCTGGGATTACAAGGCTTCAGCCACCGCGCCCGGCCTCCAGTTGTTTTTCTCCCAGCCTTATATTTTATTAAGGTTTCCGGAGAGACCATACTGTATAGTAGAAAAACAAAAAAGTAGATAGAATAAATATCACAAATTAAATAAATGGATGTCACTGTTCAGACCTAGTTGTAAGGCATTATGAAATTTTCCAACCTCAGAGCTTCAGTTTCCTTTAAAGACTAGAGGGAGATGGTGTTTATTTGCCGTCTCTACAAAAACTGGCACTAGCATATCTAATTTGTATGTGTTATTTTACTTCATCCTCAGTACAGCCTTTCAAGATAGGTATTGTTGTTCTTATTTTATAGATAAAGAAATAAGTGGCCTGTCGCGGTGGCTCACCCCTGTAATCCCAACACTTTGGGAGGCCGAGGCAGGCCAATTACGAGGTCAGGAGTTTGAGGCCAGCCTGGCCAATATAGTGAAACCCCGTCTCTACTAAAAATACAAAAAAAAAAAAATTAGCCTGGCGTGTTGGCAGGTGCTTGTGAGCTTGGGAGCCTGAGGCAGGAGAATCACTTGAACCTGGGAGGCAGAAGTTGCAGTAAGCCAAGATTGTGCCATTTCACTCCAACCCCGGGCGACAGTGCCAGACTCCGTCTCAAAAAAACAAAAGAAGAAATAAGCTCAGAAAAGTTAAATAAGTTTTCCAGAGTCACCCTGCCTTTTAAGGTACAAAATCCAAGATTCCAGCATACATTTGACCAACTTCAAAGCCCTTGTTTTATTTTTGGGTGCCCAGGTAGATAGAATAAATATCACAAATTAAATGACCAGAGTTCATTTTGAAAACCTGGATTTTTAACTACTGTTTTTATGAGATGGATGTTACTGAAATGTGGGAGTAGGGAAATGATCAGGATATTAATTTCTTATGGACCTCAGTAATTTTTACTAATCATGCTTGTTCTGTTTTCAAAGGCAAAGAATGAATAAAGTAGTCAGGTGACTAATAGTTAATGGCCAAACCAGTAAGTTACTTTCATTTTGTCAAACAGCAGAGCTGTACGTCTCTGAACGAGAGGGCGATGATGCCACGGGAGATGGAACCAAGGAGAAGCCATTTAAAACCGGTCTAAAGGTAGTGTCTCTTCTCATTAGGAAAATGAGACTGCATTTATTAATGACATGTCAAACACTAGGTTCCAAAGAGAATTTTCAGAAAAGGGAAAGTAAGGAATGCATACATATATACGGCTTTAAGATTGTTAGATGATCAAAGTCTAAACTTGCACGTTTAAAAAGTAGTCTTCTTTCTTACCACGCAGCATTCCACCTTGGAATTTTTCTCTCCAGTGAGTCAGATTCGGGGTTTTTCAATTCGTAGAAAGCTAAAAGTTACTTTTTCTTAGTCACACTGAGCTCATGGCCAGGGGCCTCTCCTGAGAGGGCTTTTGGTGAATTTACCACAGTCCAGAGTGTGATCCTGAGATTTGACTTGAAGGTCTGGTTTATACTAGCACACTGGGAATGGATTCATTTGTCAGAGCTGACTCATGAGTCTGGAGCTTGAAGCTAGAATGCCAGTCTATTAACATGCTATTAGTCCTCAGGATCTAGAATTTTCAAATGAATTTAGCACATTGTCAAAGGGATTTGTCAAGAGCTTAGACTCAGGCCAGGTGCAGGGGCTCATGCCTATAATTCCAACACTTTTGGAGGCTGGGTAGGTGTATCACTTCAGCCCAGGAGTTTGAGACCAGTTGGGGCAACTTGGTGAAATCCCATCTCTACAGAACACATACAATTAGCTGGGCATGGTGGTCTGTTCCTGTACTCCCAGCTACTCCGGACCTGAGTTGAGAGAATTGCTTTAGCCTGGAAGAGGGGCGTCGAAGTGAGCCATGATTGCATCACTGCACTCTAGCCAGAATTACAAAGTGTAGCATAAGACAAACTTCTTAAAATAGACCATGGACTTAGCTGTTGAACTTATATGCTAGAATCCATTGACTACAACTGCCACATAAGGAAGATGGTTAAAAATTCCTTCCTTGGGTCTGGGCGTTGGTGCCTCATGTCTGTGTAATCCCAGCACTTGGGAGGCTGAGGCTGGAGGATTTCTTGAGCCCTGGAGTTTGAGGATAGCCTGGGCAACACAGTAAGACCTTCATTCATCTCTACAAAAAAAGTTAACTTCTTAAAAATTTAATTAATTTAAAAAATAGAGACATTTTCTTCTGTTGCCCAGGCCTCCCAAAGTCCTGGGATTATAGGAGTGAGCCACTGCATCCAGTCAACTACAAAAAAATTTTTTTTTTTTAATTAGCTAGGTATGGTGGTGTATGCACTTGTGGTCCTAGCTACTCGAGAGACTGAGATGAGGGGATTACTTGAGCCCAGGAGGTTGAGGCTGCAGTGAGCCGTGATTGCGCCACTGCACTGCAGCCTTAACAACAAAAAGTTCTTTCATTGAATTGTACTTGGAAAAGCAGTGCCTTGACAATCCCTTTTCTGTGCTTCCCCTTTTTTTGTTAACTATGTTACCACATTTATAGTTACTATCAAGCCCTCCTAACCTGGGAGCATTCTCCTCTTTTAAGCTCATACCGTATGGTTATACTTTGGTGTATCACACATGGGTACCTGTTTTTAATTTAATTTTTTTTCCCCCGGAGATGGGATCTTACTTTGTTACCCAGGCTGGAGTGCAGTAGCGCAGTCATGGCTCACTGTAACTTCAACCTCCTGGGCTTAAATGATCCTCCCACCTCAGCTTTCCAGGCTGGTCTTAAACTCCTGGGCTTAAGCAGTCCTCCTGTCTTGGCCTCCCAAAGTGCTGGGGTTATAGGCGTGAGTCACCACACTTGGTTGGGTTTTACTTTTTAATTCGGGGAAGTCTTTCATTTCTGGATTGTCGGGTGCCCCATTGCGGCTTCCCAAAACTGACAACGCTGTAGATGAACATCTGCAGAATGTCACTGCTAACAAAGGTAAAGCATTCTGATTTGGCAACTTTGGCTCTTTGAATTTCAGTGCGACAAAAGGAGGGATCAATACAGACTGTCAGGAAGTAAATGAATTCTGAATGACCTACATGTATTCTTACAATGTCTAGTTGTTAAAAAGATGAACTCTTGGATGTTTTTTCAAAAGATCCAGATTCCCTCCCTCTCTGCAGCGGTCATTGACCTGAGAAAAAGTCAATTTTTCCAGGTTTCAGATCTTGCAACAAGAGAATAATTCATTGCATTTATTATTTGATTTAATAACTTGGGAGAGATTTTGAAAGAATATTTGAGGCTTTAAAATATCCATCTTTTATATACTTTCAGCTATTTTTTTGAAACCATAAATGATAAACTATTAAATGATGTATAACACAGCAATGCCTAATATATCCCATTGGGGAAAAGAAGTATTCTACATTTGAGAATGTTTCAGATTAAATGAGCTTAGCTTTTTGTGTCCTTGGCCATTGTTTTGTTGAAAGTTTCAAAAGTGCCTGAGACTTGTCTGATTTCTCACAGAGGACTAACCTTTTAAATGTCACCTGAAGTTGGCTTTTGCTGTCAGGTGTCTCTTCTGTTGCCTGTGTACCTGTGCTGGTGGCTTTAGCCACTTAAGATCTGTTGCTTGTAGTCTGCTTGTCCTGGGGAACTGTATAGTGTATACCTGAACTTGGAATAGCTGAACTGTGCAGTGCACACCTGAACTTGGAGTTTGGAATTGTGAGAGGACCTTGAAGCTTCAGTTTTAACCAGCGTGCTGCTTAAATGTTCAGCCAGTCCCTCTGCCAACATCAACTTTTGACTCTTGGGTATTTATGTTTAGATTGTTTAAGTTGCTTTATACCTGAGATGTTATTTTGATTTTAAGTATTGTACGATGTTCAAGAACTGTCTTTTCTCTCCCTCCCTACCCAAGGCTTTGATGACAGTAGGAAAAGAACCATTTCCTACCATTTACGTGGATTCACAAAAAGAAAATGAGGTAGAGTAAACCAAAAACTTTATGGAATTATATTTTGGGAATAAATTTTCATCATGATACAAAGGTCTTGATAATAAATATCTGTTTATTTTCGTAGAGGTGGAATGTTATTTCTAAATCACAGATGAAGAACATTAAAAAGATGTGGCATAGGGAACAAATGAAGAGTGACTCCCGGGATAAGAAAGAGGTGAGTCCTGAACTTGCCACCATGAACATTGCTAGAACTCTGGAAACCGTGTTAACAAACTGCTTCGTCATTAAAATTAGGCAGAAGATAATTTACGAAGAGAAAAGAACCTGGAAGAAGCCAAGAAGATTACCATTAAAAACGATCCAAGTCTCCCAGAGCCAAAATGTGTAAGTTTTTTTATCATTTCAGATACCGTGGACTTTGCTACATCAGATCATTATTTCTGGGTTTGAGGGGCATGCCACATGGTTTGTTCCTGTACATTGTTTTTACTTTCCTTTTCTTTTTTTTTCTTTTTAATTTTTTTTAGACGCGAGATTTCACCATGTTGATCAGGCTGGTCTCAAACTCCTGACCTCAGGTGATCTGCCCACTTCGGCCTCTCAAAGTGCTGGGATTACATGCGTGAGCCACCACGCCCAGCCAGATTTCCAGTAGTTCTTATTGCTGATGAATTTTTGTATTATTTCTTTAGTGATGGAGCTGGGGTTTTTTGGCTACATTCACCAGCCCCTTCCTCTGCTCATCTCCTGTCTCCTTCATCCCCCAGACAAAAGCTAGCCTTTTTAGATACCAAGTCCTGGAAGGTATTGAAGAACTATGGGGTCACGGAAAAGGCTCCGTGTGGACTGGGATTGTTACTATTGTGGGAAGCAAGTGCCCCACTTATGACAAATTCAATTCATTTGTTAATTGATTTTATCTAGGGATATCTGAAATTCTTCTGGGTGTTTCTCATTACCAGTTTTGCACTAAGAAAAGAAGACTTGGATTTTTTTGTTTGTTTGTTTTCAACCACTCCAGTAGAGTGAAATGTGTTTGGTTCTGACCTGCAGTGGAGGGGCTGTCCCCAGTTTGCACCATTTGTGATTTTTAACACTTTACTACCATCTGTCTAATATTACTGAAAAAGTTGGTGTGTACAAATTACATTATTGAGCAAATGTTATTTATTTCAATTTGACAGGTGAAGATTAGTGCGTTAGAGGGATATCGAGGCCAAAGAGTAAAGGTGTTTGGCTGGGTCCACAGGCTACGTAGGCAAGGTAAATGGCAAAGCTTTTCCTTCTTTTTAATTTTTAAATATCCCTGGTCTTACATGAAGAAAAACATACAAAGGTTTGCAAGGGTTTTTTTCTCCCTTTTTTTTTTTTGAGGCAGAGTTTCACTCTGTTTCCCAGGCTGGAGTGTAGTGGCACTCTTGGCTCACTGCAACCTCTGCCTCCCGGGTTCAAGCAATTCTCCTGCCTTAGCCTCCTGAGTAGCTGGGACTGCAGGTACCTCCCACCACACCTGGCTGATTTTTGCATTTTTAGTAGAGATGGGGTTTCACCATGTTGGCCAGGCTGGTCTGGAACTCCTGGCCTCAAGTGATCCACCTGCCTTGGCCTCTTAAAATGCTGGGATTACAGGTATGAGTCATTGTGGCCGGCCCTCTTTTTTTCTTTTTTTTTTTGGTATGCTGGCTAGACTTGAACTCCCCTAGCTATCCTCCCATCTCAGCCTCCTGTGCAGCTGGGATTACAGACACATCGTAGTACCTCACCTGGCTTTAAAAGATAGAGTGATTTATATCTTAAATTTGTTCTTATTTAAAATGACTGTTGAAAGTATAAAAGTTTTTAAATACTTTTTTTAATGGTTAGCAATTAACAGTGACGAAGATGTATCCAGTAAATATTTGTCTAATTGGGTTTTAATAATTATTATTATTATTTTGAGACAGAGTCTTACTCTGCTGCCCAGGCCAGAGTGCAGTGGTGCAATCTCAGCTCACTGCAACCTCCGCCTACCAGGTTCAAGTGATTCTCCTGCCTCAGCCTCCTGAGGAGCTGGAACTACAGGCGTGTGCCACCAAGCCCGGCGATTTTTTTTGTTTTGTTTTGTATTTTTAGTAGAGATGGGGTTTTGCCATATTGGCCAGGCTGGTCTCGAACTCCTAACTTCGTGATCTGCCCACCTCAGCCTCCCAAAGTGCTGGGATTACAGGTGTGAGCCACTGCGTCTAGCTGAGTTTTAATTATTTAGTGAAAACCAAGGGATGTTGCTATAGGAAATTTACATCTGAGTCTGAAACTTGGCCATAATTTTGACTCTTATAATCAGTATATTTGTATTTTTCCTTGGTTCTGAAGTTTTGTTTTCTCTTTCCCTGTTTATTATTATTATATATTTTTAAATATATAAACATTGCTTTTACTATTTATTATAAGGAATTAGCAAATCTTTTATTAAAAAGTAGGACTAGCCAGGTGTGGTGGCTCACCCCTGTAATCCCAGCACTTTGGGAGGCCGAGGTGGGTGGATCACAAGGTCAGGAGTTGGAGACCAGCCTGGCCATTATGATGAAACCTCATCTCTACTAATAAGGTACAAAAATTAGCCAGGCGTGGTGGCAGGCACCTGTAGTCCCAGCTACTCGGGAGACTGAGGTAGGAGAATCATGTCAACCCACGTGGCGGAGGTTGCAGTGAGCTGAGATCATGCCACTGTACTCCAGCCTGGGCAACAGAGCGAGACTCCATCTCAGAAAAAAAAAATTAGCTGGACATGATGGCTGGTGCCTGTAATCCCAGGTACTTGGGAGGCTGAGGCTGGAGAATTGCTTGAACCCAGGAGGCAGAGGTTGCAGTGAGCCAAGGTCGTGCCTTTGTACTCCAGCCTGGGTGACAAAAGTGAACCTCCATCCCAAAAAAAAGTCGGGGGGAGGGCAAAAAATACAAATGAAATGTTTTAAGTAGATCTCAGTGAAGGACCTTTGGGACATAAATAAGGAAAAGTGATATTGTTCAAGAACATTTATGCATCACCTATTGAGTGCACAGTACCGTGCCACACATTGCAGGGGATTCAAGGGTGGATGAGCTGCAGTCCCTTAACTCGTGTTGCCTTCTGTTTTGCTTTCCCCTGGTTGTGTGGATCTTGGGGATCATGTATGATTTGAAAGTCCAATGCAATGAAAATAAAGTATTTTACAAATACTTAGTAATGGTATTACCAGTGGGTACTTCCAGGGAAGGGAGCCATGTGGGAGGTGTGAACTTCCAATGTTTAACCTTGGGGTTTTCTTTAGATAAGATTAAATCATGCTGGGTGCAGTGGCTCACACCTGTAACCTCAACACTTTGGGAGGCTGTGGTAGGAGAATTGCTTGCGCCCAGGAGCCTGGGCAACACGGTGAGACCCCAGTCACTACAAAATAATTAGCCAGGTGTGATGGCACGTGCCTGTAGTCCCAGCTACCTGGAAGGGTAAGGTGGGAGGTTTGCTTGAGCCCAGGAGATGGAGGCTTCAGTGAGCTGTGATCGTGCTATTGCACTCTAGCCTGGGTAACAAAGTGAGACCCTATCTTAAAAAAAAAATTATGAAAAACTAATCTGGTTTTCATAATTTGAGAATAGTCTGCCTAAATTATTATTTCTCATTTTTAGGAAAGAATTTAATGTTTCTGGTGTTGCGAGATGGGACAGGTTTTCTTCAGTGTGTCTTGGCGGATGAGTTGGTAAATATTTTCCCTTATTTATGCCTGAAAATTAGATGTTTTTAGTAGATTCCTTTATTGTTCTGGGAATTCTAGAATCTGTATATGTTTATTTAAAACTTATGTTGACAGTGAATACATCAAAACATCACATTGTATCATAAATGTGCAATTTTTATTTGTTTATTATACCTAAGTAAGGCTAGAGGGAGAAAACTTTAGTTGTGGGAAATTTCCAGCACATTAAAAAACAGACCCATATAAAAAATCCTTAAGTGCCCATCACCCAGCTTCTGTAACTAGCAATATGGCTAATGCTGGTATGATATTGCCCCTCAGACATTATGTCATTTTACTGAAATACTTATGCATCACCAAGAAAAATAACGTGGCTGGGCATGGTGGCTCATGCCTGTAGTCTCAACACTTTGGGAGGCTGAAGTGGGTAGATGGCTTGAGCCCAGGAGTTTGAGACCAGCCTGGGCAACATGGTAAAAACCTGGCTCTACAAAAAATACAAAAATTAGCTAGGCCTGGTGGTGCCTAACTGTAGTCTTAGCTACTCGAGAGGCTGAGGTCAGGGCTTGAGCCAGGGAGGCAGAGGTGGTAGTGAGCCAAGATGACACCACCACCCTCCAGCCTGGGCAACAGAGGGAAGCTTTGTCTCAAAAAAAAAAAAAAAGAACAAAGGATAAACAATGTAGTCACTTACTATTATCACATCCTCCACCAAATTCATACAGCTACTAAATATGATCTAATATCCAGATTCTTGTTATCAGTTCATAATGCCTTTTTATAGTAGATTGACTTGAATGAGGATTCTAACAAGGTTAACATGCTGCATTTAGCAATAATGACTTTGAAATTTTCTTCAATCTATGACTCTGCCCCTTTTGCATTCTCTTTTCTTCCCCCCACTGCCCCATTACTGTGCATTTGTTGGGAAAACCCTACTGGATTGTCCTGTTGAGCTGCTCACATTCTGGATTTGGTTCTTTGCATCCTTGTGGTGTCCTTTAGCTTGTTCTTCTAGTCTCCGTATTGTTTATAAGTTGGAGTTCAGGTTTTTGACACAACTACTTCATGGGCAAAGCTGTGTTCTTTGAGTTGTATCACGTGCATCACGTCCAGAGGCTTGTCTTTTTTTTTTTTTAATTATTTTTTGAGATGGAGTCTCACTCTGTCACCCAGGCTGGAGTGCAGTGGCGCAGTCTTAGCTCACTGCAACCTCCGCCTCCCAGGTTCAAGCCATTCTCCTGCCTCAGCCTCCTGAGTAGCTGGTCGTACAGGTGTGTGCCACCATGCCCAGCTAATTTTTTTACTTTTTATAGAGATGGGGTTTCGCCTTGTTGGCCAGGCTGGTCATGAACTCCTGACCTCAGGTGATCCACCCGCCTTGGCCTCCCAGAGTGCTGGGATTACAGATGTGAGCCACCACACCCAGCTGGTTGTCTTTTTTATGAGTAGTGGGTTCAGGTGTTGGCAGCCTGACTCCCTCCTTTTAAAGTTCCCCATCAGTTTTTTCTTAATGACTTTAGTAAGAAGTGATTATAGTAGATGGGCTCTGTATAGTTTTATTTGTTTGTTTTCTTGAGAGACAGGATTTCTCAAAAAGAGTGTAGTGGCATCATCAGAGCTCATTGTAGCCTTGACTTCCCAGGCCCGAACAGTTCTCCCACCTCAGCCTCCCAAATAGGACTGCAGGTGAGAACCACCACACCCAGCTAATTTTTATTTAGCTCTCCCTACCTTGTCCAGGCTGGTCTTGAATTCCAGGGCTCGAGTGAGCCTCACACCTTGGCCTCCAAAACTGTTGGGATCATAGGCGTGAGCCACTATGCCCAACTTGTATGTTATTTTAATAGTCTGGATTTAAAATAAATAAACTGTCCAATATTTTAAGTGAGGTGGGTCAGTGTCATTTATGCATATGTATGTATGTAAAGTGTGTATTTACATTTATATGTGTGTATATAGATAAACCTGTCTACCACAAAAATAGCTATTCTTTAATATTAAGAATTGGTGGCCATCTCTTTATTTTACCCAATAACTTGTTTGTAAATAATCCCTTTAACTTTCTATATGGTAGAATTTTTAAATCAATGTGAATAACTAAATTTGACCTTTTTATAGTGTCTGTGCTACAATGGACTACTCTTGTCCACGGAGAGTAGCGTGGCAGTGTATGGAACGCTAAATCTTACCCCAAAGGGCAAGCAGGTGAGTGGACTGAGTTTCACACTGGGTGAATGCATAGTTTGTTTATTTTTTTGTTTTCCAGTGTCTTTGGATCTTTGATGTTTGGCATAAGTATTAGGGTTCTTCAGAGGGACAGATCTAATAGGATACATGTGTATGTGAGAGGGAGTTTATTAAGGAGAATTGACTCACATGATTACAAGATGAAGTCCCACGATAGGCCATCTGCAAGCTGTGGGGCAAGGAAGCCAGTAGAGGCTGGGTCCAAGTTCAAAAGCCTCGAAAGCAGGGAAGCCGACAGGGCAGCCTTCAGTCTGTGGCTAAAGGCCAAAGAGCCCCTCCTGGCAAAGCGCTGGTGTTAAGTCCAAGAGTCTAAAGGCTGAAGAACTTGGAGTCTGATGTTCAATGACGGGAAGCATCCTGCCCGGGAGAAAGATGAAGGCCGGAAGACTCAGCAAGTCTGTGCTTCCACCTTCCTCCTGCTTTGCTTAGCCACGCTGGCAGCCGAGTAGGTGATACCCACCCACACTGAGGGTGGGTCTGCCTCTCCCAGACCACTGACTGGGAGATTATGTTAATCTCCTCTGCCAATACCCAGATACACCCAGAAAATACTTTGTATCCTTCATTCCAGTCAAGTCCTCACTTAATATTAACCATCCCAGCATGTAAATACAATAAATGTGAAGTACATGCCAAATTCAGAGTCCCTTTTCCAGTGAAATATGTATATTATACAGCTCATGTGATCAAATGAATACAATGATTTCCAGCCTTACAGAATTCCTGAATCATCCTTATGGGATATAATACAGCCACTGTGCTATAGATATTTGAATTACTTTATGGCCAGATGGAAACAAAAACTTAACAAGCCACCTAAAAATTTTCAGAGAATTGTAGTCTAAAACTGAAACTTTCTTAATAGAATTTTAGAGCCTCTTTGTTTTGTTTTGTTTTGTTTCAGACAAGAGTTTTCTCAAAAGCTGGAGTGCAGTGGCATGATCTTGGCTCACTACAACCTCTGCCTTCCCAGTTCGAGTGATTCTCCTGCCTCAGCCTCCTGAGTAGCTGGGATTACAGGCACGAGCTACCATGCCTGGCTAATTTTTTGTCTCTTTAGTAGAAACGGGGTTTTACCATGTTGGCCAGGCTGGTCTCGAACTCCTGACCTTGTGATCCACCTGCCTTGGCCTCCCAATGTGTTGGGATTACAGGCGTGAGCCACTGCACCCCACCTTTTCTTTTTTTTTTTTTTTTTTTTAGACTAAGTCTCACTCTCTTTGCTTAGGCTGGAGTTCAGTGGTGCAGTTTCAACTTACTGCAGTCTCCTATCAGATAAAAGTGATTCTCATGCCTCATCCTCCCGAGTAGCTGGGATTACAGGTGCCTGCTATCACACCTGGCTAATTTTTGTATTTTTAGTAGACATGGGGTTTCACCATGTTGACCAGGCTGGTCTCAAACTCCCGACCTTAAATTACCTGCCTGCCTCAGCCTCCCAAAGTGCTGGAATTACAGGCATGAGCCACCACGTCCGGCCTGTGCATTTCTACTTTTTAAAAGACATTTATGGCTGGGCGCATTAGTTCATGCCTATAATCATAGCACTTTGGGAGGCCAAGGCGGGCAGATTACCTGAGGTTGGGAGTTTGAGACCAGCTTGGCCAACATGGAGAAACCCCATCTCTACTAAAAATACAAAATTGACCCAGCATAGTGGTGCATTCCTGTAATCCCTGCTACTTGGGAGGTTGAGGTAGGAGAATTGCTTGAACCCGGGAGGCAGAGGTTGCAGTGAGACGAGATTGCACCAGTGCACTCTAATCTGGACAACAAGAGTGAAACTCCATCTCAAAAAAAAGATATTTGTGGCAGGATGTGGTTGCTCACGCCTGTAATCTCAGTACTTTCGGAGGTTGATGCATCACCTGAGGTCAGGAGTTCAAGATCAGCTTTGCCAACATGGTAAAACCCTGCTCTACTAAATATACGAAAATTAGCTGGGTGTGGTGGTGGACACCTGTAGTCCCAGGTATACAGGAGGCTGAGGCAGGAGAATCACTGGAACTCAGGAGGTGGAGGTTGGCCAAGATGTGCCACTGTATTCCAGCCGGGGCAGCAGAGAGAGACTCCATCTTAAAAAAAAAAAAAAAAGAGATAGTTGTGTGTATGTGATTGTGTATTTACCCAGAGAGAATATTCATAAAAATATCAGTATAAAACTAAACTATCGGGTCTATTTTTAGAAGGGTAAGGCTGAGAATTATGAGGTTCTTAAAAATCTCAGCTTACCAAAACTTTTGACATAAATTAAAATCCTCTCAATACTGTTCATTTTTTATTTCCTTTTCCCTCTCTCTTTCTCTGGACACGACTTTTAAAAAATGCAGGCTCCAGGTGGCCATGAGCTGAGTTGTGACTTCTGGGAACTCATTGGCTTGGCCCCTGCTGGAGGAGCTGACAACTTGATCAACGAGGAGTCTGATGTTGACGTCCAGCTCAACAACAGACACATGATGATCCGAGGAGAAAACATGTCCAAAATCTTCAGAGCACGCTCCATGATCACCAGGTGCTTTAGAGATCACTTCTTTGATAGGGGGTACTGTGAAGTAAGTATGCATTCGTCAGCTTTTGCACACAGTACATTTTTGCTGTTTTGAAACTTGAATGGCGGTGCTCACGATAGGCACTGATTGACTCTTTCTTTGCATTTGAACAGATTGCTCCTCCAACATTAGTGCAAACACAAGTAGAAGGTGGCTCCACGCTCTTCAAGCTTGACTACTTTGGGGAAGAGGCATTTTTGACTCAGTCCTCTCAGTTGTACCTGGAGACTTGCCTCCCAGCCCTGGGAGATGTTTTTTGCATCGCACAGTCATACCGGGCAGAACAGTCCAGAACACGAAGGCACCTGGCTGAGTATGAAATTGTCTTTTTGCTTATATTTCTTTTTAGGTAATATTTGTAGAGAAGAAATCTTAGTGTAGGTAAATGATGTCTATGCTTTTAAAAAAAACTGACATATTAAGAGGTTAACAGAAGAACAGGGTACCAACTGTTGCCGCCTTAGATCGAAGCTAAGGTCTCTTTTCCACTTTTTCCAAGTAAAAGACTTGGTCTTTTACATTTAAGGGAGTAAACAAGAAATTGCTGCTCAGTGGGGAAGAGAGGAGTCCACAACTAATTTGCAAAGGTGGGAATTCTTAGCATTGTTGGAATTTTATTGACGGTTTACCAACGTTAAAAGCCTTGCTGGAGAGAAAACAGTGCAGGAGCAAAGCAGCACTGAGCTAGTGTCTCATTCTTCAGGTACACTCACGTGGAAGCCGAGTGTCCTTTCCTGAGCTTTGAGGACCTCCTGAACCGGCTGGAGGACTTGGTCTGTGATGTGGTAGACCGAGTACTGAAGTCACCTGTAGCCAGCATAGTGCATGAACTCAACCCGGTAGGTACAGGGTTTATGGAAAGAAAAAGTCATAGTCCTTTTTTGGAAGACAATGAAGTCTTCACCCTCAGTTTTTGTAGATTTGATGGCTTGGTGAGCTGAAATAAGTGACTAATTATTTTGAAGAGTAGACATTGATATTAGTCATTGTCAATAATTTTATAATGTTTTAACTTACATAAGAAGAGGCTGATATGTTTTCCATTTTAGGAATATCTACATAGTTTTCTAGTCTGAAGTTATATAGATATAATTTTTTCTTTTTCTTTTTTTTTTTTTTTTTTGATGGAGTCTTGCTTCACTGCCCAGGCTGGAGTGTGGTGGCATGATCTCAGCTCACTGCAACCTCCACTTCCCAGGTTCAAGCAATCTCCTGCCTCACCCTCCTGAGTAGCTGGAATTGCAGGCACTTGCCACCAATTTCTGTGTTTAATAGAGATGGGGTTTCACCATGTTGTCCAGGCTGATCTCAAAACTCCTGACCTCAAGTGATCTGCCTACCTCAGCCTCCCAAAGTGCTGGGATTACAGGCATGAGCCACCACACTCGACTGAAGTGATATTTTATAATAATGGTGAATAGTTTTTTTAAATGGAAATTGTAGTGTTAATGTTTATATATATATATATGCATACATTATAGTTTTCCTTTCTACTATAGAACTTTAAGCCCCCCAAACGGCCTTTCAAACGGATGAACTATTCAGATGCTATCGTGTGGCTAAAAGAACACGATATAAAGAAAGAAGATGGAACTTTCTATGAATTTGGAGAAGTATGTATTCCTTTCTCTCATTGTTTCCAAGGCGGGATTGGGCTTGAGTGGTTCTCTTCTTCTGGTTAGTGAACTGGTAATGCGGGTGGCGTCTGCCTGTCCTCAAATAAATGGTAACAGCAGAACCTGCTTCATGGGGTTGCCTGCAGATCTGCTGAGTTAACAGATGTAGAGTCCACCTCAGGACAGTGCCTGTTCTGTAGCATCCAGTAAATATGAGTGAGTTTCTAAGCTGCCTTCACGTTTCATGCTTTGCCTCTTCCCCTTCCTTCATTGTTCTTCCTTGGCCACAGCTTGTAAGCTCTCCTCATTCTCTAGGCTGGCAGGAGTGCTTTAAAAGATTGTGAAGCCTTTGAAATGACACGCAAAGTGTTGGTATAGAGATATATTTGTTTTGGTTTTCTGGAGAGAGTATCTTTTGCTTTTAAAAAGAGGTTCATCCTCTCCCCCAAAACAGTGATTTAAAACTCCTTAATGTGGAAGGTGAGAAAGAAGATAGCCATTGGTTAAAATGCAAAATCAAGAGAGAAGGTTTTTGTGGAGAAGGAAGCTGAGTGAGTGCCCCAGATAGACGGCATTTCGGTTTTGCCTGAGAACCACTCTCCCAGCATGCACTCGGGTTGCAAATTTTCTTTCTTTGGAATAGTGTCTTCATCTGTCGTCCAGGTTGGAGTGCAGTGGTGCAATCACAGCTCACTACAACCTTGAACTCCAGAGTTGAAGTGATCATCCTTCCTTAGCCTCTAAAAGTACTGGGATTACAGGTGTGAGCCACCTTGCCCAGCTAATTTTTTACTTGTAGAGATGGCATCTCCCTATGTTGCCCAGGCTGGTCTCAAACTCCTTAGCTCAAGCAGTCCTCCCTCCACGGCCCCTCAGAGTGTTCGGATTACAGGCATGAGCCACTGCATCAGGCTAAAGTTTTCAACACTATGGTAGGCCATCTTCCCTTGCATTTAACCATTACTTGCATAATATTTGCACATCTAAATTGTTTTACAGTTGAAATGTGAGTAGCTACTGCTAACTAGTTTTGGGTTTTAGCCGGAATTAATAGAGAGGAGAAAACAATATACTAGGTCTATATAAAGCACTCTTAACTGCTTTTGCGAATTCGGTTGTCTGTTTTTAACAAGATGGAGGTACTGCCCTGTTGACTGGGCTGGTCCAACTCCTGACCTCAAGCAATCCTCTCACCTCTGCCTCCCAAAATGTTGAGATTATAGGTGTGAGCCACACTGCCCAGCCTGTGGATTCAGTCTATCATGTGTAATAACAGCATTTTGTATTGAGTACTTTTAGTGTACCTGTTAGTAAAATCATGTGGTTGAGTAGATTACACAAGCTGTGGAGTCAGAAGTTTCCCGCAGGTGGGCTTAGCTCCCACCTCTTTTCTTCTGTGCTATGTAACTGAAGGCCAGTGCCCCCCGCCGCCCCTGCTCAGGTTCCTTATCTCTACCTTGGAAGTAATACCTGTTTTTCAAGATTGTGGTGACTACAGGAGCTAAATGCTTAGCCGGGATCATGGCATGGGGAGCCTGTCAGCATTTACTATACATTGCCATCATTCCATATACATGAGGACACTAGAGTAGATACGTGGTCCTCAGGCCTTAGACAGGGTTTCCCCTAACTAAATCTGATGCAGAACCCTGCTGTGTAAAGCAGATGCAAGCTAAGAAACTAGAGCTCTCCCTCTCATCTCCTGGAAGCCAGGGCTCCAGGGCCTGGAGCTTGAAAACAGGTGTGCTGGGTGATTGCTACCTCCATTTCACTTCTCCCATTAAACAAATCTATGAGTCTTCTCCAGTTCTCAATCTGTTTTTACTGGGACGAGAGTTTTCCATTTGAGCTTATATGTTAACTTTAATTTATATGTGGTACAGAAGGATGTTTTGAGAGAGAGCTCCAGGTGTGGTTACACTTAGCAGTTTGACTTTGGTTATTTGTCTTAGGATTGTGTCTTTCTGTCATCGGAGGCATAAGTGATTGATTACAACAGGAAAGAAGGGCAGATAAGAGGAGAGTTTAAAGATTAGTGTCATTAGTAATATACTCTGTGTGTAGATCAATGATGTTCTGGAGCATTCATGATTACCTTATGCCTTATGGGACTAAGTGGACCTCATTCGCTTCAGAGCTAGACAAAACAGGCCACTGAGAAAAATACTGAGCTGTGTCTAGTCACAACTTGGGGTTGGCTTTTGTTTTTGTTTTTTTGATTTTTCTTCATCAAACAGCATGGTGCTTGAGGTATGCTGTAAAGGGAGGCAGATCTTTTACAGTTCATTAAATAACTGAATTTTAAGAATATGTTTATTTCTTTTTGAAAGAAATTCTTTACACAAATGTGTGTGAGTTAAAGATAGGTGTGTATCCTCCACTCTGTTGAATTGGAGGAAGGACTGGTGGAGGATGAAGGAGCTGCTTCTATCTTGTTGCGATTCAAGTTGTAAATGTTAATGAAATCTTGTTTAACCTCAGGATATCCCAGAAGCTCCTGAGAGACTGATGACAGACACCATTAATGAACCAATCTTGCTGTGTCGATTTCCTGTGGAGATCAAGTCCTTCTACATGCAGCGATGTCCTGAGGATCCCCGTCTTACTGAATCTGTCAGTTTCTGTTTCAAAGAATATTAATAATTTTGCTTTTCAAGGGGGTGGGGACTGTCATCTGGAATCAGATACAGCTCATGGCACATATTTCATTCTCTATCTAAATGACAATATTTAAAGACGTTGGGTTCTTCCCCCTCTCCTGATTGGGGTTGACACGCTTTGTTAAATTAGAGAAATGTAAATATTTAAATATTACATCATCATAGTGCCTCCTTTAGCCCTCAGAGCTTAATTGTAGTATTTGTTGAAACTCTACAGCAGTGCTGTGTCTGATCGCTTGATAGTAATTGTGCATCTTCTTTTGCTTATATTTAAAGGTCGACGTGTTGATGCCCAATGTTGGTGAGATTGTGGGAGGCTCAATGCGTATCTGGGATAATGAAGAAATACTGGCAGGGTATAAAAGGGAAGGGATCGACCCCACTCCCTATTACTGGTATACAGATCAGGTAAAACCAATTTTTTAAGCACTCTTAAAATTTTTTTACTGTAATCGTTCTGTATATATTGAAATTTTTAAAAGGGGAGAATTCAAAACTTTGCTATTTGAATGAGCTGTATTCAGTTTCCATGTTATACTAATGTGATGTGTGAATATTGCCAGCTTTGTCTAAACCAAGTTATATGTTAATTTCATTTGAAAACCTGTTTAACGGCTGGCTTGTTGCTTGCAAGTGAGTTTTAAAAAATTGATCCTACCAGTATCTAGTACTCTTAATCATTATCCTCTTATAAAGAAACATTGATTTAGTTTCAAAATTTTTAAAAATCTCTTCTTTCCAGGGTGGTACTTAATCCCTGGTTGATTTTTTCATACCAAATTATTTCTTTACACATGGTTCATGAAGGCATAGAGATTAGGTGCTGGGATTATAGGCATGAGCCACCAAATCTGGCCATAGTTGAATTCTTAACCACAGGGAACTAACTTCTTTCACAGTGGAAAATTTTAACTACTTTAGATGAAATTTTTAACTAAGTGTTTACTCCTCTTTCTTTTTTTTTAAACAGAGAAAATACGGCACATGTCCACATGGAGGCTATGGCTTGGGCCTGGAACGATTTTTAACATGGATTCTGAATAGGTATCACATCCGAGACGTGTGCTTATACCCTCGATTTGTCCAGCGCTGCAAGCCATAATCCATTTCTCCAGAAGTGCGGAGGAAAGATTGTGAAAAAAAAACAGGCTGCCTCTTTAAAAAAGAAAACAAAAATCCAAAATCTTCCTTTTTTCATTCCATTGCGGTTTTCTCTTTCTTTTTTTCCTTTCTGCTGCCATAAAAAGTACCCCAAATCACCTGAACACCAAGTGACATTAAGGTTGTCATCTTAAGATAATCCATTACAAAGTTTGGGGGAAATATCTGGCATGAAACTGTAGTTAGGGATACATTTCAGCATTTTATTCACTTCATTCAAGTTAATCGTTTTATTTAAGTTATATCTGTGTAATTCAACAGTTTTAGATCATGGTCTAAGATACTCCAGTAACTTAATCTTCCTGTCCTTTTAAGTGTACCTGGAATTCTTTGATTTATTTTATTGCATCAATGAGTTAAAACAAAAATCTTGGAGGGGAAATTGGCAATATGGTATAAAAATGTGCTCATATTAGACCACAGTATAATTCAGCAGTAGACACTGGAATCAAATGAATACAGTCTTTTGAATCAGTTGTTAATCTTTTCTGAGTCTGCATAGCTGCTTATAAGTAAGTCTGAGGCACACTGACTGATATGGAAGAATTTATAAAAACAGAATTGCCTTATAGGTGTTGAAGTAAGAGCATAATTTTGGGGAGAGTTCTTCAGTGATTCACAGCATCCCTCTTAGCATTAGTTTAAGGTAAAGAGGCAGACTGCTCTTCCCTCTTTCCTGGTAATTCCTAAGTAATTAAGAATCAGTAAGTTCCAAAAGAATTTACAGCTGGAATCTTAATAACAACTGTAAGTGGCTGTTTTAGTTGCTACCACTTTGTCCTTACATCTAATCTGTGCTACCTTATTAACTCACAGCAGACTTACTGGATGGCTTCATTTCAGGTTTAGTTAATTTCTCCCCCAAATGCATGTCATGTATTCTCAATAAGCTGTACTCACAGCAGTCAATAAATGAACACAGGTAAAAACTTCTTTGCTGCCTTAATTTTCTTAAAGCGAAACATCTCTGAATCACATTAGTTCATGCTTTTGCAGTTCTTTTATGTTTTTTATGATGTATATATATGTGAAATTTGGTACTGCTAAATTTAGTAGATACTAATATTGTAATGAGAAGGAATTTTTTTTTAAATTAGATTTGTGGGTCAAGGTTAAATCTTTTTTGTAATCTTTTGTGTTACTTTTGGACACATTAGATTTTATTCTGTTTTGCAGTTAAGGGAAATGACAGGTAGAAATGAGGCATTTAGGCTAGGTGCAGTGGCTCACACCTGTAATCTCACCACTTTCAGAGGCCGAGGTGGACAGATCACCTGAGGTCGGCAGTTCAAGACCACCAGCCTGGCCAACCTGGTGAAACGCCGTCTCTACAAAAATTAGCCAAGCTCAGTGGCAGGTGCCTGTAACCCCAGCTACTCAGCAGGCTGAGGCAGGAGAATTGCTTGAACCTGGGAGGTGGAGGTTGCAGTGAGCTGATTGTGCCACTGTACTCCAGCCTGGGCAACAGCAAGACTTTCAAAAAAAAAAAAAAAAAAGGAAATTAGGCATTTATAATCTATTCAGCCTGCATCTTTAAATAATAAATACTTGGAAGAAAGTGAATGAGCTGTAGATGCCTTAGAATTTAAGTGAAGGGGTTAGGCTCAATTAGCCTAAATTTTAATAGTGTAAACAGGTGGAGAGTTTTAAAATCTTGAAGGAAAGCCAGGACAAGGTCTGGATAAGGGAGTCGAGATCATGGCCTCAGTCTGAGAGATGAGCAGAGTGAGCAGCAAACCTCACGCACATGGACTTCACTCCCTTTGCTGTGTAGTTGCTGCCCTGATCCAGGTGTCACAGATGCCATCCCACGTTCCCATGGCCAGCTCACAGACACCTCTCCCCTCTCAGTACTCCCATCGCATGACTTTCTCCTCCTTGAAACTCTCTGCTTTTCATACCAAACACCCCTTCACCTTTGGCACTTGTGTGACCTCAGTTTTGGAGACAAGAGGCTAATTCAAGTACTTGAGCATCAGCTTGCCCTCTTAAATGTCCTTCAGCCATTTCAAGTGACCAGTTTCCCACCTTGTCGTTCAGCCCCTGCCGCCTTGCTGTCTCTAACACTTCCTAAAAATGTTGTCCTTAATGTGTAGAGTAGTTCAACTCTGTGAGAAGCAATCTTGGCAGCACATTGGGATTATTTGGCAACCTTAAAAATAATGGTGTTTGGGCCTTACCCTACACCAGCTGAATCTGAATGTCAGGATTGGGACCAGGGTATTTTTCAAAAGCTCCTCAAAGGAGGTTGTTAAACTGTGAGGTTGACAATCTGGTAGCTTCCTCCTACTTCTAAACTCAAACTTAAGCCTCTCTTACTATTGCTGTAGGTTCTCTCGATTTCATATTAATCTAGTTCCCATTAAACTAAAATGGGAACATTGAGTGAGGGCTGAGAAACTTCAAAGCTTGAATTTTGAACTGCCATCAAATCAGTATATTTCATCCAGACCTTCTGGGAAAAAAGAAAATGTCATGATATATAAATACTGTAATTTCTAGTATTTAGAAATTGCTGGTTAATTAAATGACTCGGTTTCTTATGCTGAAAAGTTTCCTTCTACCTTATGGATTGTAACTAATGTGATGATCAGGTGAAGAACATCTTCGAAGAGATTGATGACTTGGTGTGTGGACAAAAACTAGTTTCTGGAGTCAAAATCAAGTTTGTATTGGATGTAACTTGTCTTAGTACCCCAACTTACAAAATGAAGGTATTCAAAAATTTTAGCTTTTCTTTTTTAGTATTTACCTCCATGTTGCTAAATAACATGCTTATATTACTTTATTGGTTTTTCAGTTTTAGGCATTATTTAATGCCCTTTTCTGGCATTTGAGGATTTCATTTCTTCCTTTTCCTATCCCCACCATTCGTGTTCACCCTTCTCATCTCTCCCAGCTGTATTAGGCTGTTTTGGGGCTGCTATAAAGAAATACCTGCAGCTGGGTAATTTACAAAGAAAAGTGGTTTCTTTTGGCTCACAGTTCTGCAGACTGTACAGGAAGCATGATGTTGGCCATCTGCTTCTGGTGAGGCCTCAGGAAACTTCCAATCATGGCAGAAGGCAAAGGGGGAGGCAGCATGCCACACGATGAGACGGAGCAAGAGATGGGGGAGGTGCCACACTCAAGCAACCAGATCTCCTGTGAACTCAGTGCAAGAACTCACATATCACCTCATAAAGAACACCAAGGCATTCATGAGGGATCCACCCCCATGACCACCACCTCCCACCATGCCCCTCCTCCAACACTGGAGATGCAATGCAACATGAGATCTGGAGGGGACAAACATTCAAACCATGTCACCATATTTCCAACTCTAATTATGGTTGGCTGCGTAGTTCACAATAATTGCTTTTCTCTTTCTGCCCAACTTTTATCTTCCCTATAATTAATAAATTTGCCTTATTTTTAAAAATTCAATCACAAAAGATATTTGCGTATGTTGGGTTGTCTATCAGTTACGTCTTACCGTCTTCCGGAGCCTCTACTCTAGGAACACAGTTGTCATCTTGATCTTTCATTACCATCCTGGATGTTCCCTTTACTGTGTGTGTAGTTTTTTTGTGTGCTGGACAGCTTTTTCCTATGTTCCGTGTTTCTTGTTTTTCTCAGTTTACATCCTCATTTTGGTGGAGCACACCCTGTGGTAGTTTTTATTTTTTTTCAGTCAAGGCCTCACTCCGTTGCCCAGGCTCAGGAGTGCAGTGGTGTGATTTTGGCTCACTGCAGCCCCCACCAACTGGGTTCAGATGATTCTTCTGCCTTAGCCTCCCAAGTAGCTGGGATTACATGTGTCTGCCACCATGCCCAGCTAATTTGTGTGTTTTTAGCGGAGGCAGGGTTTCGTCATGTTGGCCAGGCTGGTCTTGAACTCCTGACAGATGATCTGCCCACCTCAGCCTCCCAAAGTGCTGGGATTCCAGGCCTGAGCCACCATACCTGGCTGTCCGGTAGCTTGAGAAAGAATTCATGGAAGGGAAATTCATTGAGACCTTGCTTGTCTAAAATGTTTTAAATCTATCTTCACATACTCTCCATAAAGAATTGTGGGTTAGAAAGCATTTTCCAGCTGGGTGCAATGGCTCATGCCTGTAATCCCAATACTTCGGGAGGCCAAGGTGGGAGGATTGCTTGAGGCCAGGTGTTTGAGACCCAGTCTCTCTTTTTTCTTTTGAGACATAGTGTCACTTTCACCCGGGCTTCACAATCCTGTCTCACTGCAACCTCCACCTCCTGGGTTCAAGTGATTCTCGTGTCTCAGCCTCCCAAGTAGTTGGGACTACAGCCACGAGCCACCACGCCTGGCTAATTTTTTGTATTTTTAGTAGGCCAAGTGAAGGTATTGCTCCTGGTTCTCACGAGCTCTTCTGCCTTCATGTTGTCTCTGCACATTCAGCCTATCTCAGCCCCCTTCTTGTAAGTTCTGATACCTCCTCGATAGAAAGCATTCCTTCATCCTCTCAGCCTGAAATCCTCTCTCACTTTTATCAGGGAAACTTCTGCTCACCTCTTTTTACTGCATTATAAACAGATTTACTAGATACATCCATTTGTCCTCAAAATCCTAGCTAGAACATCCATTTGCCCTCAGAATCCTAGCTGAGAAAGGAACATCTCGGCATCAGAACTGGAGGGGAGGGGTTAGAGAGAATCTCAAAGTCAGAGCTGTTAGGTTAGGAAGGGGGCTCTGGGGTGAATTGAGCCCAGCCAGATAAAGGCAGTAAGGGGCTCATTTAAAAAAAAAAAAAAGGGGGGGGGTTTCGTTAAAGTATAACATTTATAGAGAAAAGGGCATGCATCATTAGCATGCAACTCTATGAATTTTCACAGTGAACATGTGGTGTGCGCAGCTCCTAGAATGTTCACGCAGCCACAGGAAGGTGGAGCTAGGGCCAGACCCCTCCCTGAAGCAGGGCCGAAGAGGCCCCACCGTTCTGCGAAAAGTAATCCAGAAAACTGGCCCTCTGCCCAGAGTTGCACAAAGAAGCCTGCCATCTTCTGGGGGCTCTGGGAAATGCCAACTCCCTGGCTGTGAATTTATACATCTGCAGGGAACAGGTCAACCTAGCTGAGATATTCACACAAACTGTCTTAAAACATGGGACCCCTGGGTCCTGGAAGAAGCAAATCAGAAAGGCCCCTTAGGATCCTTCCACAACCCAGGAAGCAGAGGACTCTGGAAAAAACACTCAGTATGAATGAGCTTAAAAAACCACAATGGACACATTTAGTCATGCATTCTAAGTGAAGACTGGCTCAGGAACTCAGTTTATTCCTCATATTGGAGACTAAGTGAACCTTCTAAAACAAGCACATATCACTGCTAAATGGAGGTCACACGGAAGACACGGTCTTTCAGTACCTACAAAGTTCTACATCAATCCACCCTGGTTCCTCTCCCTCCCACCTCCCACTCAAGCCACGTGGCCTCCCTGCTGTTCCCTGATAAACTTGTTATGAGGTTGAGTTGTGTTCCCCCAAAAGACATGTTGACACCCTAGCCCCCAGCTACCTGAAAACATGAACTGATTTGGAAACAGGGTCTTGGCAGGTGCAGTCAAATTAAGATGAGGTTTTTAGGGTAGGCCTTTAATCCAAAATGACTGGTGTCCTTACGAGAGAAGATCGCTTGTGACTGCAGACGTTGGAGTGCTGCATCTAGAAGCCAAGGAATGCCAAGGATTGCTGCCACCAGAACGAGCTGACAAAGGCAAGGAAGGACTCTCCCTTACAGGTTTCAGAGGGAGCGCAGCCCTGGCGACACCCTGATTTTGGCATTTCTAGCCTTTAGAACTGGTAGAAACACATTTGTCTGCCTGGTTTGTGATATTTTGTTACAGCAGTCCTAGGAATTGAATACAAGCCTCAAATGTGTTTCAGTGCTTGCTGGTCCCTCTGCTTGCAAGCCCTTCCCCAGACAACGCCCTCACTCCCTGCAGGTCCCTGCTGAAATGCTACCTTTGCAGAAAGGCGGGTCCTGACTGCACTACTGACAATTTCGGCCTCTCTCCCTTCCTGAGCCTCCTTTAGCTTTCTTCATAGTCACTAGCCATACTTGACAACATGTTGTACGTCTTCCATCTTTGCTGTAAAACGATTGTCTGCCTTGCCTTCTAGAAGGTACCGTCTATGAGAGTAGACCGTCCAGTTCATTGCTGCACACCCAGTGTCTGCCATGTGACTGACACAGAGTGGAATCTCCTACACGTTTGTTTCATAAGCGAATGAGTTGTTTGAGAATGTCATTTGTTTTCTTTTTCACTCTTTATCCTTCACATGACCTGATATAATGCTTTACTCATGGTAGACGGTCAGGAAATATGGGCAGATGGATTAATAAACCCGTCACCACCGTAGGGCTGAAGGCTCTGCATGGTGAAGAGGGGCAAGTCAAAACGCATGGCATGTTGGCCTGGATTTGGTGGACTCTTTGTTGTAAAATGATTCTAGGGATAATCGATCAGATATCTCTGAGTAATCATTATAGCTTACCATTTGTCACACACAGCCACTGTTTTCCTTGCTCTGAATCCCTCCTGACACCCCCTTCCTCCATTCTTTTTCTGATTGAGAAATCAGAGTTATAATCTAAATTTATTTTGTGTAGCTCAGAGGTGCCAATCATGGCAAATAATGAACGAAGAGATTTCCCACCCCTTTCCCTGAAGCACTGAGCTGAAACCAACAAATGCATGTTATTTAGGATCACAGGCTGCACTCAGATTGGTGTCTGTGACAGGTGAATGCTTTATTCACTAATGAAGCCACCAGGCCCCAGACAAACCCTCTCCCTCCTAGTCAGGGTGCTACTTATCTCCATTAGCCCAGACACTGTGGCTTTGTAGCCTTCTGTTTGATAATGGAATTGGTGTGTAATTTTGTTAAAAATACGTTTGGTCAGAAAAAAATTCATATTATGTATATCATATGGTTCTGCAAATTTCTTGGGCCTTTCGAGGGCTTTTCTGTAAGCCAGTATTTAGAGTTCACAATTTCTGGGTTAAGGACTGTGTTTTCTACCAGTTTTGAAAAGGACCAACATAAAGCACATTTTATCTGCCTTCATTTCATAAGAACATAAAAATTTACTCATTGGAAAGCTGTTATAGTTAATGTTTGTATGAAATAAGCCATAGATTAGAAATAACAATTTTCATGGTACTCTCTGTTGGGGAAAAAGAATGAAGTTCTGTTTTCAGTATTAACCTATGAGTTCTTAATATGTGCACCAGGAGGTTTTATATGAGGAATTCTGAATTCTGAAAAACTTCTGAATGAGTTTTTAAAAGTCAATAAAGGCACCTGTAATCCCAGCTACTCAGGAGGCTGAGGCAGGAGAATTGCTTGAACCTGGTAGGCGAAGGTTGCAGTGAGCTGAGATTGCGCCACTGCACTCCAGCCTGGGCAACAGAGTGGTACTTGCTCTCAAAATTAATTAATTAAAAAAGTAAAAATAATATAAAATAGAGAAGTCAGTAATAATGAAAGTACAAGATGTGAATAAAGCAAATGAAATGATGCTGATTCATTGAAAAATTCTTTTGATATATTTAATAAAGTATGTTTTGCGGCCGGGCGCAGTGGCTCACACCTATAATCCCAGCACTTTGGGAGGCCGAGGCGGGTGGATCATGAGGTCAAGAGATCGAGACCATCCTCGTCAACAAGGTGAAACCCCGTCTCTACTAAAAATACAAAAATTAGCTGGGCATGGTGGTGCGCGTCTGTAGTTCCAGCTACTCGGGAGGAGGCTGAGGCAGGAGAATTGCTTGAACTCAGAAGGCGGAGGTTGCGGTGAGCCGAGATCGTGCCATTGCACTCCAGTCTGGGTATCAACAGTGAAACTCCATCTCAAAAAAAAAAAAGTATGTTTTGCTAGTTCCTTAATCCTTTCTGGACAGAAACAAAGTTAACCTACACCAACTGTTGATTTTGTTCTGGTGAGTCTTGGTTCCTTTATGCCTTGTCACTAATCATCAGCATTTGCCTGGGAGGAACCAGAAGTCCCCTTATCTGTACCCAGCACGAAGGGGGCCCAGCACACTGAATGGAGGGGCAACTTATCCAGGGTCTTCTAGAGGGGACAAGAGCCTACATAGCTCAGACATCTAACACCCCTGGCCGTTTATTCTCTGGCCTTGTCTACATATCTGCCAGCACGGCATTGCAAGATGTGCAGTATTTTAATTTAGTTTCTTTAGAAGAAATGGGTTCAGGCTGCGCATGGTGACTCACGCCTGTAATCGCAGCACTTCGGGAGGCCAAGGTGGGTGGATCACTTGAGGTCAGCAGTTTGAGACCAGCCTGGCCAACATGGCACAACTCCGTCTCTACTAGAAAAACAAAGACAACAATGACAATAACAACAAGGGTTCAGACTCTAGGTAGAGACGTCTATTATCCATGAAGTCACCTCTTTAAAGAGCAACTTAAAACCACTAAAATTTTGGTTATGCGGGTAGAGAATTAGCCACATGTATAGGAAGGTGGGTTGATACCTGGAGCAGGTTTTACTGTGCTTTTCTCAGGACGTCTGCTTGGATCTGAAGATCATGTAGGTAATATGAAAGGCTATCCATTTAATTTGACATTTTGCATTGGGCTTATAACCATCAGGAGGACTAACTTTAATAAGAAATAAACTAATTCCATCAGTAGCACACGTTTAAGCTACAGAAAACTGAGTTTCAGCTGAATCTAGATTCATCTTTCCTGAATGTTCCATATAGCTTGCTCCCTTTGCTCAAATGTGTAAGAGGCCTTTGCTTGAATGTGTGAAGACTTCTCTGACCCATCTGCTTCAAATTGCATTAGCCCCTTCCGTGACCCTATCTCATCTCTTTTACCTTGCTACCTGGCTTCATTCTCCTTTTGTCCTGAGAGGGAAAAAGAAGACGGGAGGGCATGGGAGAGCTCATTCTTCTAATGTTCGTCACCACTCAAAATAGTACATATTGTGATTATTTTCTGTGTCTCTGCTAACTCCATATAAGCCCAAGTCTGCTCTTTTCACTACTGTCATTTAGTGCACATAGTAGGTGCTCAATATTTGTTCAATGAAAACCGATGCCCAAGACCTTTCTGTACCAAGGGCTGATTTCCTAGTCCACAATGCATTGAACATATATGGGCAGGGTGGGCTGGCGGAGGTGTAGGAGCAAAGTGAGGGGTGCGTGCCTGTTCCTCCCCGTGGTCTCAGTGGGCGACCTTGGGGGCGGGGCGGGCGGCTACCTGGAAAGGTGCGCGGATATGAAACAGACAACTTTCACCATATCGTCCCTTCAAGAAATGCACTTGCCAGGCTGGCCTTCATTTTTCCTAATGCTCTTCTGTGAGTCTCACCTGTCAAACTTTGCTACACGGGCAGAGAAACTGAATGACACGAGCATCTAATATGAAATAATTCCTTTTTCTATTCTAAAGATAAAGCAAAACAAAACAGGACCTGCACACTTGTGCTGTGACGAGGCAGGCAAACTGGAGAACTGAGGCAAAAGCATCCTTCTATCTAAATAATAGGGATGGAAACGTCAAAAAAGTTCTTTGCTGAGTCATGGCTGAGGCTCTTGCCTTGGCTAATTAGGCAGAGGCAACCAGGGCACCCGTCCAGCGCAACTAGGAGTCCAGCAGGTTTTGTAGTGACCTGCGATGGTTATGGGGAGCGGGTTTCCAGCGCAGCCCCGGGCCCTTTCTCCTGCAGGGAGCGGCGCCCAGCCGGGGCGGGCTCTCCACGAGGGGCGTGTCTCTGTCTGGCCTCGCCCCCGAGGCCCCGCCCCGGCCAGGCAGCGAATGAGCGGGCGCGCCGGGAGGGCGCGGGTGGCCGCGCGGGGTCAGGGGGCTGGGGATGAGCGTGGGGAGCGCGGCCCAGCTCGGCTGCTGCTGGGCGGTCTCCTGGGCGCGCCGCCGCGGGAGGAGCCGGGGCTGTCCGGGGAATGCTTTCACTCGGCCCAAACATGGCTGCGGCCCTGCGAGCCGCGGGCGCCCTGCTCCGCGATCCGCGTAAGTGGGTCTGTCGCGGCGGTCGCCGGGGTCGGAGTTCCTGCGACGGCATGGGCAGAGCGGGCAGCTGGCGCCGGGGCGCTCGCGCCCGGCGCATTCCGGGAGCTGCCGTGGGGAGCTGCGAGCAACCGGGAGAGGGGCGTCTCGGAGAAGGGAGGCGACGGGCTCTGCCCTGGGAGGGGTGAGGGCAACACTCCCGGCTCGGGAGGCCTTGGGGAGGGCGCCCGGATCCAGGAGGCGCAGGTTCAAGTCCTATCCGTCGTCTGGGTGGCAGGGAGCGGTGGCTGGTATTCCCCAGAGCCTTAGTTATTGTCATCTGTAATAACCAGATTGTGGTGAGGATTACGCAAAGGAAGGTATGTCATGGGACTGCCGTAGAGGACAGTAAGGAAGGTATAGTCAACCTCACCACCATTGACATCTGCTGCACAGTTCCCTCCCTGCTGAAGAAAGCACATGGCCCTTGGTCCCTCGGTGCCCACTTCTCCTTGGCAGCACGACCCACCCTGGAGCAGCTTGGGGTAGTGTTTTCTAGAGATTGTTGGAGAACATGTAAGACGCAGGAACAACCTCCCACGTTTTTGATGCAAACTGTGAATAAGCTGTGACCACAGGATGAGCTGGTGGGACTGTGGGTCTCACACACCTGGTTGGGACAGCATTTCTAACTGACACCTTGGACAAGGCACCTAACCTCGTCTAAGCTTGGTAAATGTACTTTGAAATCATATATATATATTCAAAGCCTTGCCTTGAACATGAGCATCTTGCTTGGCACACAGTGGGTACACAGGAATCCTCAAAATAGCCATTCAGGTAGAAGGCTGCCACAAATAAGATGCTTATTTAATGCATCTGAACGGTGACTGGACACAGACCCGACATATTTTTCTAAGAAGTTCATCAGCCTGACAGCTACTTGGAGTGGAGAGAATTCCCTCTGAACCTCCATATCTCATTAGAGGTGCCTTTGTTAGGAAAATAATAAGGATCCAGTGTACAACGAGGCTAGCTCACTAAGGGTACTGGGGGACAAAGGGCATTGTCTTTTAAGAAGAGGCAACACAGTGCGAATTGTGGGACTGAAAGAAGTATTCAACTAATCTCTTCTTTTATCGACCTTTCCTGTAGAAAATAAAGTTTGACAGGTCCTAGATTTTAGGTCATGGAACAATATGTGAAACTTTAAATTATTCATAGTCTGGGTTAAAAGTGGGAAGATTGAGAAACTCTGGCAGAAGTAGATTTGGAGTCCATTTGTGTTACAGACTTTGAGTTGAAGGGGTAGTTATAATACATTCATCATTTTGTTTGATAGGAAAGGATTGACATCTGTGTGAGAAAACATTGAGGAGTATTTCTGAAAATGAGTTCAGAAAGTAAAAGTGGAAAAGCAAAGTTTTATACTTTATGTATTTAGCATATTACAGAGTTAATAAGAAGCTTCCTGGGGTAAGCCATATATCATCTGTCTGTCTGTCTAGCTATCTATATGAATTATTTTTTTTTCTTGGTGCCTTTTTCTTTCCAAACTTTAAATGTTTTTTTGTTTGTTTGTTTTTTTAAGAGATGGAGTGTTGCTCTGTTGCCCAGGCTGGGGTACAGTGGTGCCATCGCAGTTTACTGCACCCTTGAACTCCTGGGATCAAGTGATCCTCCCGCCTCAGCTTCCCTAGTAGCTGGGATTACAGGCATGAGCCAGTGTGCCTGGCCCTCTAAACTGTTTTTTACACTGAGCATATATTGTCTTTTGTAATTAGAAAAAGAATTCTAGAATAATAGAAGAGTTGTAATGATCACCATATTGGCCAGGCTAGTCTTGATCTGCCTGCCTCATGAGCCACCATATTTGGCCCAACTTTTTTTTTTTCTTTTTTCTCTTTTTCTTTATTTCTTTTTGCAACAACATGAAGTCATAACTTATGAACTTCTTAAGTCATAGGTATACTTTTGAATGATCGCCTATTGGGTTTGTCCAAGAGTTATGAAATTTGTTTGTTTGTTGAGAGAAGTTTTTTTTTTTTGACACCAAGTCTCACTATGTTGTCTAGGCTGGTCTCGAACTCCTGAGCTCAAGTGAGCCTCCTGCCTCAGCCTTCCAAGTAGCTGGGACTACAGGTGTCCACCACCGCAGGAGTTAGGAAGTTTTGTTTTCTTATGTCATCTTGTGTTTTGCTGCTTATCTCTCAGTTTGATAATTTTATTGTTTGTAGGCCTTTTTTCTTTTTAATTAAAAAAAATAGAGATAGGGTCTCGCCATGTGGCCCAAGCTATTCTTGAACTCCTGGGCTCAAGCAGTTCTCCCGCCTCGGCCTCCCAAAGTGCTGGGATTACAGGTGTGAACCTCCATGCCCAGCCTGTTTGTAGGCCTTCTAAAGGTAGACCAGTTATCCATGTAAGGAGGAGGGACAGAATTACTTGGTCTTAGTTTGTAAGTGGGCAAGTCTGTACTGTGAGATAGTCGTCACTTCTTTGCTTAACCACGTGCAGTGTGGCAGGCATTGTTCTTGGGGCTGGACATATTTCCTCCACCCCCCTTATCCTTACAGCAGCACTGCAGAAGTAGCCTTATCACTATTTTACAGATGAGAAAAGTGAGACTTGTAGCATCTCAGTGAGTTGCCCAGGCCTAGCCAACAGCCTCTTGGTCCCGTGTGGTATTTCTGCTCAGATCTCTCTGGTTTCCAAACACATACTCTCTACACCACACAGTGCTGCCAGTGCCATCAGATTCTCTTTAGCTGTGAGCTGAGTCTTTTCCAGAGTCTCCAGTTGGCCCTTTGAATGTTTACTTTCAACTCCTTTAACCTTTACACATGCTAATCATTTGGTAGGAGACACTCTTCATTTCTCTAAGACCTTCAGATCATTATGGGAGAGGAGTGTTTGAGATGACTCCTTGAAGGGTGAGTGTGTTAAGTCCTGAGTGGAAAGGGTCCCTTGTTAGCAACATCATTCTCCTCTCTGAGAATCTGGTGAACCATGAAGAAAATAGTTTTGTAAGTAGGACATGGTAATAGTTAAGCAGCTTGAAAAGTTACCAGCTCCCACATTTTACTAGGAAATCCTCACTGCTAGCTGGAAAATCTAGTCCCTCCACATTGCTTTCTTTCTTTTCTTTTCTTTCTTTTTTTACTCCTTAAATTATATGTCGAAATGAGAATCTTGCTATTTTGCCCAGGCTGTTCCCAAATGGCTGGGCTAAAATGATCCTCCCATCTCAGCCTCCCAAAGTACTGGGATTGCAGGTGTGAGCCACCACATCTAGCACCACCTTCTTTTTTTAGGTTCAGTGGAGGAAATGTTATTTTATTACAGGTTGAGTACCCCTTATCCTGAATACTTAGGACCAGGGGTGTTTTGGGGTTCAGATGTTTTTTAGGTTTTGGAATATACTTACAGATTGAGCATTCCAAATCTGAAAATCTAAGATTCAGAATGCTCCCATGAGCGTTTCCTTTGAGTGTCATGTCCGTGCTCAAAAGGTTTCAGGTTTTGGAGCATTTTGGATTTTGGATTTTCACATTTGGGATGCTAAACTTGTACCAGGAGTAAAACTGTGGAATGCCAAGGTTTAATTCTCATGCCTCATGGAATCTGATACAATCTCATTCATATAAGGAATTAGGGACATTGCAGCATGATTAGGAACCTGGTTAAATTCCATCATGAAGTTCAGAATTAGACTTATGTAAGAGGTGGTTCGAGACTTGGAATTGAACCTTTTTTTTTTTTTGAGGCACGCTCTGTTGCCCAGGCTGGAGTGCAGTGGTGTGATCTTGGCTCACTCCGCCTCCCGAACTCAAGTGATTCTCCTCCCTCAGCCTCCTGAGAAGCTGGGATTATAGGCGCCCATCACCACACCCAGCTAATTTTTGTATTTTTAGTAGAGACAGGGTTTTACCATGTTGGCCAGGCTGGTCTTGAACTCCTGACCTCAGGTAATCCAACTCCCTCAGCCTTCCAAAGTGCTGGGATTACAGGCATGAGCCATGGTGCCTGGCCTTCTTTCTTTTTTTCTTTTTTTTAAACATCAACTCAAACCAGATGTAATTGAATTTTTTTGTGGAAATCCAGTTGGAAATTTTAAGTTCTTTATGGAAGTGTAATATTTGCACTTCCACTTAGAATCGGTAAAGATGATTCAGCGTAAGCTCACATAATTGGCTCTGCTGGGAATATGCACAATCTGGATGGCTGGAAATCTAATGGCCTGGATATATTCTCTTATATTTTACAGATGTGCTAGGTGATAAAAAAACAATTAGAACAGGTATAGTTCCTGTCCTCTAGAAACTGACAATTGAAACTAATGCCAGCACTAATCACGTGGTGGATGCTGCAGAGCGCTACACTCCTCTGCTCTACTCCTCACAAGAATCCCTGTAGCAAGGTGTCATTTGACAGCTGGGGAAACTCAGGCTCAGGAAGACCTGGCCCCAGATCACATTGCTAGTAAGTGGCAGAGCTGGATTCAGAGTCAGAGCTGCTTGACCACAGCCTGAACTCCTCTTCAGGGCACCTTTGCATCTTAGGAGGAAGAGGGCAGAGGGAGACTGATCACAAGCTGGTTTCTAACTGGCTGGTTTGAGAATGGGAGAGAGGTCATGTGCATAGCACCAGGCACCATAGTAACCCCTTTCTTATGTGGCCATCTTCAGTACATCCTATATGGCTTCAGTTTCATTTCGCTGGATGCTTAAGGACCAGTACTCTTCATATGCCAGCTGAGTATGGCACATGGACTCCTCAATTTAGATGGGTTCTTCAGACCCACTGCCACCTCCTGTGGGGCCCAGGACAAGGGTATACTTGAAGGCACATATATGGTATGTGGGATACAGCAAGCTAAAAACCTGGGAAATAGGTTCTGTCCTCCTATGTTGACAAATAGACCTTCATCCCTACGTGTAAGGGTGAGCTCTTGAACTCTGAGCTCCTGCAGAAATGTAGAGGCCTTGGGAGAGCTGCCTCTGACTCACACACGTTCCTGCTTCCCTTCCTACCACCGGCTCTTTCTGGTCTGGCGAGGAGTCTGGCGCACAGCCTGGATGGATTCTCTGGTCTGCATGCCCACCCAGTTCCAGTCTTGCCCCTGCAAATAGCTGTCCCTTGGCCACCATTCAGGTCAAGACTTGCTACACTAATGGCACAACCTCCCTCAGGAGGATGAATCCAGAAAACAAGCCTGCACAGATCCTGGGACTGGGTGTGGAGCTTGGGGGACAGGGAATCCTGGGGTGCTGGGAGCCTGGTCTGGCACATGGGATGTGGACTCCCAGGGTGGGGGCATGTCTCCTTGGTGGTAGAGGCTGCATACACCGAGGGGTGGGGTGCAGAGGGAGGAGGGCCAGAATCAGCCCTGGAAAGCAGAGGCCCCTTGTCAAGGTCCAAGGGCAGTACTGGGCTCTCAACACCATTGCTCACCGAAGGAGGCTTGGGGGCAGAAAGAGAAATGCAACTAGTTGAAAAACTGGCCCACTTGCCACTCCCTAAATTGGCAGCTTTTCACCTTTTCTGCAGTCCCTTCTCCTTCCACTGGAGCAACACGTTACTGTCAGTCATTGGTCACCTGCAGGGCTTCTTGTGAGGGATTGTATCAAAACCTGTGGCCACGGTGGGGAGAGGAGGTGTGTGTAGCTTCTAAAATGCTTCCCTGCAGGCTCTCATCAGCCATCCCAGGGGAGCGATCCTCCACCCCATCCCCTTGGAGAGGCTTTAAGTGCCTTTACCTGCCTGCAGAGAAATGCTAGGAAAATCATTTCTGCTATCACATCTCTTTAAATTTTAAAGCCAGGAATTATGCTCTCAGGACCTCTTCAGAAGAAATTACTTTCCAGCTAGATTTCATGCGAGCACTTTAATTTTGTCACAGTGGTGTCCGGCAGCTGGAGGGCCTGTCAGCCATGGAGGTGGAAGTCGGGTGCAGCCGCAGCAGCTGCCACTGCAGAAACAGCCCAGCATGCCCTGGGTGCAAAGCCTCAAGTTCAGCCGGAGAAGAGGTATGTGTCTAACATCAGGTACAAATAAGGATTTCTCTTTCTTGATGCTGACGTCTGTACATACAGGCTGCCTCAGAGGAAAGGTGCTGGGAAAAGCCAGTATGGAAGGAGCCGTGTACTGTTGTCTTGGCTTCCTTTTAACAGCTGTGAAACCACAGATTTTACACCCTCCTTCCCCACTGGATCCTTCCCCACAACAGGGCTATTGTTAAAAGACATAGAGCTGAGTCCAAACAGTCTGCAAATCGTGTTAAGAATTCGATTCTGGAATATGTCACATAACAAATTATATATGCTGGAAATGTATTTATGAACTAACGTAATTATGCCTATGAAATGTACGTTCTGTACAGGATAATGAATAACTGATCAACCAAGAATTTCTATAGGAAACTAGAGTATTGTTTTTCATTCGTTAACACAGTGAATGTAATTATAAATGATGTAATATGATTTATTATTTATTAAAGAAGTGAAATACACGTTTCATACCTCAGCTCTTCTGTTGCTAGTGGCTGGCAGCAGGCATGGCATTGTTGCAAGTGTCCTGTTTAGTAACAGAAGTCACAACTGCTCCCAAGTCTTCCTCTGTACAGAAGCAACAGAGGACTCCATAAAGTTATCGAGATGAGTAAATAGAAACAGCACATTTGAACATCAGGCAGAGAGAAAGAAAGTTGCTGTGACTTATTTAACTCCATGACCTTTCTGCTAGATCACACATTGATGAAAATTGTACAAGTATGAAAATAAATGTGTGTGTGTGTGTGTGTGTGTGTGTATACACATTTATTTATTTATTTTTGAGACAGAGCCTCAGTCTGTCACCCAGGCTGGACTGTGGTGGCACGATCTTGGCTCACTGCAACCTCCACCTCCCAGGTTCAAGTGATTCTGATGTCTCAGCCTCCCAAATAGCTGGAATACAGGCACGTGCCACCACACCTGGCTAATTTTTGTATTTTTAGTAGAGATGGGGTTTCAGTATGTTAGTCAGGCTGGTCTCGAACTTCTGACCTCAAGTGATTCTCCCGCCTTGGCCTTCCAAAGTGCTGGGATTATAGGCATGAGCCACCACACCTGGCCATTTTTTTTTTTTTTTTTTGAGAGGGAGTCTTTCTCTTTCTCTCAGGCTGGAGTGCAGTGGCACGATCTTGGCTCATTGCAACCTACACCTCCCAGGTTCAAGTGATTCTCCTGCCTCAGCCTCTTGAGTAACTGAGATTACAGGTGCATGCCACCACGCCTGGCTAATTTTGTAATTTTAGTAGAGATGGGGTTTCACTATGTTGGACAGACTGTTCCTGAACTCCTGATCTCAAGTGATCCACCCACCTTGGCCTCCCAAAGTGCTGGGATTACAGACGTGAGCCACTGTTCTTATTTTGAGGAGTGTTGCACTGTCACCCAGGCTGGAGTGCAATGGTGTGATCATGGCTCACTGCATACTTGAACTTCCGGGCTTAAGTGATCTTTCTGCCTCAGCCTCCCAAGTAGCTGGACTACAGGTGCACACCACCACACTCAGCTAATTAAAAACATTTTTTTTTTTTCTTGTAAAGATGGGGTCTTATTTTGCTGCCTAGGCTGGTTTTGAACTCTTGGCTTCCAGCAGTTCTCTGCCTTGGCCTCCCAAAGTTCTGGTATTACAGGTGTGAGCCACCATGCCTGGCCAAAACCAAAATTTTCTTCTTTTGTGTTTGTTATTTTTTGCTGTATGATCATGGGTATGATGATTGAGTGCTGTGTAAACTGAGGTTAGTTGGGGATTGGCCTTAGGTAGCCTCCTCATCTGGCAGCATGCTCAGCCGGTACTCATTCCTTCCATCCTTGTCCCTCCCAGCCCCTCTCCCCACCTCAGCCTTAAGCACTGAGGGTTGGGATTTGATATAAACTGAAGAAGTGATTCAATGTGGAACCCTGGAAGAAAAGTTATTTCATTTGTGTGTTATTCTAGTGGCAATAGTCATTACTATAAGTAGCCTTAATATTACTAAAATTAAATGAAAATCTTTAAATTCTACTAAGTAACTTCAGAGCATATTTATATAAAAGAAATGGGTTCATTTTAGAGACTAGGCAAAAAGAAAAAATACTCTAAATATTACAAACAGTCTTACTTTGTCTGTCTCTCTCTCCTTAAAAAATAAAAGAGAGACGAGGTCTCACTGTGTTGCTCAGGCTTGTCTTGAACTCCTGGGTTCAAACAACCCTCCTGCCTCAATCTCCCAGAGTGCTTGGGATTACAGGTGTGAGCCACCAGCCAGGCCAATTTTGTCTGTATGACTATTAATATTCACTCAGTATGTGTTTAGCAATGTGTGATAGTATTGTACTTCATATAACACCCTCTTTTTATTCACTTTATTATCGTATAAATATAAATATATGTCTATATTAGTAACTGAAGAATATCTTGTTAAATCATAAACTACCCTGTCCCACATTATGGGACATATAGGTGATTTCTAGGTTTTTTTTTTTCTTAACTTTGTTACCCAGGCTGGAGTACAGCAGCGCTATCTCAGCTCACTGCAACCTCAGCCTCCTCAGTAGCTGGGATTACGGGCACCTGCCACCATGCCCGGCTAATCTTTTCTATTTTTAGTAGAGACAGGTTCACTGTTAGCCAGGGTAGTCTGGATCTCCTGACCTCGTGCTCCACCTGCCTCGGCCTCCCAAAGTGTTGGGATTACAGGCGTGAGCCTCTGCGCTCAGCCCTGATTTCTAGCTTTTTAATATTAGAAATGGTGAAGCAATGAGTGTCTTTGTGGATTATTCTGATGGCAGACAATATGAAGGCACTGTGCTGCTTAATCCTTGGACTGGACTAGACTACAATACTAGACTCGATACTACACTAGGTTAGGGTGGACAGATTTGTTCTGTAAAGGGTTAGGTAGTAGATTTTTCAGGCTTTGTAGGCCAAACCCTCTCTTTTGCTGCTATTCAACTCTGCTGTTGTCATGTGAGAGCAGCCATAGATACTACGTAAACAATGAGGGGAACTGTGTTCCAGTAAAACTTTATTTACAAAAACAGGCAGTAGGGGTGCATGTGTGTGCACAGATTTAGGGCATGGGCTATAGTTTGCTGAACTCTTTTCTAGAGGCATTGTAGACCCACAGGCCAAACATGTCTTACAGGTTTAGTGAAGAGCTGGGATCTTATTACTTTTTCTTGAGGCTGATCATATACAGTAGAATAGAATTATCGTTTATTGACAAGCTTAAGTTTTTGTTATGTGCATTTACTATTTCAAGGAAAAACCTTGTATTTTGAAAGTCCCAGGATATAAAAATGGCAAAATGTTGAAACCTTTCCAAGTGAGAAGTTCTAAATATGTTTTGCTGTCTACACTTTTATGTTCAAACAACAGAATGAGAACATTCAGACCTTGGTCTCAGGTGTGTTCTGTCTGGAGGGAGAGGAGACGGAGACCCTTGACTAAAGCTTTCACTTCCCCTTCTGGAATAGAGGGGTGTCAGACCAGGGCTTCCTAATGCGCCGTTCATCATGCACAACACAGTTTTGAATTAAGTGCGTGTGTATTTAGGTATTTTCAAGTCATGTGCATCTCTTTCATGTGTAAGATCAACATGGGTTTGCAAAACCATGAGCAGGGCACAGTAGCACCCCCTTTAAAGCCACTCTTGTTCTGAGCTCAGGTGTTATAGATGAAAAACAGCTTTAAATCCCGTTTGCACATTGATACCCTCTGTGGCTTAGGTAAGTCTTTTAGCCTGAGGTTTTTTTTTTTTTTTTTTTTTAACCAGTAATCTGTTAACTGGCAGCAATCCATGGGAAAATGCACTTAATTTATTGCGAGTCACAGATTTTGAGGGCGAAAGATAGGATCCCAGGAGAAGACTGGTGGTCTAAGTAGAAAGATTAAAGGAATATTCGCTTCATAAAAGAATGCATCTGGAATTTTCAAATATCAAGGAAAGAAACCTCAACACCCCTGTTAATGCAGTCACAGGAGTCGAGCATGGAAGAGTGATAGAACATCTTCAGTGCAGTCGCTTGGTTTTGTAAAAAGGGGATCAAGCCCTCTTCCTCTAAGACAGTGATTCTCAATAGGGGGAAGGGGACACTTTTGCCTCCTGGGACAAATTTGGCAATGTCTGGAGAGATTTTTGGTTGTCACACTGGGGTGGGGTGTGTGCTGTTGTCGTTTGTAGGTAGAGGCCAGGTATGCTGCTAAGTTTCCCGCATTACACGGGAACAAAGGACTCTCCAGCCCCAAATGTGAGTAGTGCTGAGGTTGAGAAACCCTGGTCTAAGTCAATGACGTGAAAAGGGACCTTAGTTAATCTTTATAATGGGGTCTAAGTGAGAAAATCCCTGCCCTCATTGTAATGCAACATTATCTCTTCCCCAGGAATTGATTTGTAGGTTGAGAATTCAGGTTTTTACCTCATTCACTTACAATAGGTTTGATCAAGAAAACAGTTTCCATCTGTTTACATTTAACATGCCTTGCTACCTTATATTATTACCAGATGTTAATAATTGTTTAAAATTGCCCATTAAGGTGTCATCATAAGCCTGGGACAGTGGCTTACACCTGTGATCTCAGCACTTTGGGAGCCTGATTGGGAGCCTGAGCCAGGAGTTTGAGACCAGTCTGGGAAACATGGCAAGACTGTGTCTATAAAAAATTTAAAAAGTAGCCAGGCATGGAGGCATGTGCCTGTGGTCCCAGCTACTCAGGAGGCTGAGGCGGGAGGATCGCTCGAGTCAGGGAGGTCCAGGATGCAGTGAGCCTTGTTTGTGCCACTCACTGCACTCCAGCCAGGGCAACAGAGTGAGGCCCTGTCTCAAAAAAACACAAAAACAAATGAAAAAGATGCCATCGTAGTATTAGTTTTCAAGCACATTAAGAATCTTCTTCTAGCTGGGCGAAGTGGTTCACGCCTGTAATCCCAGCACTTTGGGAGGCCAAGGTAAGCTAATTATGAGGTCAGGAGTTCAAGACCAGCCTGGCCAAGGTGGTGAAACCCTGTCGCTACTAAAAATACAAAAATTAGCTAGGCGTGGTGGTGCATGCCTGTCATCCCACCTACATGGGAGACTGAGGGAGGAGAATTGCTTGAACCCGGGAGGCAGAGGCTGCAGTGAGCTGAGATCGTGCCACTGCACTCCAGCCTGGGTGACAGAGCAAGACTTCATCTCAGAAATAAATAAATAAATAAAAAGGGATGGTCTACACAGGCTGTGTCTCCGCAGCGCTGGTTTAGTCACTGCAGTAGTCAGGTGGTCTGGTGTGGGAAATTCAGGGTGTGGACCCCTCAACATTCACAATAACAGTGTTTAGATAAAATTCAGGCTGGTTATTTTTCAGCTGCTTTACTGAGAGTGGAAAGGGGGTATAACCATATAATGAAATATTATTTAGCAATAAAGAGGAGTGAAGTATACTGATTCATGCTATGACATGTGGCATGAACATTATATGCTGAGTAAAACCAGACACAAGCATGAACATTTTATGCTGAGTAAAACCAGACACAATCATATGATTCCATTTCTATGAAATGCCCTGAATAGGCAAATCTATAGACCCAGAAAGTAGATTCGTTGTTGCCACCAGTGAGAGGGGAGGGAATGGAGAGTAGCTTTAATGGATATAAAGATTCTTTGTGGGCAAAGATGTCCTTGAGTTAGATAGTTGTGATAGTTTTCTGCCCTTCCAGATGTATTAGAAACCTCTGAATTGTTCAGATTATGGTGAATTTTATGGTTTGTGAGTTATGCTCAATTTTTTAATATGAAAAAAAAAAAAAAAGATGAATGAATGGAAGACATGCTCCTTGTTCTTTAGTTTCCCAGTGACTGCCATCCCATGGCTACCTGTTCATGGGGACACACAAGGTCCTCTGGTGGCTCCTGCCAGCGTGCCAGAGGTACCTGGTCCTGTTCCAGCTTTACCTTGCCCTCTGGTGGGGTTTAGGAGTGGGGAACTCCCGGCCTGGCTCACTTTGGGCTGTGTAGATTCCAGAGCTTGATCTGGATTTTAGGTTTACATTTTTGCAGAGTACTTTGTTGTTTTAGTTTTCCAGAGGCTGCTTGGCTGAAAACTTTTGTTCTGGAGCTCTGCTTTCTTTTTCTTCTTCCTGCTCATTCAGAGGTTGATTCTTTAGCCTGGGACTAATTAGAATGTTAGCACCAGTTCTTGTAGGAATTATCTACGCAGTGAATTTACATGCAGGATGGAGAGGTGAAGTTTATCATAACCGGAGCCATGGATGAAAGAGTAGAGGTCGGTCCTGGAGAAGATAGCAGAGGAGCAGGCAATAACTTCAGTCAGGCCTGGTGCAGTGGCTCATGCCTGTAATCCCAGCACTTCGGGAGGCCGAGGAGGGCTCCTGAAGTCAGGAGTTTGAGACCTGATCTCAGGAGCCCTCCTCGGCCTCTTGAAGTGCTGGGCCAACATGGCAAAACGCCATCTCTACTAAAAAAAAAAAAAAAAAAAAAAAAAAAAAAAAAAAAAAAAATACAAAAATTAGCCCAGGTGCCTATAATCCCAGCTACTTGGGAGGCTGAGGCAGGGGAATTGCTTAAACCTGGGAGGTGGAGATTGCAGTGAGCCGAGATTGTACCTCTGCACTCCAGCCTGGGTGACAGAGTGAGACTCCATTTCAGAAATAAAATGTAAAAAATAATTTCAGTCAGTAGTCATTTAATTTAATAATTGACTAAAGGGATGGGAGCAGATGCAAGAGTAGGGATGGGCTGGTATTAAACTGTGGGGGTTTAAAATAATGGGGAAGCCCTGCTCTGTGTAGAACTTACCATGTGCCAGCATGTGCTAAGTGACTGAAGATGTTACCCACTGAATTCTCAAAACAGCGTTTCGAGGCAGGTGGTGGATGCTGTGTTTTCTGGATGAGAAAACCTGACGGTGGGAGAGGTCACGTAACCTCGTATTTACAAAGCATTCACATGTACAGGTGCTTTCGCCTCAGGACAACTGTAGATTTCTACCTCAACTCTCAGTCCCTAAAGATTCGATCTCTGTTCAGGCTGAGACTTTAAAAGGGAAACATTTCCAGCTGAGTGAAGACGGTATCATGGATGAAGCCAAAAGACAAAGGTCGGAGTCTAAGCCGGGACCATGGAGAACTGGAGGCCACAGATGTCCCCACATAGATATCTGTGTGATAGCAGTGGAAAGAGCCGTAGTATTTACCTTTGTATGGAACAGGTTAGATAAGAGTTTGCTGGCTGAGCCAGGCGCGATGGCTCACACCTGTAATCCCAGCACTTTGGTAGGCTGAGGTGGGCGGATCACCTGATTTTGGGAGTTTGAGACCAGTCCAACCAACATGGAAAAACCCCGTCTCTACTAAAAATACAAAATTAGCTGGGCATGGTGGCACACGTCTGTAATCCCAGCGACTCGGGAAACTGAGGCAAGAGAATCGCTTAAACCCGGGAGGTGGAGGTTGCGGTGAGCCAGGATCACACCATTGCACTCCAGCCTGGGCAACAAGAGTAAAACTCTGTCTCAAAAAAAAAAAAAAGAGTTTGCTGGCTGAACCAAGATTTCTTTATCAAAGAAAATAAGTGTGACAAATTAACTGTTGTATGTTATTTTATATAGGAAGCCGAAAACTGGAATATTAATGCTAAATATGGGAGGCCCTGAAACCCTTGGGGATGTTCACGACTTCCTTCTGAGACTCTTCTTGGACCGAGATCTCATGACGCTTCCTATTCAGAAGTGAGATACATACAAACACCGCGACGTTATGATCACCTTGGCATTACATTGTACCTTATGTGTGTTTCTCAATTCTGTAATTTCTTTATTTTATTTTATTTTATTTTTATTTTTATTTTATTTTTTTTTTTTTTAAATTTTTTATTGGATTTTAGGTTTTGGGGTACATGAGCAGAGCATGCAAGACAGTTGCGTAGGAACACACATGGCAGTGTGCTTTTCTTTCCTTCTCCCCTTCACCCACATTTGGCATTTCTCCCCAGGCTATCCCTCCCCACCTCCCCCTCCCACTGGCCCTCCCCTTTTCCCCCCAATAGACCCCAGTGTTTAGTACTCCCCTTTCTGTGTCCATTTCAAAACAGGAAAGAGTTTTAATGCATATCTGGTAATGGTGAAAGCAGCAACATTGTTTTCTGTTGGATATCAGGAGGATATGATATCAGAAAATTACAGGGGAGAGAGTAAGTTAGTGAAGATTCTCCTTGAGCCCTTTGCTCCCCAGAGCCCTGGAAATTGCAGTTGTCTTGACATAGCCTAAGTACCTTTAAAGATTTTTAAAGATATATTTGTACTTGGCACTTAATGGCTGATTAACACTCGGGGAAGCAACGATGATTATTCATTTGTACTATAAATACGGATTGTTGCTGTCCTTTTCCTTTCATCCTTCTTTCCCTTCTTCCCTCTTTTTTCTTTTAAAATAGATTTTTGTAATGAAAAATTAATAGATGCATGTGATAAAAAGTGCAAATAGTATAAAAGTAATTACAATAAAAGGCAAGTGTCCCTTTCACCTTGCACTCCCAGTTACCCACATGGAGGTAAATGCTGTCACATCCAGAAATAGTCCATACATATCCAAGCTTACACACACACACACACACACACACACACACACCCTCCTCCACTTTGTTACACAAATGTGAGTGTACTTATATACTCTATTTGACGCTTTCTTTTTTTTTTTTTAAAAATGCTGTATCTTGTTTTATAACGGATTATACTAATATATAGATCTGGCTCATTTTTTGATTGCTATTTAGAATTGCATTGTATGGCTGTAACTGTTTAATCTGTGCTGCATGTTAGACACGGTGGTTGCAGTGTCACAGTGAACATTCTTGTGCATACATCTTTGCTCTTATATGCAAGTATATCTATAAGATTACTAGACCTTTTTTTTTTAAATTAAGAGGAATGTCTACTTCCTTGGTCTTATATCCTAGTTCTCGTTAGGTGTGGGATCAAAATGTGTTACACTAGTAGCTAGCACACATCCAGGCTCTCTGCATGGGTGTTGTGTGTCCTGAATCTTCAGGGTGTGCTACTGAAACAACTTGTGGAGCACAGCTGGGTTAATTCTCAGAGAGGGTCTAGATTTAGCTCCTTAATCTGCACTAACAGAGCTAGCTATTGTCAGTGACCTCAAGCTTCTGTTTTAAAGGCTAAATCTTGTTAGACTCTCTAAAATTTTGCTTACTTTTTAAATTGAGTAGAAAACATTTCTCAGGGTGTTAAGATGGAATAAAATTCACTTACCTGTATGTTAAATGATTTAGTAAGCTGGCACCATTCATCGCCAAACGCCGAACCCCCAAGATTCAAGAGCAGTACCGCAGGATTGGAGGCGGATCCCCCATCAAGATGTGGACTTCCAAGCAGGGAGAGGGCATGGTGAAGCTGTTGGATGAATTGTCCCCCAACACAGGTATGATGTTTTTTCATTAACATGTAGCTAGATTAGTTCTTTCAAAGTAGTTATGACATTCAAAACAGTAGTAGATGCTAAATGCTTCATATGTACTGGCAACTTGATTTGTGATGTTTCTACATAATACAAGGTCAATTAATTTAGGTCTCCAGGCATTATCCCTTGATCTCTAGCCTCTGCTATTACCTCTTACATTACAAATAATTAAAGCTAAGGATTTGGGACATTAATTTCAAAAGGAAGTTAGAGATGTTTGTTAAGCTGAGCTAGAGTATAAGGCACAAGCAACATACCATGGATAAAGATGCATATATCATTATACTGGAAAGAAATCTTTGGAAAATGGATTGAGGCTGCTGCTATTGCCTTTTCTTTCTGGTTGGATAGCTAACTAGAACATTGAGAGCGGAAGTAGCTAGCTCTCATGGAAGCCACAAGACACTAAGCAACTTGCCGTGATGCTTTCAGCTCTCAGAATACCACCATCGTAAGGTATTGAAGGTCCTGGTTGGACGTGGCACTGAAAAGAGGATTGTGCACATCTGAGAACCTCTATGCAGAATAATAGTGTGCAGAATGAACCACTCTATGCATGGATGAAGTAAACATACCATATTAAACACATCAAAGACACAAGCTGATTGTAGGACACACTGTTTTTGTATAGTACTAAGACACAAAACCACTACCAATTAATTTTAAGGCATCATCTATTAGCGACTGGACTGATATGAGAAATGTTAAAAGCAAAAAAAAATGTACATCTCAGGACACATGAATTACATTTGTTGCAAATATATCTTAGAGCTTTGGGATCAGGATAGGTGTGTGACACTGGGGACCCTCAAGGAGAACGGCTGCACTAGGCAGGACCAAAGGAGCCTTTTACTCTTTTCTGACCTCACTGAGCGAGCGTCCACTCCAGCTGCTCTCAGAATCCACCAGTGCCCATGGCACAAAGTAACAAAGGGCCCTGGCCCCTTCGCAGATCACCTCACTTGGAAATTTGTTCAATTGTGCTTCTGCACATCCAGCTTGCTTCCTGCTGTCAGCTGGGACTTAAGGGCATTTCTGTCGTGGTTCCTCCGCACATGCTGCGGTGCGTCTTTTAAAATGTCAGCCCTCCACTCACACTTACCTGATAGAGAACAAACGCCAGTCATTAACAGTTTATCATGATCAAAGGCTTTTTGTGGGCCTGGCTGAGTGGTTCACACCTGTAATCCCAGCACTTTGGGAGGCCAAGCTTGGTGGATTGCTTGAGCCTAGGAGTGCAAGACCAGCCTGAGCAGCATGGTGAAACTCTGTCTACACATACAAACAAACAAAATAAAAACCAAAAATTAGTCAGGCAAGGTGACACTTGCCTGTAGGCCCAGCTATTTGTGAGGCTGAGGTGAGAGGATCGCTTGAGTGAGGGAGGTTGAGGCTGCGGAGAACCATGATCACGCCATGGCACTCCAGCCTGGGCAACAGAGTGAGACCCTGTCTCAAAAAAAAAAGAAAAAAAAAGGATTTATTGTGAACCAGATTTGCAATTGCTATGCTGTCTTCAGTGGGAAGAAGAGGCAGAAAGGTTCCCATTTTTCCAGTTTTTGTGTTACTGTAGCACCCATCATTATAAAGAGCCCTAGTGAGCATGGGGGTGGGGTACACCCCAGCTCTTTGGGAGGCTGAGGCAGAAGGATTGCTTGAGCCCAGGAGTTAGAGCCCTAGTAGAGTTGTCAGACTTGAAAAAGGAAAACAGACAGAAGGGCATCCTTTCCGCCACCTCCTGTTTCTGCGGAAAGGATGCTGGGGTGCCTCTCCATCTCCTTCTCATTCCTCCTCCCTTCTGATCCTTTCTTTCTATACAGTTGTAAAGTTCCCTTTTAAACTATGTTTGTTCATTTATTTTTATTAAGAAGTTTTCTTTAGGCCAGAAAATGTGATGATTGCAAACAGATAAACATGTTTCATGCTGTCATTTTTTAGGGAAGTAGTCGTTGTTTGGTAGCCAGTGTGGACCTTTTGACACTTGCACTGCTTTTCATAGAATTGACCAGCTAACTAAGACAGTGAGTTGTATCAGGAAATTGTTTCATGCAGTTACATTGCATTGCAGAAATGTAGAGAATAGATAAGGGACGTAGATGAGAAGTGTAATTATCTGATGGAAAGGCTGAATCTCAAATATGCTTTACAAATTATAGTTTAACGGGTTAATTAGCTTGTAACTGCTTTCAGGGAAGCTGTAAGTAAGGGCTACTCATGAAATAATTCTCTTCTTTACTGGATGCAGTGTGGTAGGAGTGTGGGCTCTTTTCTCTGAAGATGTTGGCTTTCCCCCTCTGGTTCAGGCAGTTTACTTATTTCACTAAGCCTCAGCTCAAAAATGGGGATGACAATAGAATCCAACTCCTAGATCCTTGTGAAAATTAAATAACATAATCCTGAAAGGCATTAACATGGCAAAAATTCAATATACATGAGCCTTTTCATTGTTGGCACAGGTTCGTGATTTAATACAAATTAAGAAGCATTTGCTATGTATTTCAAATCTTTCTCTCAAAAAATCATGTACGTATTAGACATTTGAACTATTGTACAGCTAAATTAGTGAAGTTTTGCTGTTTAAAAATCTGGTTTCTCTGTCTTTTCGTAGTTCTTGTGGAAGACGATTCATTGGACAGCTGCTCTGAGGGTACCTAGGCTAGGCCAGTGAGTGATGTGTTTTGGGCTCACTCTGGCCAGATGTGCCCATGAGGTGTGGTGCTGGTTAATGTCAGAGAGGCTCCTTCCCATGCCTGCACCCTGCCAGGGGCAGCCAGCACAGTGTGAAACCCACCCTGATGGACAGGGTTCCTTCATCATGAACACTGTTGGTTCCTCAGGATTTGCCCAGTCGGGGATATTGCTGGTTTTTTTTTTTTTTTTTTTTTTTTTTTTTTCCTACAATTTGTGTTTACAAGCTGTCTTTAGAAAGCATTTAGAAAACATTAGCAGTTATTTCCAGGGTATTTTACTGTCTCACTTTAAAATGTGGCCACCTGCCCTGTCTTTGTCTGCCACGGAAGCCTGTCTGCCTCTTAGTATGCACGATTTGAGGAACCCCCCCCAGACCCCAGGTGTTTAGACTATAACCTGCAGATACTGGACAGGTGAAAAGAAAACATGAGGAGCTGGTTGACCTGCAGCACTGGGGATGGCATTCTGATCACTGCATTGTTTCAAAGTAGATTTGAAAGCAGTTTCCCCTTGCTTGCTAAACCTGAGTTCAGATCACCAGGAGTTGCTTCAGTGGATTTGATGGTATGGTAATAGTTGTCAGTTTTTAGCATGAAGCACATAATCTTTGCACAATTAGTCATTTGGAGTTTGCTTATGGGATCACATCCTCTGATGTGTGTTAATTGCTAGTGATCATTTTATGCAAGACGGCATGAAATTGGTGGCCTGAAAACGGACAGAGAGCCACAAATGATTCAGTTTTACTTCCTTCCTCCTTTTTGCCATCCCCAACCAGAGAATACTGAGTCTGACCAGCTTTTCCACACACGCATGCCTCTCTCACCTAACGGCATTCTGCTTCTTCCTTGGGAATGTGTTCCATTGGCTTGTAGTTCTCTGGGTCAAGTTAGGAGGAATGTCATCCTTGTATGTATCTATGTATAAATGAGATAAACTCCCATCTTTTCCTTCACTTTAACTTAGATGTTTCTTGGGGCAATTTGTGTCATATTCGTAGTTGCAGCCCCTTCTAATGCTTTGGATGGTAACATTGTCATGGTTTTCGTACTATCTGACATTCATGTACTGATTCTCACTGTCACCTCTGAGTGTAAGTTATATGTAATCCTATGAAAAGGCGAAGAACCAAGACTAAGTACGTTTAGGAAACGTGCAGTTTTATGACTTTATGTATGCTTAAGCAGTTAGGTGGTGTGAATATTTTTGAAATACAGGAAAGGGAGATGCAGGAGGAAGAAGAATATAGAGGAGCATATTGGTGAAAGGACAGGGAAGGGACAGGGAAAGAACACGAGGATATGTAGCAGGTGTAGGACATTTAGACATCAAGAACAGTGGCTTTAAATTCCACGTGGTACCTCCACATTAAGCATTGTTTTATCTGTGTGATGAGAAGAATCATTTTAATCATTTATTATCAATGAATTTTTTTTTTAACGTATCCAAGAGCTCTTGCATTTTTTTTATATAAACAAGGTGGCCTGGGGATTTGGGGAACTGGGTAATAGGAGCAGGGTAGGGGAACCTGGGAGGAGCGAGAAGCATGGAGTGGGGGATCCAGGCTCTAATTCCAGCTTGACCACCTGCAAGGTATGACTTTGGGCAGTTCAGTTAACCTTCAGAGTCTCTTTCCTTATCTGAAAAACAAGGTTTAAATGATTAAAAAAATAACACACAGTGTCTACCATGGTGTCTGGTATGCAAGAGGAAGTCCTATTTTAGAATAAGTGTTGTTTTTTCCTCCTTTCTCTTGAGGCTCTCTCATGCCAGTCAAAAACAGAGAATTAGGAACAGAAGTTTGAGTTTTAAAAACCACTGTGCAGAAAAGGTGTCTGGGTGGGGTGCTGATCCCAGAAAATCCTGATTAAAAGTCCACATACCAGCTGAAGAGTGGACAAGATCCAAGGAATATGCTAAACTTGCCCTCACCGTCAGTGCCATAGGAAATTATATTAGCTGTTCTTTGTTCTGGGTGTTGCATTATGTTTGGTGACTCCAAGGAATCTATATAAACATTAATACTTTCTCCTTTCCACATGTGCTTCCTGATAGCCCCTCACAAATACTATATTGGATTTCGGTACGTCCATCCTTTAACAGAAGAAGCAATTGAAGAGATGGAAAGAGATGGCCTAGAAAGGGCTATTGCTTTCACGCAATATCCACAGTACAGCTGCTCCACCACAGGTAAGGCATCTCTCTCTCACAGTGGACAGGTAGACGCGGTGCCGGCAAAAATAACGAGGAGTCTAAGTACCGAAGGGAAGGATGAATCATTTGCAATTTGAATGGCAAATCCAGCCTGTCTTCTTTAAACATGAGAGTTTAGGTCAGTCCATTTGAAATCTCATGGTCCATCTGTCCCTTGAATTATTGGCCACTTGGCTGGGAATTACAAATGGTGGGTGGTAGGCAGTGGCTGGTAAGTGCTCAGTGCTTTAATGCTATTGTGTAATGGATCAGTAAATGAACCTTAAGACACTTTGTAGGTTTGTGTGATAAACCTTCTTTTTATGGCTACCCAGATTTTCTTTCTTTCTTTGTCTCAGAAAAAAAAGAGTTTTGCTTTTGTTGCCCAGGCTGGAGTGCAATGGTGCAATCTCGGCTCACTACAACCTCCGCCTCCCGAGTTCAAGAGATGGTTCTGCCTCAGCCTCCCTAGTAGCTGGGATTATAGGCATGTGCCACGACACCTGGCTAAGTTTGTATTTTTTAGTAGAGACAGGGTTTCTCTTTGTTGGTCAGGCTGGTCTTGAACTCCCAACATCAGATGACCCACCCACCTCGGCCTCCCAAAGTGCTGGGCTTATAGGCATAAGCCACTGCGCCTGGCCACAGATTTTCTTATTGATGTAGCAAAGATTGTAACTGTTCCCATTTTGAAAGCAAAGAGGCCCACACAACATGGGCAATAGTGGTATTTTGTTGTTGCTGTTGTGCTGATATATTGGTTGGTTGCTGGTAAAACTAAAGCCCAGTTTGGGGTTTCCTTTGCAAAATTCTCTGTGTTCCCGATTTTAGAAAATGTTACTGCTTGTTGTTTTCTGTATATTTAACTGGAGCTGAAGAATAATCTGTGTTTGGCAATCTCTGTATCATTCCTTGCAGGCAAAGCTGCTACTGTCACCACAGATACATTTGTTTGCATTCATTGCAAGGATTGAGGTCAGCACATTCTTAGTCCCAAATTGCTTTTGGATATTAATGTTTATCATTTTCTGTAACCATAAGGAGAATCAAAAGACTATTGGAAGAAAAAGTCAAAGCTTGTTATGTGCCTTAAATATTTGTTCAGAGAACCCATTTAAATGCCTGAGTTCTCATACACCCTCAAGAGTTTGAATTATCATTTCTTTTCTTTTTTTTCTGAGATAGAGTCCCACTCTGTCACTGCAACCTCTGTCTTCCAGGTTCAAGCGATTCTCCTGCCTCAGCCTCCTGAGTAGCTGGGATTACAGGCACACGTCACCACCCTTGGCTAATTTTTGTATTTTTGGTAGAGATAGGGTTTTACCACGTTGGCCAGGTTCGTCTCAAACTCCTGGCCACAAGTGATCTACCTTCCTCAGCCTCCTAAAGTGCTGGGATTATAGGCACTCCGCTTAAATTATTATTTCTTTATGAAATGTGCTACTACAAAAAGTTGGGTTGCTTATTGAATGTTTCTAAGCAACCTGAAAGTGCTAATGTAGCTTCCAGATGCCCCCGTGCACATATGAAAATGATATCCGCCTGTGAAGTGTGGTTTGTAATGTGAACATGGTGGTGACTACTTTTTGATTCCTGGAGAGACTGTTTCTGAACCTTGAATGGGGTCCACTGGAATTCTTCTGATTCACTGTATTCTACTCACCACAATGGCACCTGTCTATCCTTTTGGAAGTTGAGTCTTAGTCTGAGGGTATATTTGATTTAAAATACGCTCTCTCCTGACTAACATTTTAAATCGGAAACCTAACTAATAGTTCTTATAGTTAGAGAGCCCAGTGGATTGGTGATGGAAAGCATGGAGAGGTGGAGGTTGCGGTGAGCTGAGATCATGCCATTGCACTCCAGCCTGGGCAACAAGAGCAAAACTTCATCTCAAAACCAACCAACCTAGCAAAAAATCATTATAAAGCTTTTATTGTAACACAGAAAATATTTATCTCAGAATATTTAGTAAAAATGCTCAAAATACTCAGCATGCAGAATTGCATATGTATTAAAAATTACAACTTCGTAAAATGAAATAGCTATAAAGAAAAGAAGAACTATATTAGAGTAAAACAATGACTATAATTAGCATGCTGGGAAAATGCTCAGTTTCTTTTTTCTTTTCTTCCCCATCCCATACATTTTATGTGATGGGGTTGATAATCTTTGTAACTGTGAAAAAAAAATTCTTTCTTTCTTTCTTCTTCTTTTTTTTTTTTTTTTTTGAGACAGGGTTTTGCTATTGTTGCCCAGGCTGGAGTGCAATGGTGCAATCTTGACTCACTGCAATCTCTGCCTCCTGGGTTTAAGTGATTTTCCTGCCTCAGCCTCCAGAGTAGCTGGAATTACAGACATGCACCACCATGCTCCGCTAATTGTGTATTTTTTTGGTGGAGACAGGTTTCTCCATGTCGGTCAGGCTGGTCTCAAACTCCCGACTTCAGGTGATTGGCCCACCTCGGCCTCCCAAAGTGCTGGGATTACAGGGATGAGCCACTGCGCCCAGCCAACATACTTTCAATTGTAAGACTTGTCCCTGTAAATATGACTGCTTATATTTCTAACTCTACAGCCATCTTGTTTTTCACTAGAACTGACATCAGTAATCTTTGAAAGTCTGTTGAAATAGATTGCTTTTTAGTGATCTTCCTTTTCAGGGTAGTTAAAGCTATATGCACTTTAGAGTATTGAAATAATTGTAATTAGACTGATTCAGTATAGAAGCAGTTACTGCTTTGAACTTATATATACTACCTTTACAAGTCTGTTTTTTATTTTCATCATAATCAAAATGCATCTACTAAGTGGCCTCTGTATATTTCAGGCAGCAGCTTAAATGCCATTTACAGATACTATAATCAAGTGGGACGGAAGCCCGTGATGAAGTGGAGCACTATTGACAGGTGGCCCACACATCGCCTCCTCATTCAGGTAAGCCAGTGACTGCCAGCCGCACGTCACCCCATTGTCTAGTGTGAATCAGCTGCTTGTCCCTTCTGGGTTTATGGACATCCTTCTGAGCCTTACTGTTCTGTTGCTTAAATTGTGTGTTAGGGATTAAATAAAAGTATTACACTCTTGATTTATTAAGAAAAGAGAAAATGAATTTAAAGATTAAAATGATTAGACTCTTCGTTCTTCACATTAATGCTATTAGTCCCAAACCATCACGAAATGATATTTTGAGTTTCCCATGACCAAAGATCATTAAAGATTGTGCATGGTATTTCAGCTAATTCACATTTAGAGATTGAATGACTAACCAACGAATTAAATTTTCTATTTTCTAAATCTTTTAAAATGTCAAAAGATTTTAAAAAATGTAAAAGTAATATAGCTACATGTTCTGAGACACGAAAATGAATTGAATGTTTCAATTGAGAAGGTTTCACATATTAAAAGAAATTTCATATTTCTTCTATACAGTTTACATTTATAATATTTTTATTAACAGATGCTTGATTTTAGGAGAATAAGTTAAAATTACAGTTCTAAAATTAGTAGGTTTGAACTTATGTTACCTTATTCTTTTCTGCCTGTCAAATATGTAAAATATTGCCCTAAATTATGCAAATATAATTTGTTCTCCTAGTATAAGTTTCTGCTTTTGAGTTATTTTAGGTAGGGGTAATATTAAGTCATTTAGATTTTATCCATTTTATTTTTCACTCCTTGAAGGTTTTCTGACTCCTGGCAAAAAACCCTATTTACAACTTCTAAAGTCTGGTGTCACTGAAATCTGTGACCACTAGATGGTGCTAGATATCATTGAAATCAGGCCAGCTCTCCCTAGAGCAGTGTTCCATAGGCATATAAAGGGTTAACACTTGGGTTGAAATCCAATTTTAAGTAAAAAGTGAAAAGAAGGCTTACCCTTAGGGGTGGGTGTAGTTACGGTCTCTGTGTGCACTACTGACGACTGTATTGCTGGGTCCAGCCGGTACTGCCTGAAGCACCAGCAGCCTGGGTTTTGCTCTGGGAGGCCTGTGATTGGAAAGGAGGGGTGTTTCAGGTCAGCACTGACATGTGGTAGCAGGGAATGGAGGGATCTGCACAGCATCTGCCTGCCCTGAACGAGTGAGTAATTAGATTTGCATTAAAATTCAGCCCTTTGAAAAGGGGGGAAGCGGGACGATGGAAAGGTCTCTTAACTGAGGAAGTCTCTGTTCATAAAATGAAAGGGAATTTTAGAGGCATTTATCTGCCCTTCTAGATGGTATGATTGAAGGCTCTGAGAGGCTCGGTGCCTCTTTCATTCTGCAGCGGGGTTGCGTGTAGAAAATACTGCAGATGGGTTTTAGGTGATTTAAATAGCACTTCTTGCCCATGGCGCCTCAGTTTTGAGGATGGCTTAGAGGCTGTTGCAAGCTGTATGATTTGTGTTTTTACTTGCAGTTTTGCAAGCCAAGAAAAAAAGCAAAACAAAACACTAAGCTTTGGATATGATGTGACATTTTTGGAAACCAGAAAACAAAACCCTAAACTAAAACTAAAAATATAGTTAAAAACTACAAATTCCATTTTGAATTCACATTTCTACTTGGCATAGGTAGTAATTACTCCAAATAGTCATTTTATTACTGTTTTCTCTAATATTGGTATTTATCTAGCTGTTGGAGTAATTGGAGCAAATATACGTTCTAGGCTCCAGTCTAAACCTTGCAGTGGGCCTCCTTATCTAGGCTGAGGTCCAAAAATAATCCTTTCTGAGCATCCTTAGTTTCCAAACCCTGCAAAGACCAGAAAATACTGGTTTTATTTGTGTCTAATCCTATCACATTTACTGAGAATTTGCGTTATAAATTCTGAAAAAGGAACTTACCTTTAGGTACTGTTTTATGCCTTAGGCATTTATTTACCAAATTTTGAGAGTTCTGGAAAGATTAATCATATCTTAATATTTATTAGGGAATAGTTTGGTTTGCTTATCCCATTGTTTTCACTGACACTAATATATCAAACTACCAACAAGTGCAGATTTACATGTATCTAATAAATTGACCTTTATAATTTTTAAAAAGTTATAATGGACAGTTTGGAAATAATTTTAGATATGCAGAAAAGTGACTAGATTAAAAATAGTGTAAGGAACTCTCTCATCTACTCTTTTACCTATATTCATGTATTACTATTACTTTGAGACAGGGTTTCACTCTGTTGTCTAGGCTGGAGTGCAGTGGCATGTTCATAGCTCACTGCAGGCTTGACCTCCTGGGCTCAAGTGATCCTCCTGCCTCAGCTTCCTCAGATGCCATAGGCATGTGCCATCATGCCCTGCTAATTTTTAAAAATTTTGTGGAGATTAGGTCTTTCCATGTTGCCCAGGCTGGTCTTGAACTTCTGGGCTCAAGCAATCCTCCCACCTTGGCTCCCGAAGTGCTGGGATTACTGGCATGAGCCACTGCGTCTGGCCTATTGACATGTTATTAACATGTATATCCCATTTGGTTTATCATTTACATACTCTGTGTGTGTGTATATGTGTGTGTCTCTGTGTTTGTATATACATGCTTTTTTTTCTGACCCATTTGGGAATAAGTTATGCATATATCACCATCATCTACACCTAAACACTTAGGTGTGTTTATTAAATCAGGAATATTCTCTTACATAACCACAATACAACATTCAAGTTCAGTAAATTTAACATCAATACATAAACTTTTACTTAATTTACATTCATATTCTGATTTTCTCAGTTGACGCATTTCTGTCTTTTGTAGCATTTTTTATAAGCTAAATGGCAGAGAATGATTCAAGTATAAGATGAAAGAAAGCCCCTTCAGCTCTGGTATTTCAGCACCTATCGACGTGAATCAGAAAGTGCTAGCTAGACGAAGGGAGCGCCCTGGTCTGGTGGACAGAGGTTTGGAGAGAGAGGCAGGAACCATGTTCTCTCCCAAGTTCCCCAGATGGGACTGAATGCGCCCCTGAGTTTACCACATCTTTCCCCACTCTGTGAATCTAATGGGTGTGTATCACCTGTCATCTGTTACTGTGAAGGTTTTTATAAAAATGGACTTGATGTGGATACAAGACTCAGAAGAAAATTGTAAAAATAGAACAGTATTTTCTTATTTCCCTACTATTTCTGACTAATGTATTTAATGTGGTATGCCTGAAAGCCAAACCAAGGAGGCTTTAGAAAGACCCTGTAAGCTGTTTTCCTGCTAACAGAGCAAATGAAACATCTTAAAACAACTTCTCCTTCCCATCTGTGTTTCCTTTCCATCTGGAAGTGTGCCCTGTCCTTCCCGAGGGGAAGCACATCCACGGCGCACATTTGCAGTGAGCCATTAGCTTTAGAAGTTTCCCAGCAAATTCCCCAGGCCCCTGAAACCGTTATGATCCATTTTGATAATAAACCAATGCTGAGAGGCTGGACTGTTTGCAATTTTTTAAAAAAGAGAGGTCTGAGTTTTGAGGGTTGCTCTGAGATTTTAGTGTAGCCTTCATTTTAAAAATATTTCCTTTTTCCTTCCATTTCTCTCTTCCCTTCATCTTTATCCTCCTTTCTTGTGATTCCCACAGTGCTTTGCAGACCACATTCTAAAGGAACTGGACCATTTTCCACTTGAGAAGAGAAGCGAGGTGGTCATTCTGTTTTCTGCTCACTCACTGCCAATGTCCGTAAGTAAGAATGTTTTGTTGTATGACCTACTGATAGAGGATTGGGTGATTTCATTTTCTAAATGTGTAAAATGAGTCTAGCTTCCATTATGTCCTAAGCCCAGTGCAAGAATGAATTCTCAAATCTCAGATGTGCTGCTAATTTTCTTTTTCCTGATACTTGACTTGCTGCTAGTTTAACTAGCCTCATTTCTTCAAACCTCATAACAATGAATTCAAATTTTAATGTTTTAAATAGATCTTTTCCTTTTTTTCAAGACAGAGTCTTGCTCTGTCACCCAGGCTGGAGTACAATGTCATGATCTCAGTTCACTGCAAGCTCTGCCTCCTAGGTTCAAGCAATTCTCCTCCCTCAACCTCCCAAGTAGCTGGAATTATAGGCACTACCATGCCTAGCTAATTTTTTTGTATTTTTAGTAGAAACTAGGTTTCACCGTGTTGGCCAGAGTAGTCTCAAACTCCTGACTGCAGGTGATCCACCTGCCTTGGCCTGCCAAGGTGCTGGGATTACAGGTATGAGCCGCCACGCCTGGCTCCTCTTTTCTTTAAAATGGTAACTTGAAGATATATTCAAATGTAAGACTTTCTAATAAGTGGAATAGTTAAGAGAAGGTTACTTTTGCCTGTCTTGTCATCAGAGCTCAGCCTGATGTTGCTGTGTGTTGAGTGGGAGGGTCTCCATTTGGATGAAGCCTCTCAATCCCATGCCTTTGTCCTCAGGGTTTAGTAGGGGCTATTTGAGTTCCAGGCAGCCACTGCAGTTTGCTAAGACCCAGGGTCACATTTTTTGCAAGTGAATACAGAGGACCAAGTTGGGATCTGGCTGCTCTTTAGTTCATCATATTATACTAGGCATATTCATCCAGATGCTACAATCTGTGCCATAGCTGTCTCGTTGTTGGAAACAAGAATGATCAAGCTAGTGTGCTGTATGATAATATAGAAGTGCTTGGAATAAGTAACCAGTTTCATCTGCTCAGAACTAGCATTGTGTCCTAGAAACAGTGCTTTCCAAGCCGGAGAGGTGGAGAATTATATTTTCATAGGTGTGATTGAGGTTTTAACAACATTGGGAATGGAGCCAACCTGTGTCTGGGGCCATGCTTGTAACTGGGCCTTACCGCCCCCTGGTGGCCATCAGGGACAAGCCCTTGTAGATTTTCCACTCGTCATCTCTGCTGGGCCTCGTGTGGGAGGTAGGAGGCTCTGGAAATAAATTCCTCTCTCTGGACCTCTCTTCTGGAAGCCTGCCTATTTTAATGGGTTTGCAGTTCCTTTTCTGGTGTCAGCCAGTACTTTGCCCATGTCCATCCTCCTGCCTCCTCATCCTATGTACGGTGAGACCTTGCCTGGGTTGCCAGAGGGAAGCTCTTGAACCAACTTGGAACAAACACATTTGCTTTTTTTTTTTTTTTTTTTTTTTTTGATGAGGTCTCGCTCTGTTGCCCAGGCTGGAGTGCAATGGTGCAACCATGGCTTACTGTAGCCTCCACCTCCTGGATTCAAGCGATTCTCCTTCCACAGCTGTGTGAGGACCTGGGACCACGGGCTCACACCACCACACCTGGCTAATTTTTTGTATTTTTAGTAGAGAGAGGGTTTCACCATGTTGCCCAGGCTGGTCTCAACATCAACTGATCCACCTGCCTTAGCCTCCCAAAGTGCTGGGATCACAGGCATGAGCCACTGTGCCCGGGCAAAACCCATTTTTGTATGTGGGGATTCCAGGTGCTGCCTTGCCTCCCCTCACCCTGGTCTCACTTCCTTAGTCTTTCACCTGGGGGTGGAACACGCTGCTTCCAGGTTATTTTGCTGCTCAAGCATTCCTGTGGGACCGGGAAGTGCCACAATGTCATAAGGATAAGTCTGGCATGGGAAGGACAGTTAGAGATTGAGAGAGAACGCTGACCTAGCACGCTCTTCTCTTCCCCTACATTTACTTCTAATGACCTTTTAAACTTTTTATTTTGAAGTAATTTTTAAACTTGCAGGAAACTGGTTAAAAGAGTAAAGAGTTAAAAGAGTACGCACACCTTCTCCTCAGCTTCCCCGAATGTTAACATCTCACACAACCGCTCTACAGCTGTCAACACTAAGAAGCCAGCACCGGCACACTACTGTTCCCTGCACTCCAGGCTTCGTGGGGATGTCACCTCTGTTTCCAAAGCTGTCTTTCTTCTCTTCCAGGACCAAGTCCAGGGTCCCACCCTGTGTGTAGGTGTGGGGTTTCCTCAGCACCCTCCAGTCTGTGACAGTCCTTATACTTGGCTTTTCCTTCATCACTTTGATTTTTTTTTTTTTTTTTGAGACAGGGTCTCACTCTGTCACTCGGGCTGGAGTGCTGCGGTGCAGTCACAACTCACTGCAGCCTCGACCTACCAGACCCGGGTGATCCTCTCACCTCAGCCTCCTGAGTGGCTGGGACTACAGGTGCACACCACCACACCCAGCTAATTTTGGTATTTTTTGAAGAAACAGGGCTTTGCCATTTGCCCAAGCTGGTCTCAACTTCCTGGGCCCAGGTGATCCACCCACCTCAGCCTTCCAAAGTGCTGAGATTACAGGTGTGAGGCACCATGCCCTGCCTCACCTTGATATTTTTGAGGAGCCATTTTTAGGATGTCAGTTGTTTTGTGGTGCGTTCCTCCATCTGGATCTGTCTGAAGTTTTCCCGTGATTAGATTGCGGTTATGCATCGTTGGCAAGAACCCACAGGGCCCTGCTCCATGCATTGCACCCGGGGGTCCATGATGTCAATGTGCTTTTCTAATGGTGATGTGATCCCTGGTCACCCATTTAAGGTTGTATCTACCATGTTGATCCATCCTGCAATTAATATTTTTTCATTTTGTAATTTAAAAAATCTTGGAGGAGATACTCTGAGACAATACAGAGATTCTGTTATTCCTCAAACTTTGCTCTAATCTTAGCATCCACAGGTAGATCATGTTTGTGCAATTACTGCATTGCTGTCCCAATGGCGGCTTTGTTTCCTTCACTCCGTCTACATTTATGCCTCCCATGGCTTTTAAACAAACCAGTAGTAATAATCACAAAATAGTTCATCAGTACGTATATACACACACTATACTGTACTATACTATGTATATTATACAGTATATAACATACTGACACATATATAGTATATATATATATAGCATATGTCAGTACATATACATGTGAGTCTTGACACAGCAAGACTCCATCTCAAAACATGTATATATATATACACACACACACACATATATATGCTTTGAGGTGGAGTCTATATATATATATATATATATATATATATACATGTTTTGAGATGGAGTCTATATAATATATACATGTTTTGAGATGGAGTCTTGCTCTGTCACCCAGGCTGGAGTGCAGTGGTGTAATCTTGGCTCACTGCAACCTTTGTCTCCCAGGTTCAAGCAATCCTCCTGCCTCAGCCTCCTGAGTAGCTGGGATTATAGGGGCCGCCACCAAACCTGGCTAATTTTTGTATTTTTAGTAGAGACAGGGTTTCACCATGTTGGCCAGGTTGGTCTTGAACTCCTGACCTCAGGCGATCCACCCACCTTGGCCTCCCAATGTGCTGGGATTACAGGGGGTGAGCCATTGCACCCAACTTGTCATTATATTTAATTTCACCAATATTTATTGAGCACCTGCTATATTCCAGGCACTGTTTCTATCCATATCATACAATATGGAAATGAAGAAAACAAACAAAAATCTTTGTCTTCAGAGAGTATGGAGAAAAGATAATAAACATAACATAGGAAAACAGTGTGGTAGATTAGCAGGTAATAGATGCTGTGGAAGAAAATAAAGCCAGGTGAGGGCTGGGGAGTCTGTACACAGTAAATATTTAAAGCATTAAAATTTGCATTGAAAAATTTTAAAGGTATTAACAAGGAAATGTGTATGAAACATTTGCTGTGCACAAAGTGTTTGCCTGTTGTCCATTGTTGCAGGAAAAGTGGAGAGAGAGGAAGTGGAAGGTGCAGGTCGTACTCTTGGAGGTGCCTGTAACCTGCACCCAGGTGCTGCTTTCCTGCTCTAATTCCACTGGGGTTTGCCGTAAATCCAGAAGATCTGTACATTGTCCATGTAGCCCTCTTTCAGTTCCTGTTGTGAAATCACTACTCAAATGACCACCAGTGTAGAAATCCCCATCCTGCCCTGCTTTTCTGTGTCATCTTCGTATTTCAGATAAGAGAGAAAGAACCATCCTTAGACCCATGAATAACATGGAACATGGAAGTCTACACCCTCTTAGGGACCTTAGAGATGATTGAGTGCAGGGTTTTTCTTTGGCTGATGAAGAGGTGGAACTAAGGAAGTTTGGGGATTGAACTCAGACCATATCACCATTGGTGCAGGAGACAGAAAGGGAGGACTTTGTTTCAGGGCTCACACCGTGTCAGCACATAGTCAGGGCCTTCCCAGTGTTGGTGACTGAACATCCATTGTGTCTCTGCTGCAGGTGGTCAACAGAGGTGACCCGTATCCTCAGGAGGTGAGCGCCACTGTCCAAAAAGTCATGGAAAGGCTGGGGTACTGCAACCCCTTCCGACTGGTGTGGCAATCCAAGGTAGGTGGCTTCCACACTTCTGCGGGCAGCCAGCTCTTTTGGTAAAGTTTATTTTATGAGTTAGTTATGAAATGGTAGGTTTGGCCCTTCCACAAAGACAGGCTGTTCCATAACCTGATTCCTCACCAAGGGCAGAAAGAACTCTGCAAGCGAGTAAGATGGAAGGGGAAATCAAGTGACTCGTGGAGTTCCATTGGTTTAATATTTTAGTTTTAGCTGGAAGGACAGAAACTGTTATTTATATCGAGGGAACTTCTAGGATTCAAGCTTCCATGTGAAAATATCAAAACCTATTCAAGCAGGTATAAAGAGTGGCTCTTGCCCCCAGTGGGCAGCGTGTGTGCCCAGGGTGGCACACGGAGATACTACAGACCATCAGGAGGAATGGTCCCCTTACGCTTTCGTCTTCCTTTCGCATAGGTTGGTCCAATGCCCTGGTTGGGTCCTCAAACAGATGAATCTATCAAAGGACTCTGTGAGAGGGGGAGGAAGAATATCCTCTTGGTTCCGATAGCATTTACCAGTGACCACATTGAAACGCTGTATGAGCTGGACATCGAGTACTCTCAAGTTTTAGCCAAGGAGGTAAATGCACCTATCTGCTTAATCCCATCATGACTTGTTTTAAAAGGAAACTTTCTCTGCAACTAACTAATGTATCATTCAGAAATATTGTTTACTCTATTTGTTTGCATGTACGGTGTCCTCATTCTTCTGAACAATACGTCATCTGAGTAATAATCTCAACACATTGAGTTAATTCCATGTCAGCAGTGGGAGAGGAAACCTGTGTGTTCATTGAACCAGGTGACCCAGGGGTCGCTGTGGCTGACATCATTTTGTTTAGTTTGAGTTACTGGACTCCTTGAAAGTAAAAACAACTACACTTCTTTAAGAAAAAAGAATTGTACTTCTCACTAACTGCAAAGGAAAATGGTTTATTCTTTTATAATTTCTTTTCTTTGCCTAACAGTAACCTTTACTCAGGGCTGTTACATGGCTTCTTGTTGACTGTCAAGGCATACAGGAGTCATTGTAACTTAAGAGAAGAGCATGAAATGAATGTGGGATCAATGTGTGTTGTGATTTCCTTGACCTCCTTTATGCACTCATTTATTTAGCTATTTGCTGCCGGGTTGTGATCAATCTGATTATTGAAATAATAAATGCCATCTTTGGCTGGGCACAGTGGCTCACGCCTGTTATCCCAGCACTTTGGGAGGCCAAGGCAGGTGGATCATGAGGTCAAGAGATAGAGACCATCTTGGTCAACATGGTGAAACCCCATCTCTACTAAAAATACAAAAATCAGCTGGGTGTGGTGGTGTGTACCTATAGTCCCAGCTACTCGGGGGAGGCTGAGGCAGGAGAATCACTTGAACCCAGGAAGCTGAGGTTGCAGTGAGCTGAGATTGTGCCACTGCACTCCAGCCTGGCAACAGAGTGAGACTCCATCTCAAAAAAAAAAAAGTCTTTGGTTTCTAGTAATATGAGATGGATGTAAATTGTCATTCAGGGTGGAGAAAAACTATTTGTTCATCTATGTCCTGGCTTCTGAGAGCCCGCCTAAAACCTGTGTCCAATATATAGCTTTATTTTTATGGGGAGTATGGAAGCGTTGGTATCCAACAAACCCTTTCCTTTTTCTCTGCCAGAGTTTCTGGCCCCACGTGTGATAGACGGAGGCCCAGCCTGCAGGAGACTTCACCCTCTCTGGGACTGGGCAACAGGTGCAGGGCAGGGCAGAGAGTGGGTGGGGGGCAGAACTTGAGCAAACACCCAGCCCCCATGGATTTTGAATTTCCATGCTGGACATCAATCAGACATGGGTGCAGCTAGGGAGCACCTAAGTTTCTTGTCAGTGGTTCTGATAAAGGATTTGCAGGCAAGTTGTAATTGGCTAAGAAGTGGTTGCAGCACTGTCTATGAATTTCATTAAAGATGCCTCTGTAGCTCACTGAGCTTGGCTGATTGTGAACTTGATAAAACTTCAGTGAAAATCTAGTTTAATACTAATATGTTTGGAAAACAATTTTTGTATTTTATCTTTTTTGTGATTTTATAAATTTGTTTAGAGATGGAATCTGGCTCTGTCAACCAGGCTGGAGTGCAGTGGCACAGTCATAGCTCCCTGCAGCCTCAAAATCCTGGGCTCAGGCAATCCTCTCTCCTCAGCTACCTGAGTAGCTGGGACTACAGGTGCACATGGAATTTCAGTGTTGCTACGTATTTTTCTAGTCAGTGTATCGCTGACTCTCCCACCAACATTGTTGGAGAATGCCCTTTGCCAACATTGGTTATTCTGTTGTAACTGACTTCTATATGAAGTTTGAGAATACCAGCCTCTTAAGTTGAGATCCATGTGTTTGCTGAATTTCGATGTTTTTCTCATACCAATCTCCTGATGTAAATGTTAATCTAAAAGATCAAGTCACTGAATCCAGCGTGGTGACTCACACCTGTAATCTCAGCACTTCAGGAGGCCGAGCTGGGTGGATCACCTGAGGTCATGAGTTTGAAACCAGCCTGGCCAACATGATGAAACCCCGTCTCCACTAAAATACAAAATTTAGCCGAGCATGGTGGCGCGTGCCTGTAATCCCAGCTACTCAGGAGGCTGAGGCAGGAGAATCACTTGAGTTTGGGAAGTGGAGGCTGTGGTGAGCTGAGATTGTGCCATTGCATTCCAGCCTGAGCAACAGATCGAGACTCCGTCTCAATAAATAAATAAATAAACAAACAAATAAATAAATAACAAATGATCAAGTACTGAAAAGCTACCAGAAGAAAAGGGAAATAGACAAATCCTAACTATCTGAGTAAATCATTATTAGACCAATTTCAGTTGTTGGGCAGTGAATATTTTTAGAACTAGGAATAGGGATGGTACTGAAACAATCCTCCCATGTTTTCCTTTAGCTTTTTCTCCATAAGAATATATTTTAGGCCAGACTTGGTAGCTCACACCTGTAATCCCAGCACTTTGGGAGGCTGAGGCGGGTGGATCATTTGAGGTCAGGAGTTCATGACCAGCCTGGCCAACATGGTGAAACCTTGCCTCTACCAAAAATACAAAAACTAGCTGGGCATGGTGGTGGGTGCCTGTAATCCCAGCTACTCAGGAGGCTGAGGCAGGGTGATCCGTTGAACCCAGGAGGTGGAGGTTGCAGTGAGCAGAGACAGTGCCACTGCACTCCAGCCTGGGCGACAGAGCAAGACTCCATCTAAAAAAAAAAAAAAAAGGAATATATTTTAAAACCCAACTCTGAATTGGGTCCAATATACATTTTAGAGTCAATAAGTTAATTTACTTCATCTTTGCGCTTGGGATCAAAACAAATATGAAATTATATTTAAAGTAACATTGTACTTAGGGAGGGTCTGTAAAATTATGCATTAGAAAATAGAATTAAAAAAGAATGGTAAGCAGATTTCAATGGAGAATTTCATCAAGTGTAACCACAAAAAGGATTCAAAAACAAATCACCTGTGGGAAGGTAATGGGAAGGGGAAGGACATAGGAATTGAGGAATAATTTATAACAGAATCAACGTTCAGTCCTGTCCCATGACTGTTTTTCATTTGTGAGCAAGTCTGAGAACACTTGAAGTCAGACTTTGAATTGTGTGTGTGTGTGTGTATTTTTTTTTTCATAGCAGTTTCTTTGAAGAAAAAAAAAGGAAAATAAAACATGTCTGTGTTTTTCCTCCCTTTTCTCATTTGATTCAGTGTGGAGTTGAAAACATCAGAAGAGCAGAGTCTCTTAATGGAAATCCATTGTTCTCTAAGGTATCTACTGTGTTACAACCATTTTAGTAGAACATATCAGAGAGTAATCCTCTGAGAAACTCTTGCAGAATATTGGTTTTTCTCACATATTAGAACATTTGGAGTTCCAATTAATTAGAAAAATAAAATCGAATTTTATCCTTATCTGCTGTCTTCCTTCAGATAGCCCCAAATTTCTGATTTCTACCCACCTATAACTGTCTAATTTCAAACCCGCTTTCCAGAGAAAAGGTCTAGAGGGTGGGGTAGAGGATTTCATTTCCTGAAATCTCTGTTTTAACTTTCTCTAAGCTGAGGATTCTCAGGAAAGGAAGATATTGTAGAATTTGATCCAAAATGCTCACCGCTCAGATGAAAAGAAACCTCAAGCCAGAGCGCTGACCTGGGCAGATGGAGGAGGGGGCATGGCAGATGAGCAGACTCTGTGCTTCTGATGCCTCCTTGCCTCTTGTCTGTCTTCCAGGCCCTGGCCGACTTGGTGCATTCACACATCCAGTCAAACGAGCTGTGCTCCAAGCAGCTGATGCTGAACTGTCCACTCTGCGTCAATCCTGTCTGCAGGGAGACTAAATCCTTCTTCACCAACCAGCAGCTGTGACCCCCGCCAGTGGACCCTGTGGCATTAGGTAAATGCCCAACCTCTAGACACTCCCGACGTGGAGAGGATGTTGTTTAGAGATCACGGAAGGAAGTCACCCTTCCTTGATATATATACAGCCTTCGGGCACTAATTGTGTGATTTCTTGAGGGTTGGACTCTATTGATAGATTTCTATTTTTATATAACTATACAGTAAGCATTTATATTTTCTCTCTCTAGGTATAAGTTACTAATTTGGAATGTCCACTAGGACTTTTAATAAGTAAGTTAAAAATTTATCTTATGAGACACACCTATTTTAAATACAGATTTTGGCTTCATTGCCCAAACCCTCCTGAAAGGGTACAGAGACCCCCTTTTGTGGGCTGTCAGTGTGAATGAGATCTGTTTACAGTCTTGCACATATAGTTGATGTTTTTTAAATGATCATAGTTGAGTGTTTGAAATGAACTTGAAAAAGAAATGTTACTTAACCTTTCCCTAATCCCATGGTGTACAGAAAGCTAGGGGGGCAATGTGGTTACCTGCAATGGCTGCTTTCACCAGCGAGGCCATCATTCATTGGTTATCTTGGTATTTGTGTGTGAATCTTACTTTCCTCGATGTAAAAAGGAATCAAGTATGCATTTCAGAAGTGCTCTGAGAGTTCCCATATACCCAAGGCTAATAAATGTGTAGAAGTACAGTGTCCGTCATATGTGCCTTGGTGGGAGTCCAGGGTGCCACAGGGAAGGGGCTCCCACTGCTTCTGGTGTCCAGGGACAGCCTGCTGGAAAGGCCAACAATGGGCTTCCCCCTGGAGCTCCTCCCGGGACCTCACGAGCCTTTCCACCTGGCAGCTTCTCCATCTTGGTCGAATGCCTTTTTTCTGCACATTTGTTTTAAGAATTCTTTTACAAAGTCAACAATGCTTTGTAACTTTGAATTCTTCCTTAATTTATGATTTCTTTTCTTGTAAAAATTATATAGCCATACAATGGGATATGTGAAGAATACTGAGAAGTTACCACTTTAATGCAGTAACTATTGTCATAATATTGTATTTCATGCCAGTCCTTTCCTGTAGATATTTTTAATGCCATTGCAATGTTGGATTTGTGAGTGAAGAGTGTTTCTAAAAATACAGCAATAATGTCAGATCAGAATCTGATCTTCTATATTTGTATTTAAATGGATTAAAAGATTCCTGGTGGTTCTATGAAAAATTTGTAATGATCACTTTCGCTTTCCTCCAAGCCCTGAAACTTCGTTCTTCAAAAGAGCATTTCTTTGATTTTTTTTGTAAAGCAAGTTTATAAAGTAGAAGTATTAGGCTATTCATAAATCTTTTATATTGAGAATTGGCTATGTTAATAAATATTACAACATCATTAAGGTTTTAACTAAATTTGATTCATGCTGTCTGTTAAATCAAAACTGATCTAAATTAACCAAAATTATTAAATGTGAGGAACTTTTTTAATACAGGGAAAGAAGCATGGCATCCACTGGAGTTAATAGTTTTCCTACCTTGATGGCAGCCCTCATGAGTAGCATCTACATTTTAAAATTTCCAATTAGCTTTTCTGTTAGTTGATTGGGTTTCTAGAGAAAGATACAAGGCATGGTCAATTGTTTAGGATTTTCCTCTAGCCTTTTCCTTCACCTTTTTGGGGGTTAGGTTCATAGCAGACTCTGAGTAACTATCCCACCATGAAGTGAATTCTCTGGGTTAATGGTCTGGTGCTAGAAGGCAGGTTATTTTTGGAGCCACTCTCACTCCTTTAGGAAACCTTCCAAGGTCTGCTTCAATTCTTCAATGACTTCAAAGGCTTTTTCAATGACTTCAAAGTGCCTTACATGTATAATCCCAATACTTTGGGTGGCTGAGGTTGGAGGATTGCTTGAGTCCAGGAGTTCAAGACCAGCCTGGGTAACTTAGAGAGACCCTGACTCTACAAAAACAAAGTAAAAATTAGCTGGGTATTGTGGCACGTGGCTGTAGTTCCAGCTACTTGGGAGGCTGAGGTGGTAGGATCACTTGAGCCCAGCAGTTTGAGGTTGCAGTGAGGTGTGATTGCACCTCTGCATTCCAGCCTGGGAAGACCCTGGCCCCAAATTAAAAAAAAAAAAAAAAGAAAAATGAAAAAAGAAATACTGGAGATTGGGTCATTTATAAAGGAAAAAGGTTTAATTGATTTGGTTCTGCATGTCTGGGGAGGCCTCATGAAATTTACAATCATAGCAGAAGGGGAAGCAGTCATGTCTTACATGACAGTGGGTGAGAGCAAGCAAAGTGGGGAAGAGCCCCTTATAAAACCTCAGATCTTGTGAGAACTCACGATCACATGAACAGCTTAGGGGGAACTGTCTCCATGTTCCAATCCCCTTCTACCAGGTTCTTCTTTCAACATGTAGGGATTATGGGATTACAATTTGAGATGAGATTTGGGTGGGGACACAGAACCAATCACAAATCATTCCACCCCTGCCCTTCCCAAATCTCACATCCTTTTCACATTTCAAAACTACTCATGCCTTCTCAACAGTCCCCCAAAGTCTTAACTCATTTCACCATTAACCCAAAAGTCCCCCAAAGTCTTAACTCATTGTACCATTAACTCAAAAGTCCCCCAAAGTCTTAACTCATTCCACTGTTAACCCAAAGGTCCAAGTCCGAAGGTTCATCTGAGACAAGGCAAATCCCTTCTGCCTGTGAACCTGTAAAATTAAAAGCAAGTTACTTACTTCCAAGATACAATGAGAATACAGACATTGGGTAAATGTTCCCATTCCAAATGGGAGAAATTGGCCAAAACACAAGGGCTTTGCACAGGCCCCATGCACCACTGCACTCCCCTGTGCAAGTCTGAAACCCGGCAGGGCACTCATTAAATCTTAAAGCTCCAGAATAATCTCCTTTGACTCCATGTCCCACATTCAGGTCATACTGATGCAAGAGGTAAGCTAATCTTTCTTGTAAATTGGGTGCTTAATTCAAGAAACCATAACTTAAGGCATGTAAAAGAGATCCTTTGCTCAATCTGAAGCCATTGTGTTTATCCAAGGTATATTATTACTTACAAAGGGTGAGAGATTAGGCTGCAGCCATACCCCAAGTGCAGTGAGCAGCAAGACCTGCTCGTGCTCAGAGTGTAGATGACCAAGGCACTTGCCTTCCTGGGGGCTCTTCTTGCTATGTGAGCTCCTCTCGATGCGGCAAAGGATCACCTTGCGCAGCGACAGTTGGAGGGCAGAATTTAAAGCTGGCAGCCATAAGAAAGCGAATGTCTGTGTGTGTGCCTGGGGGCATGTGAAGGTGCAGGTGCATCAGCCAGGAGCCTCTGATTCACCTCTAACGTTCTCCCCTCACCTGAAACACCTTCTGCCAGAATCCTGAAAGTGGCCCAGGAACACAGCTCCCGACGTTGCGTGGAAATGGGAAATTCGTCCAGATGTCACATGCTGGAATAAGAAAATTCTGAGCTCCCCTGGAAACCAATGCCCTAAATTGAGATTATTCAGCTTCTCAGTTGTTAATAGCAAAAGGGAGACTTGAGCGTGCATAGATTTTGGTATCTGTGGGGGATCCTGGAACCAATCCCCCACCAATATAGAGCCACATCTGTATACAGTCCTTGAAAGTATTATTAACTCTATTCACCATGCTGTATGTTACATGCCCAGAACATATTTATCCTGCATATCTAAAACTTCGATCATTTTACAAACATTTTTTTTCTTTTTGCCAATTTTCTCCAGCTAGACACTTGTGCAATATGGCTATGATCTGACCTTTGCCTTAAAAGTTGTGCTTCTTTACCATATGCATGTATTTTACAAAATATAAAGTGTGCAGAGCTATATAGCACTGAGCCAAGTGGTGGGTACCTGCGGATGCTCCAGAGAAGTAAATTGATGCTGCTAATATTTGTTGTATGGCACAAGTATGATGAGCGATAGCAGGTGATGCCCTTCAGCCAGACCATCGCTCCGTGCATGTGATGCATCTTGACAAAGAGTAGTTCTGGGAGGTAGTTGCCTCTAGAGAACACAGACCTAATATTCTAGGGTCCCATGAGAGAAAGAAATGCTTTTCCTTTTGATGTGGGACTCTTATTAAGCCTTTCTTCAAGGAAAAGGAAGTGAAAAATAAATGCACCCCATGATAATCAGTTTCTTACAACAGACTGTGATAGTACCGGCTTATTTGTTTTTAGCTGAAATCATTAGCTTCCATTTTTAGAATAACAGCTATTGGCTAAATTAGGCAACAGTAGGCCATTAAGGTGGATGTTGGAACTAAAAACATTTTTGGAGAAAAGCCTGCTTTAAGCCTTTGTTATAAGCCCTTGGGCAGAGATCTGGGTCCTGTTTCTGATTTCTTGTGAGCCTTCACTCTGACAGTTTTGTTTCCAGAAACACACTCTTAGCCTGTTCCTGAAATGGGAACAGGCAGGCTCACTTCTCCGCTCCAGTCTCTCCTGTGGGTCAAAGCTTGACTTTCCTGTCATGTTAAGAGAGAATAGATTGATAGATTGAACCTCGAGAATCCATGGAGTATTCTGTATTTTTACCTTTTCCTCATTAAAAAAAAGTGTATATATGGCATGGAATTGATTGTACAGGCATGTGGCAGGTTTGCTTGTGAACCAATTGTTAAAATTTCAAGTTAACAGTCACGAAAATCATAACTTTCAAATTTATATTAAAAACAAAGGTAACATTCAAAATTCATCACTTTCCAATTATTTCACCCTGTGTTTTTTGCTGTTGATTAGACTTAAGAAAGTGGTGGGAAGAACGTTAATAACACAATACAGAAGTTGTATCTGTGGCCATCACATTGTGAATAGCACAAACACTTGAGGAAATAGTCTTCCAGTATTTGAAAACTATTATTCAGTTTATCCAAGTGAAGTATTGACACACAAAGAAATTGTTTCATATTTGCATTGCTCATTAATGTAAACAAAATGTCAATATGGCTGAACTTTACTTGTTGATTAATGGCAACCATAGGTTGGCTGCAGATACGAGAGCCTGG